GGGGCTCAATGGTGGTGCCTCTTATTGTAAACTGGATCTGAGCCCACCGATTTGTCATGGGGAGATCAGCCTTGTGGTACGGTCGCTATCTGCGGTCCTCCTGTAACAGTTACACCGACTGATGTGGTTCCTACTGGTGATGGAACGTATGAGCCAGCCTGTGACACGATGTGCCAGAGTCTCAATGATGAGGCTTCGTATTGTAAGTGGTGGCTCCCTCGTCCAACCTGCCTCGGTGGCGATCAGCCATGCGGTGATCAAACTATCTGTACTTCCCAGACGTGGCCTCCTGCCCCCACACCATCTCTTCCCGCTGGTGCCCACCCTCATGAGTCTGCCCCTTGCAACGAATATTGCGTCGGACTTAATGGACCATCTTCGTTCTGTAAGTGGTGGAAGAATGAGCCTGTCTGTCAGGGGGGCGATCAGCCCTGTGGTGTACCGGATTGCCCTACCGGTACCCCCGCTCCCACCGAAGGCCCGCCGGACTCCCATGCTGGCCCCAGCCCAAACTGCGATGCCTACTGTACTGCTATCAACCCCGGTCTCTCCGGTGATCGCGTGTCGTACTGCAAGTGGTGGCTCCACGTGCCCGTCTGTTATGTTGGGGATCAGCCTTGCGGTCCAAGCGTATGCAGCGACTTCGGGGAGACTACAACCCCGACCCCTATCACTACTGGAGCGACTACATCTGTGACGCCAACTATCCAGATCACCAGTACTGCTGCTCCTACCACACAAACGACCATGCCGTCAGCCTCGACCACTCAGACGGCTACTACTGTCGTTCCAACCACTCAGGGGGCTACTACTGTCTCTCCGACGACTCAGGCTGTCACTACTGTCGCTGCGACCACACAGGCGGCCACGACTACCGTTCCAACCACACAGGCGGCTACTACTGTCGTCCCAACCACTCAGGGGGCTACTACTGTCTCTCCGACGACTCAGGCTGTCACTACTGTCGCTGCGACCACACAGGCGGCCACGACTACCGTTCCAACCACACAGGCGGCTACTACTGTCGTTCTAACCACACAGGCGGCTACTACTGTCGTTCCAACCACTCAGGGAGCTACTACTGTCGTCCCAACCACCCAGGGGGCTACTACTGTCGTTCCAACCACTCAGGGAGCTACTACTGTCGTCCCAACCACACAGGCGGCTACTACTGTCCTTTCAACCACTCAGGGGGCTACTACTATCTCTCCGACGACTCAGGCTGTCACTACTGTCGCTGCGACCACACAGGCGGCCACGACTACCGTCTCAACCACACAGGCGGCTACTACTGTCGTCCCAACCACTCAGGGGGCTACTACTGTCTCTCCGACGACTCAGGCTGTCACTACCGTCGCTGCGACCACACAGGCGGCTACTACTGTCGTTCCAACCACACAGGCGGCTACTACTGTCGTCCCAACCACTCAGGGGGCTACTACTGTTTCTCCGACGACTCAGGCTGTCACTACTGTCGCTGCGACCACACAGGCGGCTACTACTGTCGTTCCAACCACACAGGCGGCTACTACTGTCGTCCCAACCACTCAGGGAGCTACTACTGTCGTCCCAACCACTCAGGCGGCTACTACTGTCTTTCCGACGACTCAGGCTGTCACTACTGTCGCTGCGACCACACAGGCGGCCACGACTACCGTTCCAACCACACAGGCGGCTACTACTGTCGTCCCAACCACTCAGGGGGCTACTACTGTCTCTCCGACGACTCAGGCTGTCACTACTGTCGCTGCGACCACACAGGCGGCCACGACTACCGTTCCAACCACACAGGCGGCTACTACTGTCGTTCTAACCACACAGGCGGCTACTACTGTCGTTTCAACCACTCAGGGGGCTACCAGCGTCGTTCCGACCACTCGGGCGGCTACAACTGTCGCTGTGGCCACACAGGCTGTCACCACCGTGCCTCCGACCACTCAAGTTCCGACCACTACCCAGGCTCCCCCCTAAGGTTTCTTCTAGGCGAACTCGTAAAACGGCTGCCTTTCGAGATCACTTTCATGTCCACTATTGTCCGACATATCCTTCATTCATATCATTCATTTGTGTTTTTACATTTCATTGATGACCCGAATCGGGCCACTTGACTGATTCGGAGTTCATTCATTATGTGTGTCGTAGTTCTTCGCTGCTCGTGGACCATTGAAGTGAGTAGAAGTGAAACGATATCTTCCCGTGTTGAGTTTCTCATCTTGGTCCGAGATTCTCGGATACATGTGACATAGCTCGAAGTGGCAAATCACAGGGTATGCAAGTTACTATGAGTGAATGCATGTCGAGATGTCAGTTGCCTGTGCGCCATTATTCCTTCCCCGAGTCGGGAATTCCCACCGCACCGATGACTCGATTAAGATATTCAGCATTCCAATAGACATAATATTAATATGTGGCCAACTCGGAATGTGCACGAATTGTCTTTGGATGCTTTGCCTCATTCCGTCTGTTCTCTATTGGCGACATATCCTGCTTGAGTGTTCCCAAACATCACGATAAACCCGCAGTTCAGACCCTGTGAAATTCCAACGTTTCTCGGCCTGCGGATGGCAGATTCGAATGCGCCCCCTTCTCCCATATTTCCCTACGTTTCACAGTTCCCAACAAAATATCCAATACGCAGCAGCAAATAATTTTGCACTTTTCCGAAAATTCCTTCCATCCACTGTGGATTCCACACAGCACTCACCACAATCTACCTCATTCGAATCGAGTGTTGATCCAACGATAGCACCAACGGGATAGCTTTTCAACCGGGATATAAGTCGAACTTCATTCTTGTTGCCCTTTTGCCAGCATCGACTGATCCGATTCGGGTCGCTATGGTATTCTCAAATTTCGAAATATGTGAACGCGAACCCATGGCGACCGGTGTGCATGGCGAGATCTGTCATTCCGATAAATCTGCACGAGCGCTGGAGGATGAGTTCTTCGATGCCAACCGGAACGAAGCTCCGGAAGCTGGAGTACTATCGCATTACTACTGTATAAGACTAACTAGCCGACTTCACTCAAGTGATGACTAAGCTCGATTGAAAAACATCCGCATGAAGTAATCCCGGAGACTACTAGACCTCAAGAAAGCCGCGAATAGGAGAATTTGCGCACAATGGAGGATACTAGGATCTTCCCGTTTCGGACAAACCGATCTCGACTGCAAAGAAGGAAGACGTAATTCGAGCTCAAGAGTCAATTTCAGATACCCCGTCAAAATTCTCAAGGGTGCAATTATTGAAGTTTCCCCGAGATCGAGCGCAACTCACGCTCCTGCAATCAGAGCGGTGGAGGCAACGTCCAATGTGTCAGTATTCGATCTATCCCTACAACCTATGCTCACCTTCCTTGCTGTCAGCGCTCTTTCTCCAGCGGTGTTAGGGTGTCTCCGTCGTCTCCAAGTCAGCACCACCACGTCGCCTCCTGCCACCACGACTCCAACAAGTACGGTCGACATTGCCACTTTGCAGAACACTTGTGATATCTACTGCCAGGGGCTCAATGGTGGTGCCTCTTATTGTAAACTGGATTTGAGCCCACCGATTTGTCATGGGGGAGATCAGCCTTGTGGTACGGTCGCTATCTGCGGTCCTCCTGTAACAGTTACACCGACTGATGTGGTTCCTACTGGTGATGGAACGTATGAGCCAGCCTGTGACACGATGTGCCAGAGTCTCAATGATGAGGCTTCGTATTGTAAGTGGTGGCTCCCTCGTCCAACCTGCCTCGGTGGCGATCAGCCATGCGGTGATCAAACTATCTGTACTTCCCAGACGTGGCCTCCTGCCCCCACACCGTCTCTTCCAGCTGGTGCCCACCCTCATGAGTCTGCCCCTTGCAACGAATATTGCGTCGGCCTTAATGGACCATCTTCGTTCTGTAAGTGGTGGAAGAATGAGCCTGTCTGTCAGGGAGGCGATCAGCCCTGTGGTGTATCGGATTGTCCTACCGGTACCCTTGCTCCCACTGGAGGCCCTCCGGACTCCCATGCTGGCCCTAGTCCAAACTGCAATGCGTACTGTGCCGCAATGAACCCTGGCCTTTCCGGTGATCGCGTGTCGTACTGCAAGTGGTGGCTGTATGTGCCAGCCTGTTACGTTGGTGATCAGCTCTGCGGCCCCAGCGTCTGCAGCGATTACGAGGACACTACAACTCCGACTCCTGACACTACCACGGCGGCGACGTCTACCGTTACGACGTCTACTGATCAGGTGACGACAACCACTACTCAGACGCCGCCCTAGGGCTCTATAGGATGAAGATCGTCAACCGTATATCGGTCTCTACTGGTGAGTCGCCCTATGATCTTTGGCATGATATTGTGGCCGCCCGTAAAAATCGATCATTCATATATAATCGCATTCCTCATTCATCAGCTGATTAGCTTAGCACATATTATGTGTATCCTGAGCATGTAGATGCTCTCCAATCATCGTGTGAGTAGGGCTAGCAAGATATCCGATGCGATTCGGAGTTGTGTTGAAGTATTTGCTGTTTATTGCATGTCGTCATCGGGGCTTGTTTCACATGCTACAAAACAGACTGTGTCGGATAGAGTGATGTTCGAACCGTCAACCGACCTCAGCTCATTGAGCAACTAGAAGCACAGGGCTTCATTAGGAATGCAGTGCTGTTTGCAGTGGTTGAACGAGTAACATGCGACCGATCTCAGGGGTGTTCGATACAGAGCTGGAGTACCTCATTTGTGGCTGGTTTGTTCAATTTCGGTAACTTACCGACGGTAAGTTAAAGTTTCAGCAAAAGTGATTGAAGGATTTCTGTACGCAGTTCCATTCACGGACATGAGAACGAGGTACGGAGATTCCGAGTGTCATACCACCAGGCAATCAGTCGTTAGCTTCTCTTATGGGCATGTCTTCGAGCAGCTTCCTCCGGTCTACAAAATATCAGCGGAACATTTCTTGTCTTCAGACGCGCCATTGGATACCTGGCTCACGTAGCGGCAGAATTCGACTGAGTCACAGCCTCGGAATGAAACGACACAGCATATCAGATTGTACAAGATCACCTAGCTGGGCGAGAGCAGACTCCAAGAAGATACTTTGAAGTTCAATGCAATATCTCGCCCCACCTGACATCGTCCGGACAGGTAAAACCATTTTTATTGTGCGAGCTCGTATCTCCCTTCCAATCGCGCTATCCGTGCTGCACATCGATTACGGGTTGCGAATTCAGGTACTAGAGTGTTGTTCCCGATTGTTGTGAGGAGATCAACCCGCTGTGAGCTCTTATCGGGCGGAGGGTTTGGATCAACAGCTTGCTCTCATCCAGAAGAAAGCTAGAGACTCCCTAGCTTTCTAGCTCTCTAGCTCTCTAGTAGAGAGCAATTTCTAGTCGAGTGTGCAACAGTAAGCCTTAACAACCGTCATGCCCTCAGTCAGTCATGTCGTCTCCCCGATGATTATCACCACTCGTAGTGGAGATTTTCGTAGGTCACTCCTCGAATCCGTGTTGCTGTGAGTCCACTGAAAACCTGTCATATCTCTTCTTCATGATTCTGCTGGGACGCGGGGAGGATAAGAGCGAAAGTTCGAACAGAGACCCTCTCAAGAAGAGATGTTTGGAGACCTAAAAGCAGCTGAAACATTCCAGATATTTTGTTGGTCGTGATGAAATAGATACGAACTATATGATCACTTAGCTCTGGCTGTGTTTTAAACATATTCAACTCTCCCCATCATCCATACCGATATATTTCACATTGGATCGCCAAAAATATGGAGTCCGGGCGAGAGTGCATATCAGAGCATTGGTCTCACCAATCCAATAAAATGATACGAGCACTGAATTGCTGATAAGTAACACACCAGTTCACGGATGCCAGGGATTCGAGAAGTACCACCAGCAACTTCATGTCACAAGATAGTAGGGCTACTGAACACGGAACACAAGCCGAAGCTCTAACGAGTCTTACATACACTAAAGTAGACACAAAGCCGATAGTCAACAACGTCAGGAGCCTGTAGTTGTGTTGTTTAGTTTCGAGGAGTGACTCAACTACTCGGATACAAGACTCGTATCCGAATAGTTGGGTATTACGAATTAAACTTCAGCTTCAGTACTTGGCTGAGGATTCTACATTGTAGATGTTCTCTCAGCCAACCAGTACCGGATTCTGTATAGGATTAGACCTCATACAATTTCGATTTGACAGGGAGACAACCACCGGTAGTAGAGGTCATGTACAGTGCTCCATGAAGACAGATCCTCAAGTGTGCCGTGAGACTGCCGACCCTTAATAATGAACTCACCAACAATCCTCACAACTCAATGTTTCCCATAGTGCCCCTGCACGAGTCCAACAAAAATCGCAGTGAGCCTGAAGAGTCCAAATTAGAGCAAATAAGTCGATACTCCGATGCCGGGACGTTCGGTCTACCGGAGCTTAAGCTCTGAAGTACCGTGTGAAATCATCGGTATTAGCTCAGGTGGGTTACTGGGTCCCAACATGGGCATCCCATGTGAAGATGGTCGATGTGGTGAGAGGCTTTTCGGCTAGCAACAGGCCAATGGAAGACTCGCGCACGGAGAAGATTCGAGAATCTTTCCGTTTCGACCAAGCCTATCTTGACTTGCGAGCTGAAGCATATTCCCATCATGTGGCAAAGCTGAAGAAATTCATGAGAATTTGGTCAGAAGTACTGGATACTGAGCTTGAATTCCGTAAGCTGTGTGCTGCACTGTTCTCAGGTTGGCGATGACGCCAGTGCTGATCGTGCATGAAATTAGCATTCACCCTATTCCTACAACCTATGCTCACCTTCCTTGCTGTCAGCGCTCTTTCTCCAGCGGTGCTGGGGAGTCTCCGTCGTCTCCAAGTCAGCACGACCACGTCGCCTCCTGCCACCACGACTCCAACAAGTACGGTCGACATTGCCACTTTGCAGAACACTTGTGACATCTACTGCCAGGGGCTCAATGGTGGTGCCTCTTATTGTAAACTGGATCTGAGCCCACCGATTTGTCATGGGGGAGATCAGCCTTGTGGTACGGTCGCTATCTGCGGTCCTCCTGTAACAGTTACACCGACTGATGTGGTTCCTACTGGTGATGGAACGTATGAGCCAGCCTGTGACACGATGTGCCAGAGTCTCAATGATGAGGCTTCGTATTGTAAGTGGTGGCTCCCTCGTCCAACCTGCCTCGGTGGCGATCAGCCATGCGGTGATCAAACTATCTGTACTTCCCAGACGTGGCCTCCTGCCCCCACACCGTCTCTTCCCGCTGGTGCCCACCCTCATGAGTCTGCCCCTTGCAACGAATATTGCGTCGGACTTAATGGACCATCTTCGTTCTGTAAGTGGTGGAAGAATGAGCCTGTCTGTCAGGGGGGCGATCAGCCCTGTGGTGTACCGGATTGCCCTACCGGTACCCCCGCTCCCACCGAAGGCCCGCCGGACTCCCATGCTGGCCCCAGCCCAAACTGCGATGCCTACTGTACTGCTATCAACCCCGGTCTCTCCGGTGATCGCGTGTCGTACTGCAAGTGGTGGCTCCACGTGCCCGTCTGTTATGTTGGGGATCAGCCTTGCGGTCCAAGCGTATGCAGCGACTTCGGGGAGACTACAACCCCGACCCCTATCACTACTGGAGCGACTACATCTGTGACGCCAACTATCCAGATCACCAGTACTGCTGCTCCTACCACACAAACGACCATGCCGTCAGCCTCGACCACTCAGACGGCTACTACTGTCGTTCCAACCACTCAGGGGGCTACTACTGTCTCTCCGACGACTCAGGCTGTCACTACTGTCGCTGCGACCACACAGGCGGCCACGACTACCGTTCCAACCACACAGGCGGCTACTACTGTCGTTCTAACCACACAGGCGGCTACTACTGTCGTTTCAACCTCTCAGGGGGCTACTACTCTCTCTCCGACGACTCAGGCTGTCACTACTGTTGCTGCGACCACACAGGCGGCTACTACTGTCGCTCCAACCACACAGGCGGCTACTACTGTCGTTCCAACCACTCAGGGAGCTACTACTGTCGTCCCAACCACTCAGGGGGCTACTACTGTCTCTCCGACGACTCAGGCTGTCACTACTGTCGCTGCGACCACACAGGCGGCCACGACTACCGTCCCAACCACACAAGCGGCTACTACTGTCGTCCCAACCACTCAGGGGGCTGCTACTGTCTCTCCGACGACTCAGGCTGTCACTACTGTCGTTCAAACCACACAGGCGGCTACTACTGTCGTTCCAACCACACAGGCGGCTACTACTGTCGTTCCAACCACTCAGGGAGCTACTACTGTCTCTCCGACGACTCAGGCTGTCACTACTGTCGTTCAAACCACACAGGCGGCTACTACTGTCGTTCCAACCACACAGGCGGCTACTACTGTCGTTCCAACCACTCAGGGAGCTACTACTGTCGTTCCAACCACTCAGGGAGCTACTACTGTCGTCTCAACCACTCAGGGGGCTACTACTGTCTTTCCGACGACTCAGGCTGTCACTACTGTCGCTGCGACCACACAGGCGGCTACTACTGTCGCTCAAACCACTCAGGCGGCTACGACCACCGTCCTGACCACTCAGGCGGCTACGACCGCCGTCCTGACCACTCAGGCGGCTACCAGCGTCGTTCCGACCACTCGGGCGGCTACAACTGTCGCTGTGGCCACACAGGCTGTCACCACTGTGCCTCCGACCACTCAAGTTCCGACCACTACCCAGGCTCCCCCCTAAGGTTTCTTCTAGGCGAACTCGTAAAACGGCTGCCTTTCGAGATCGCTTTCATGTCCACTATTGTCCGACATATCCTTCATTCATATCATTCATTTGTGTCTTTACATTTCATTGATGACCCGAATCGGGCCACTTGACTGATTCGGAGTTCATTCATTATGTGTGTCGTAGTTCTTCGCTGCTCGTGGACCATTGAAGTGAGTAGAAGTGAAACGATATCTTCCCGTGTTGAGTTTCTCATCTTGGTCCGAGATTCTCGGATACATGTGACATAGCTCGAAGTGGCAAATCACAGGGTATGCAAGTTACTATGAGTGAATGCATGTCGAGATGTCAGTTGCCTGTGCGCCATTATTCCTTCCCCGAGTCGGGAATTCCCACCGCACCGATGACTCGATTAAGATATTCAGCATTCCAATAGACATAATATTAATATGTGGCCAACTCGGAATGTGCACGAATTGTCTTTGGATGCTTTGCCTCATTCCGTCTGTTCTCTATTGGCGACATATCCTGCTTGAGTGTTCCCAAACATCACGATAAACCCGCAGTTCAGACCCTGTGAAATTCCAACGTTTCTCGGCCTGCGGATGGCAGATTCGAATGCGCCCCCTTCTCCCATATTTCCCTACGTTTCACAGTTCCCAACAAAATATCCAATACGCAGCAGCAAATAATTTTGCACTTTTCCGAAAATTCCTTCCATCCACTGTGGATTCCACACAGCACTCACCACAATCTACCTCATTCGAATCGAGTGTTGATCCAACGATAGCACCAACGGGATAGCTTTTCAACCGGGATATAAGTCGAACTTCATTCTTGTTGCCCTTTTGCCAGCATCGACTGATCCGATTCGGGTCGCTATGGTATTCTCAAATTTCGAAATATGTGAACGCGAACCCATGGCGACCGGTGTGCATGGCGAGATCTGTCATTCCGATAAATCTGCACGAGCGCTGGAGGATGAGTTCTTCGATGCCAACCGGAACGAAGCTCCGGAAGCTGGAGTACTATCGCATTACTACTGTATAAGACTAACTAGCCGACTTCACTCAAGTGATGACTAAGCTCGATTGAAAAACATCCGCATGAAGTAATCCCGGAGACTACTAGACCTCAAGAAAGCCGCGAATAGGAGAATTTGCGCACAATGGAGGATACTAGGATCTTCCCGTTTCGGACAAACCGATCTCGACTGCAAAGAAGGAAGACGTAATTCGAGCTCAAGAGTCAATTTCAGATACCCCGTCAAAATTCTCAAGGGTGCAATTATTGAAGTTTCCCCGAGATCGAGCGCAACTCACGCTCCTGCAATCAGAGCGGTGGAGGCAACGTCCAATGTGTCAGTATTCGATCTATCCCTACAACCTATGCTCACCTTCCTTGCTGTCAGCGCTCTTTCTCCAGCGGTGTTAGGGTGTCTCCGTCGTCTCCAAGTCAGCACCACCACGTCGCCTCCTGCCACCACGACTCCAACAAGTACGGTCGACATTGCCACTTTGCAGAACACTTGTGATATCTACTGCCAGGGGCTCAATGGTGGTGCCTCTTATTGTAAACTGGATTTGAGCCCACCGATTTGTCATGGGGGAGATCAGCCTTGTGGTACGGTCGCTATCTGCGGTCCTCCTGTAACAGTTACACCGACTGATGTGGTTCCTACTGGTGATGGAACGTATGAGCCAGCCTGTGACACGATGTGCCAGAGTCTCAATGATGAGGCTTCGTATTGTAAGTGGTGGCTCCCTCGTCCAACCTGCCTCGGTGGCGATCAGCCATGCGGTGATCAAACTATCTGTACTTCCCAGACGTGGCCTCCTGCCCCCACACCGTCTCTTCCAGCTGGTGCCCACCCTCATGAGTCTGCCCCTTGCAACGAATATTGCGTCGGACTTAATGGACCATCTTCGTTCTGTAAGTGGTGGAAGAATGAGCCTGTCTGTCAGGGAGGCGATCAGCCCTGTGGTGTATCGGATTGTCCTACCGGTACCCTTGCTCCCACTGGAGGCCCTCCGGACTCCCATGCTGGCCCTAGTCCAAACTGCAATGCGTACTGTGCCGCAATGAACCCTGGCCTTTCCGGTGATCGCGTGTCCTACTGCAAGTGGTGGCTGTATGTGCCAGCCTGTTACGTTGGTGATCAGCTCTGCGGCCCCAGCGTCTGCAGCGATTACGAGGACACTACAACTCCGACTCCTGACACTACCACGGCGGCGACGTCTACCGTTACGACGTCTACTGATCAGGTGACGACAACCACTACTCAGACGCCGCCCTAGGGCTCTATAGGATGAAGATCGTCAACCGTATATCGGTCTCTACTGGTGAGTCGCCCTATGATCTTTGGCATGATATTGTGGCCGCCCGTAGAAATCGATCATTCATATATAATCGCATTCCTCATTCATCAGCTGATTAGCTTAACACATATCATGTGTATCCTGAGCATGTAGATGCTCTCCAATCATCGTGTGAGTAGGGCTAGCAAGATATCCGATGCGATTCGGAGTTGTGTTGAAGTATTTGCTGTTTATTGCATGTCGTCATCGGGGCTTGTTTCACATGCTACAAAACAGACTGTGTCGGATAGTCACGTTCGAGTCGTCAACACGTCGTAGAAGCACAGGTATTCATTAGCAGTGTGCTGCTGCAAGGCAATAAGATCGATAGCAAACTCCTTTCGATCTCTCTTCAGGGGACCAGAAAAATCTCTAAAGATTGTTCGGAGTTTTCCAGTGCGTCGGAAGGGTGTTGGAAATCGTGCTGTAATGCTACTTACTTAGAGCTATCTTCCGTGAACAAGAAACGGGAGTTTTTCACTCGAAATCTCTCATCAGGCAGTTGCTAGATTATTTCGGAGAACCGCTTGCAGCCATCAATGATTTGCATCTACAGTATACAAATCAGATAACTGCCAATGCGCAACAAACATTCCATCAACTCAACCAAATTCTACCTATTCTAATCGTTAAGGTGGACTTTTCGAAACGTACCATCAGCGAGTCTCTAAATAAAATAGTTCCGCTCCCTCGTTTGTTCGGTAATGACGTGTAGTCGAACGAGAAATAAAGAAGCCTTGCATTTCCACTTCAACACAATCACTTCATCTGGCAGGGACAACGACAATTATGCGGTGCCTCTAGCAGTAGTGTCTGGCATCAGGGGGGACACAGAAAGTCGGCCCCAGATGAGGGCGGGATGGTAACCTCTCAGTATGCCGAACTGAAGGAAGAGCGCGGCAGAATAAGACAAGCTTCAAATCTCGCTGAAGAAATGGGACACTTCGGGCATCCCGGACATCTTGACAAAATACATGTACAGAAAAGGAGCATAATTCGTCAAATGTGATCTCGACCCAAAGATTTTGTTCATCCCGACCCGGTTGTCGTCAGCAATACAATTAGTAAGTTTGGTGAATAAATCTCAAGAAATAGACTCACCTCTGAGATACGGCGGATGTTTCCTGCCCTATCGTGTGAATCGTAACACAAGAGTGCGGAAATAGTCTGTTCGCATGAATCTCTCTCCTCAGAGTCTAGCTGGGGGGTAAGGAATGGATGAAACGAGAGGGGGTCGCTATCCGCGCGGACAATTCTGTTGAAGATCTGCAGATGCTCCGTGTCGCGGAGCTGAATAACAAAAGAGTCGGCACCGGTTGCGAACGAAGGGATCACATGACTCACCTCCTCCCCGAAGGGCTTGGGACCGAACAAACACTCAAATAGGATAACTCCAAGCGACCAGTAGTCATACTCGTAACTATAGCCCGTACCAAGGATCACTTCGGGAGCCTGAACACTGCTAAGATAACAGCATTCCAGGGGATCCCATTATACCATATAATGAGGACTTCCGACTAGGGAATATGTTTTCTCTGGACTACCCGGAGTGAACTTCTTAGCGGTTCCGAAATCAGCCAGCTTGAGATAGCCCTAGGACAGACAGGATAGGTACGATGCTTCCAAAAAAGATGAGAACTCAGTGGAGAACTCTACACATATCAACTGATCTCCTATGAGTAAGCCTATCAGTACTCAAACGCCTAGACACGCAGTGGGTTCCTCTTGTTGTTATTCGGAAAGATTCCATCAGTTCGTGCGATCAAGCTACTGACGTACTCTCGTATCAAGGAGGAGATTCTCAGGTTTGAGGTCCCGGAATATAATATGATGGTGGCCATGTAGATGCTGTAGGGCGGAATGCACGCTACCTACGACACCCAACATGATACCGCAACTTCTGGACATCATTCACACCTGCAACGAACTTGCCCGCCTCTAATGAGAAGAGCCCGATAGTGCGCATGCGTGCATGGAGATCCCCTCCAGCACAGCACTCCAGAAGGAAATACACGTATCTATCGGTACGAATACATAATTGGTGGACTACAGAAGACTCTACTTTTCATCCTGTAACGTGGCAGCCTGACGCACTATGCACGGATGGTCGACCTTCGTTAGAAGATCTCTCTCTCGCTCGAGTACCCTAAACGCAACTCCTAGATGGAACTGTCTCTCAGGGCTAGACCGGCTTCGCCATGGCTGATCGTTACTTGAGGGATCGGGAATGGTTGGCCTTTTTGACGCATTTCAGAGCCATATCAATAGCTATGTCCCCAGAATCTTCACAGTGCGCGATCTGATATCGTCGCCAAACATAGAATTTAGAGAGGAGATTCTCGATCACCTTGACGCGTTTCACAACGCCGAAGGTTCCTCTTCCCAGGATGCCCATCGGCATCAGACACGTGACCGGTAGTTCTGCCGCTTCGGAAAGAACAACCCGCGATACGACCAAGGCGAAGAGAGCCTCTCCAAGCACTCTGCGGAGGGAAGAAAGATCGATCGAATACCTGTAATTTCCCAAATGACAGCATCAGTGATAGTGACCAACCCGATATGAGCGGGAGGCTGTAGTCTGATAGTCACTGATCGAGTAGTCTGCGTAGATCCAATGCCAGTTATGAGTTTTGATCTTAGAAAGGGCGTCGAATTATCAGCAGCATGTCGCACAGCTACCAAGAACCTGCACGCAGGTGAGTGCAGACAACTTCAGCATGGCTACTACTGACCAGGATGAGGGTCCCTTCACTTTTAGTTCATTCGTGCATCCCGTGTGATCATCGCATTCCAGTGGGTACATAATGTCACTACCAGCTATTTCCGACAGCATGATTTTAGGGATATGCCTTGTGAACACTCTGCGAAGCAACAGGAGATATTCCAGCTACTGCAGTTCGGCCATACTTCGCTCCCGTCAGGATCTCGAGTCTAAGCTCTTGTGAGTCCTCCATCATCCGAAGACATGGAGCCAGGCCTGATGCTCTCTAACGAAACGATCGACAAGCTTAGAATCCCACCTTCCTCAGCGGTACATCCCGGAGAAGTTCTAGTCTGTGATGGAGGAATTATTCGTTTCATCAATTCAATGCAGTGTCATTGGTGCAGGATGAAGAATCTGTTCACGTTAGTGTGTAAAACCCTCCAAGCCCACGGCTTCAAGTCAAGTAGCAGCCCAGTGTTCCCGCCCTCAGCGAACTAACCTTGAAGATCCGTCTGAAGCTGTAGGTAACGCATAGATCCGTATTACAACAGACTACTCTGATTGGTACAGAGTCGTCTCTATATCTTACACTATCGGGTTTCCTCATTTATTTTCCATTCGCCCCGGTCTCGGTTCGGGCACTTACCGGTAGAATAGCCGAATGGCTCGTCGTCTCTCAACGTGCTTAGAGCCATCAACATGATAACGCAAGCCCAGATGATCAACAAGTGAGGAATTTACGCCAGATACTAAAACATGCTTGAGTTCGACTCGAAGCGTTGGACATATCTCTTTCAACTGAAAGAGTTATACGATTGATGATATCCATTTCGAGGTCAAACCGATATCTTGGTCCATAAAATATTCGCATGTCAGATCAGTAGGCAAGTCGCAGGCCGCATGAATACATTATCACCATCATGACTGCACCTTTCAGAGGCATGTATCATGGTTACCAGTGACATCAATTGCTCTCATCGGGGCGGCTATGCCATCATCACAAGATATGCTTCAATGCAATCAATTTCTCGCGTGGGGCGGTTATATCACCATCCCAAGATAAGCCACAATATAACCACTTTCTCCGACCGGGGCGACTATGCCATCATCCCAAGATAAGCCACAATATAACCACTTTCTCCGACCGGGGCGACTATGCCATCATCCCAAGATATGCCTCAATATAACCACTTTCTCCGACCGGGGCGAATATGCCACCATCCCAAGATATGCCTCAATATAACCACTTTCTCCGACCGGGGCGACTATGCAATAGTCTGCCACCACTCCAAGATATGCCATAATAAACAAAGATATGCACACGGGTTAAGAAGATCACCTTCACCAGTAGATCAAGGTAAATCCAGCTTGGACAAAATTCGGGAATCAATTTCGCAGCGAGTAGGACTCTCTCGTTTGAGGGGCAGATATGCCAGGGTTCCTCGGCGCAATAATCTCCCAGGCGGATGCATATCCTGCGCCGATCTTGGGCGGAGCGACGGAGTCCTTTCGTGCATTTCCGGCACGGCACTTGGAGCTTTCTGCGTAACGCCACCTATTCAAGTTTTGCATCTCAGAACTTTCGAGTGAGGCGACCCCACAGGTCCCAATGCCTTACAGGAGAACCACGGCCGCGATCACTCGATATTACAGTCGTCTGTCGTTGGACGGTCGTCCAACTCCTTGCCAACTGTGGATCATGCGTCATTGATCGCCTACCCATTCGCTCTACTGAGAATAGCGATGGGACCACTACAACTATTGTATGACCAACTCGTGGACACATCGAAGGTTGCCCCTCTGCTACGTTTGCGACCGCGTTTACGAGGATCAGAGGCCTTTCCCTACAATCAGCTCTTGCTCGTCCGGTTAAGCTCCACGCCGGAAGCCAGAGTCTCGCAGAAATTTGGCGCATTTACAAATGACACCGACTGCCTCGTTGAACCTCGCTGCTCTCTTTCTCTCCCTTCACAGTCTAGCGTCCGATCCAGGAACGTAAGTAAACGGCATGCCTTCTCTCATCGTCTTGCGCGTCCAAGTAGGGTGAAGAAGCCTCGTTTATTGTACAGTTCTCCCCGACCTCCGTGGGAATCTCGGCCGATCCTTTATTCACAACTCTCGCCTTCTCAGACTCCCCGGTGCCCCACCAACGCAGGGACCGCAGACTCTGGTCCAGATACGGTAGGGGCACCTGCTGTTACAGCTGAGTGGATAGTTACATCGTAAAGATAGGTCGCGAGCTGTCACAATGTCCAATTCGCCTGAAGATCCTACAAGGCCTGGCAACGCCACTGCTGCTTCCCTTCACAATCCGTCTCAGACTCATCACGGCCTTCAGGTTATATCCCTAAGTGAACTCGATTTGTCCAGCTCTCGAATAGATACGACGCTTATCCGCCGGGTCCCTAGCATCTCTACCTCCCACTGAGGAGAGGGTCTACATAGTAGGCACACAGAGTGATGCTATCAAGGGAATACGGAAGTATGAGGCTTTTGGGTGGCCCGTGACGATACTAACGGCGCACTGCAGGTACATCGTGAAAGGAGAGTACCTACCCTGCGACTACGAGGGGTGTTTCCTCTATGCTTGCGGGTATTGCAAGAAAACGTCAGGCATGTTATGTGAGTCTAGGATGGTACAGTATCGCCAGTGAAGTGTGCTACTGCAGCCATGAAGACATACACATGCCCATCGGTGAAGCTAAGTCGCGACGAGCAGAGGAGGACCGTGATGCGAACACAGGTTGGAGATTTCTGCGAATTATCCCCCAAAGAAAAGTAAGCTATGATACTAGCAAACTGACGGTATTATCACCGTTATAGATTGGACCACTTTGGAGATCGGACATGTCGTAGTGTACTTAGTCTGGGCAAAGGTGAGTAATGACTCGTCACTTTTCGTGTTGCTTGGACGCCCAAACCGAATGATACGTCCCTCTAATGATGCGATAAGATGCGGAGTTAGGATGATTGTAGATTCCATTGAGTGTTGTATCCCGCAGACGCTGCTATGGCTAGAATATCTGAAGTGATCTATGGCTAATCACTTTAGGCACTCCGCCGGCCCAGGACTATTCTGACCAAACCTTCAAGTTGAAGTCGTTCAAGGCACCCAACCCCCGAGTTCTCTCCAAATTCCGTGCAGCGAAAGGCGAGGACATATCAGGAAAGATACCGGTGCTTCAAGATGGTAGGCATCTGTCAAAACATGCATTGTCGATCCTCTGTGTCGACAGGTACTGTTGATTGCACTCGACTTCTGCTGTACTTTGGCATAGATGAGTCGATGCCCCCTGGCAATCCACTGATGCCCCTTGGAGGTGCGATGGCGGTTCCCTCTGGTGGACCTCCGCCCGTCTCCGGTGCTCAAGGTGGAGGCCCAGCTCAAGAAGGGCCAAATGCTCAGAACCCTATGTTGGTACCCAATTTGTCAATACCATGTTCGCGTCTAGAAACCCTCCCCATCATTTTTTACTTAATATTTGCTGGAATTTCAGCATTCATGTAATGACCAGGCGAATGCTTGGACACGAGCGCCTCAGTGGGCGCTGGAGAATTCGTTGTGATATCGTCCTACAACTTCAGTGTTCGAGTATGGAATCTTAATCCCTTCCTAGGAAACACCGTAAGCCCTTAAGTACACATACGTCAATATCGGTGATGTTCGAAGGGATTAGGGATGGCCATCATGACACTCCACATCTTACTGAAGGGGGGAGTTCATAAGCAACGCCGGTATCGCAGTATCGAATCTCGAAGTATGTTCGGAGAGTGTGATAAGCTTAGTGAGAATTAGTGCAATCGTCCGAGCTACGTGTTACTGTGACTATAAAGATAACATGATAAGGGCGAATAGAACGCTTGTATTGATGGATGGGTCTTGCTCAATCGAAAGACATTTAGAGCTTGAATAGTTTTTGGGACTCCAGATTAAGGCAAAACTCTCCCACCAGCCAACGACTCGCAGATCAACTTCCGGTTTGGAGTCGTCGAAGAGCTGCATCTTGTGAGCCAGGGGTGAGTCGAAGATCAATGCAAATTTGTTTGAACCACCACTCCCGAGCAATCCCGTGTTCACTCGGGACTGGGCGGATTGAGTATAGTAGATGAAGTAAAACACTCCTGGGAAACCGGACGGCTCGAGACAGGACACCCGTAAGATCCACATATACCTCCCTATGATGAGAAGCAGCGTACGGGTTCTTTCGACGTTGTACGGTCAATACGTGTCATGCTTGTGGTAGCAATTCTCCACCAACCATATTGGCTGCAGTGGCTGGAGGCGTTAGTTGCGTTTCACGATAGTCCAATTTCGACCCACTCCCTGGGAGTGACTCCCATGAACCCTATCGAGCTGAATGGTGAGTCACTTCACTATCGACCTCGACAAACGAGGACGAGGAATCAATTCTGACCCCGTCCCGAAAAATATGGCATACCGATTCTCTTCATAAGGTAAATAAAATTTGCCGGACAAATCTATCCGGTTTACTCCACGATCGGGATACCATTTCATGAGACGCGAGGCATGGAACATGAAATCGATAGAGAATATTCATAGAGTCATGCGCGTTAGGTGTTGCCGTCCACTACAGTCTAGATGTGTAACACGTGCAGGATATTCACAACCACGTTCGAGCCACGAGTCGCTTATGAAGCGCTGAGGTGTCGATTTAATGCGCATATTGTTCACACTGCAACCAAGAAGGCCGATATAGAGTGGTTACGTACACCTCCAGTCAAAGACATGCGTTCATCGTAATGACGAGTTGTGGTCTCTTCTAGGCACCTCCGATGGTCCCCGGATGAGCCGGGAACGGATCGACAATGATTGGGAAGCCAGATTCTGAAAGAATGCCTAATCCTGATCGCATCTTGCCGATTCTGTTCTACCCTCCTCCGATTTCGCATTGCCGAAATAATTGCCAACTCTATACCACGACGCGCTCAACACTTCCTTGATCCTTCCCTGGGACTTGATGCTGTCCAAAACCTAACATGGTTCACTCCTGAGCTAACGGTCCGGAGGCCTGCCCACCTACCTTCCGACGGTAGCCTGTATGGACGACTGCGATGACTCCGACCAAGAGGAGGCATATACCAATGACGGCGAGACATACATGGGTGATCCTGAGAGGGGCAAACATCATATGCGCCCGTACATCATAGGAACGTTCAGTAGGCCGTGACACGTAATGGTCCAGCATGGCCTTACTTATGGAGCCAACCGGTTTGAGGTTCTTCAGCAACGACAACGGGAGCAGTTTGGGGAGGAGCTGTAATACCCGTACTCGACTCAGGCGGAGCGACAGTGGAATTGCCTCCAGCAGCCGAGTGGGAGCTGAGGAGATGCAAATTAGCCTCTTGCGAGAAGGGGAAGTTGCCATGTAATCGTATCCTACTTCGTTTCCAGAGCAGAATGATAGTATATCGGCTGCAGATCCGGGTCTGTGAGGAAGGCCTGACAGAAGATACCATTTCGCCGTTTTGGTGCCTCCCATGCGGATGAGAGAAGTCCATGGGAAGATTTTCCTAGATCGAGTGCGAGTGTCAAGGCACGCCCCACCGTATCGCATTAGTTATTTGGAAGTGTTGGGTGAGACTGAGTGTTAACCAGCTAGGCAGCAGAGGGCGGTGATAATACGGAACCTCACAACACGCCGTGCATTGGCTACACCACAGTCACATTGCCTAGCACGCATGCACATAGGCAATGCCCCTCAAACAACTAGTAAAGGTAAAAGAAAAATTCCAGGGTGGAACCGGCTCCAGATGCTCCTGGACGGCCAGATTGCTGTCACTTCAGTCTCGATCGGTTGCACCACTTTCTGGTTCGGGACGATCACAATGGTGCGCGCGCCACGCACGCACGAGCGATACTTGTTACGATTGCTTGAATTTGCCCCATGCAAGCCTGGACCTTCACTCCATGGGAGCGTAATAGCCCGTAGACTTGTTGGAGCCCCTCCTCACCTTAGTATCCAAGAGATCGGTCTTACTATTAAAAAGGTCAGCCTCGTCCTGTTCAGTCGGAAGGGGTTGCACCAACGGCTCCGATAACTGATCAAGATCAGCGTCAACCATAGAAGCCCATCCGAGTCAGCAGTACTTGTTGGATTACATCAGAGTGGTCACTTTGAGCATCCCTGAGTCTCCTTCTTGGTGCACTGTGCTGTTCCAATATAGAGCTGCTCTGACGTTTAGACTTGACCTTTTCACCGTGTCCGTGATGAGCCTTGACAAGAAGAATATTGTGACCATGGCTCGACCGGTATATAACCTCGTTGTGGATCTTCGGGTGAAAACGACTATCTTTCTCGAGACCGTTCTTGATGTGATGATGGCCCGAATGCTGGAAAACGAAAGTGTAAAATACAAAATAAGACCACGCCGACACACCTCATGGGTGTGTTTCTTCTCATGAGGCTTCGAATTGAGAAACTCCATATCAGCGTTCGTGGTGATTATAAAGTGGAGCCAAAGGGCTACCAACACTGAGAGACGATATCAACGCACCCGGCTGGAACCTCCATTGTACTTACTGAGTCGACCAGGGGACTTGGTGGGGACAGTAAGCATAGTGAAATTGGTAATGGCTAGAAATATTAAAAAACCCGCAAGTGAAAGCTCAACACTTTCCCGATGACGACAGGTGTTTATATGCAACATGCTTCGCGCATTGCTGAACGCTTTCTTTATCCCTCTTCTTGTTCCTGTATGTGAAGTTATCTCGATAAATGCGACCCGAGCCTGTCAACCTACGATGCCGAACTTGGTGTTGTGTTCACACTGTTTCCTCCTTTCCTCTCCATTCTCCTCCTCATCGACTTCCTGAAAGGCATCTATAACACCACGCCCCAACTCGACGGGATTCTTACAGCCTTAAATTGAGCCTCGTTGTCTTCACCCGAGCCTCTGCTTTTCTCCAGGAAGGAATCCTAACACACACTGCAACGTCATGAGCGGCAATAGGTTACCAACCTCATCATCATCGTCGTATGGGCACTTGATCCTTTCAGAAGCATGCTTAGATCCTATCTCCGCCAGAGAGGTATCATCAGGCGTATCGTCTCCCGGGTGGTGATCGCCATCATCACTCTTGACCAAACTGGCCAGCTCCTTCTTAAAGCCAGCGTACCAGTTATCAAGGCCCTTCTCATATTCAGAAGAGCTCAGCTCGTCGTTCTTCATATTGGCATCGAGAGTAGCCATGAATTTATCATCGACGCTGCTCTTGGTGCCCTCTTGGATGAACGAACTTTCGTTATCGTCCTCATTTAAGTCTTTTTCGAGTGGTTCCTGAATGCAAGCAGTGAGGTGCATACGTCATCGGAGTACCACTCACCAGACCCTTTAGTTCCTTCTCGAACTGGTCATGGACCTGTTTCTCTACGAGGACGTCCTTCTTCAGCTTGGCCATGGCCTTCTGAGTCTTAGCGCTCAGCTCAGCCATCACTGCATCAGCCTGAGAATGAACAAGAGTGAGTATGGAATAACAGTAGGCATGTTCATAGGAAAGCACTAATTTGTAACAGTACAGCATACAGTTGCACATTTAATGCTTTAATAAAGCATACGATGAAGCGCCCCGGGCGGCTTACGTCTTGTTTGTTTCCGGAAAGGGATGGAACCTGCAAGGGAAAAAGTAGGGGCTCTGAGGCAGTTAGTAACGCCTTACCTTGTCCTCGTCCTCATCAACGTCCATATGGCGATGATGAGAGTGTCTGAAGTTATGATGCTGATGGTAGTGACGACCTTCGGCCTCCATCTCGGCAGCAGCAGCGGCGCCTGAGTAGGGAAAGTGATGCTCTGATGATATGGGCTTCCTCTACCAGCAATAACAGACAAGAGTATGTATAGGTACATGTTGTAGGAAGGGATGGCAATCAGAGATAGTAGAGTAATAGCTGAGGCAATTCGAATGAGAAGAAGAGGGCTGATCGCTCTGACGCGTCGATGATCCTGCGCTGATCAGTAGCGCGCGCCATTATGATCGATTTGTTTTCCGCAACCACGCATCTTGTGTAACAACTAGCTTCATCGCCGCCTACTATCACTGTGTAACTTCTCTGAGATATCACCTTTTGGCTCAGAGGAATAATGCCTCTACGAAATCTGGTAAACTTTACTCGGTGGCCCCTTATGCACTGTTATTTTAACAGTAGTAGTTGCCCGAGTGTTTGTTTACTTTTTTACGTTTATATCACTCTTCTCAAAAGAGTATTTATATAAGTAACTCTGAATGCCGTCCTCCGATTCTAATAAAGACTTTGACGTCATCGTGTTCGGTGCTAGCGGTTACGCTGGGGCGTTCGTGGCTCAACAGATGTTGGCGCTCTGTGAGAAAAACAACATTAAGTTAGGTCTCGCTGGGAGGAATTCTGAGAGAATTATTCAAGTAATAATTACCAACACTCGTCGTTTTCGTTATCATATTTTTGGCGTTTAGGCGGTAAAAGCCCGCGGTGGCGCTCCTAGGGAGGACCAGATTGTTAAAGCCGATGTAGCTGACCCCGAATCCATCAAGAAGATGGCACTACGTAATTGAGGTTAATCAGTGGATTTCAGCGGTAGTTCTCCAACAGGTACTCGTGTCGTCATGAACTGCGTGGGGCCTTATCGCCACTTCGGTGAAGTAGTAGTGTCTGTATGTGCTGAAGTTGGCACGGACTATATGGATCTCTGTGGAGAGCCGGAGTTCATCGAGAAGATGCAGCTGAAGTAGTATGCTCACGGTCGAGGTAAGTGTAATCCCCCTTCGATTTCAGGTACACCGACGTCGCAAAGAGCAGTGGTGCTATCGTCATCAATGCTTGTGCATTCGATTCGGTCCCGGCTGACTTCGGCTTCCAGCTCATGAGGGATAGGCTGGCGAGGAACGGCGGGGTAATTCAAAGTGTGATATGTCCTTGAGTGAAGAGTGCTGATCAGATTCCGGTATCGATCGAGAGTTTCCTCAGGAACCTGTATGGCTCTAAGGGATATGTTGGACATTACGCCACGTAATACTGCTGATAATTTTGTAGCGCGCGAAAGATCTGCGCTGATGCTTAGGTACGAATGTGCAGTTTACGGCATGGGCTCGGTGGGGGAGCTACGTGCTGTTCGTAAGAGTTTACAGAGTGAAGGTAGGCACGTCGTCATTATAGAACTTGTTCATCCTGCATGGTAGTAGTGTGTAGTATATGTTTTAACTTCAGGGATGAAGCCAAAGTGAATCGTGTTGGCCCTGCTCTGAAACATCACCCAGGCTTCTTCGAAGATGATCGCGTTCCTGGAATGCTCTGTATGAACTTCCTTGGAAGTGATCGCTCTGTGGTCCAGCGTAGGTGTACTGTCTCCCCTGTTCTGTATAGGCACCTTGTATTATCAGGTACTCAGGACATGCAAACACTCGCTGACAAGAATTATCAAGGTTTCTATCACAACTGCTACCTTGCTGTGAGTATAGATTATTCACCTTATTCGTCTGTGATGTTGTTTACACAGGTTCAGAACACGATTTCCAACAAGCTTGGGTTCATCATATTTGGCGGTCTTGTCAATTTCCTTTGCAAATATACGTGGGGACGCAAGTTGCTATTGAAGTAAGTCGTCGAGGCCCTTGTTCTGTCCCCTGCCATCCTACTTTACCGGCAGGTACCCCAAGCTGTTCACCTTTGGCTATTTCTCCCATGAAGGTTCTACTATGGAGCAGTTGCAAGATGCCGGGTAGTAGATGCAGGTGTAGTTCGTGATTTCATGGCAATTTGATCATAGGTATCGCATAGACTTTTTCGGTAAGGGGTTTTCGAGCAAGAAGGCCATGGAGGACCACCCTGATGAGCCAGATGTTGAGGTTAAGGCCAGCGTTAGTGGTCCTGATCCAGGGTACATCGCGACTAGCAGGATGTTCTCTCAACTCGCTTTGGTAGGAAAATATGTCAGCTGTGGGAGTCGAACCCGAGACCTAGCGCACGGTAAACAATGGTCTTACCCGCTCAGGTATTGTTGACTATGAGAGACACCCTTGCTGTGAAGGAGGGTGGTGTTTATACGGCTGGCAGAGTGTTCAGAGGGAGTGAGGCTGCGAAGAGGCTCACTGAGGACGGCTGTGCTGTCTTCAGTGAAGAAATTCTGGCATAAGCGATGTCTTCATATGCGATGAGATTTTCCCCCGTATCGTCGCTTATGAGGCTGAAATTGAATTTTCTTATTCGCTATCGTCTCGTGGAAGCCCTTCGAGGCTCCTTTCACCAGTAAAGTGTAGTGTCGACTTTAAGTGGAGTAGATGGGAAGTGTGTAGAGTATTGATTTGTTACATGACCGCACCTTCATCATCACCTGAGAGAACCAACTCGGTCCAGTCGGGTACTGCCCGTGGCCGTCGTGGCCAACGGAAGTGTCAGAGAGACTTCGATGTGGTTGTGTTTGGCTGCACAGGATTCGTGGGCAAGCTCGTGCTTGAGAAGATGCATCGCTATGGGAAAGCTGCTGGGTTGAGAGTTGCGGCAGCGGGTAGAGACGAGGATAAGGTTAAACAGGTAAGGGTGCGGGTTTGTTATCCTAGGGGGCCTGGGTTCGATCCGTGGTTGAAGCATTTGTACTACTATCGGCTATTCCATGAAGATTCTTAGGTGTTGCAGCTCCTTAACTTAGAGGGTAAAGTCGGTTATATGATTGCGGGAGTTTACGATTTGGATTCTATCACGGCAATGGTGAAAAGTAAGTCTCCTCTGGTACCCAGGCTACTGCTACTACGCCTGTGTATTCAGATACTCGCCTTGTCCTCAACTGTGTCGGTCCATATGCTCTATTCGGTGAGCCGGTCGTGGCCGCTTGTGCTGAGGAGGGTACGGACTACATGGACCTCTCGGGAGAGGTTCAATTCATAGAGAAAATGCAATTGAAGTAGGCATGAAGTTGATGATAGTTATGTGGGGGCACTATATTTCACACGAATCATCATGGTGTATTTTTAGCTTTATATTTGTGAAGTTATTGTTATTGTAGTTTGCATATTTATAATATATAAGAACTGATATTAGCGCAGTATGTAGGCGGGTTGGTAGCTGAGTATACGGGAAGGGCACAGGTATACGGAGAAGGCCAAAGAGTCGGGAGCCGTTATTATGTCGGCGTGTGCTTGGGACTCGGTTCCGGAAGATCTGGGCTTCCAGCTTGTCAGGGAGAAGATGGTCAAGGAAGGAGTCGTAGGAGCTTCTATTGTTGGCGGCTGTCTTTTTATCTACAATCAGATACCGTACTCCGTTGAAGGTTTCGTTGATGTTATCCCGGGACCTCATGGATATAGAGCTAACTTTGGAACGTAACTGTGCTTGTCTTGGCACCCGTTGTAATGTATTCCGACAGATACGAGAGTGCTGTACTCGCTATGTCCTCTATGACGCTCATGGTGAAGATTCGCAAAGCCCTGCGATCCCAAGGTGGGTATCGAGTTTTGCCGTTTGTTATTATTATGCTTTTTCCTCATAGGGATGGGTCCTAAGCTGTACAAGCGCGGTCCGTCACCAATTTTACCGTGGAAGTATCTGCCTGTGTTATTTGACCGGAGGGTACCAGGAGTTTATATACCCTTCCTCGGTACAGATCCTCATGTTATCAAACGTAGAACTTTCCTGTCTGGGTGTCCTCTTATCGTGGGTTGTAGGTACACAGCAGATGCTGACTCTGTCGGATCCGCAGTATGTGGGAGTTCGATCTGCCTGTTATTTCAAGGTGGGTTGGGGTCCAGTTTCCCCTGTTGACATTGGTTTCAGTTACCTAACGGTATTTTGCCCAAGTTGGGTTACCTTTTCTATGGCATTCTGGTCTTCCTATTTTCACTTTTTGAAATCGGACGTAAGCTGCTTCTGAAGTAAACGGCCTTTCTTGTTCGTATCTATCCCCATACCATCTTGTTCAGTTTCCCAGAGGCATTCACCCATGGTATGTTCAGTCGTCGTGGCCCGACGGTGGATCAAATGGAGACCACAAAGTAGTACCATACCGTTATTATGATGGCTATAATGGAGTTTCACCCGTGATATGAGAAACACTAGTGGAAAACGCATTTCACGACTACTGCATACCACGAATATCGCGTTTTTCGCCGAGTTTTACGCCACTTCACGTGAAACGGGCGAAACTGCATTGTTGGTCATATATACTTGCATATATGCTTATTAGTTTACTATATTTTATAAAATTCATCAGTTTCATCGATAGTTTTGCTATCTTTATGAGTATTGATACACGTGTGAATTGTTTCTGTACATATATCACTGTTTGGCCGCTCATTTCGGATGAACTGCTGAGTTCGCAGCCACACTGCTATGTTGCCCTTGTGGAAGGAGTGTTGCTGCATATGAATATATATGTTCTATATCGTGCTTTTCAGTTATAAAATAGATTTGTTCGGCCGTGGTTACTCTAGTGAGAAGGCCCTAGAAGGCCACCCTAATAAGCCTGACGTCGAGATTAGAGCCTCCGTTACTGGTCCCGACCCGGGGTATAACGCGACAAGCGGGATATTCACAACCCTTGCTATGGTGAGCTCTATTTGGGCTGCATCATTCTCTGTTATTGTCTGTGTTAGGTTCTACTCACTGAGAAGGACACGTTGGCAACGAAGGAAGGAGGAGTGTACACCCCGGCTGTGGTGTTTAGGGGCAGTACTGCTGCAAGAAGGCTCACAGAGGAGGGGTATGCTGCTTTTAGTGCCAATCTTATTCAGTGAGTATTATTGAATAAGCGAGAGCGAGAATCAGTTGTTTCTCATTCAACGATGTTGGGTTGGAGTTACATGGAAGGTACATGTCGAGAGTTGCGCTCAGGCTGGATTTGGTACTGAGAAAGTCCGCTTAGTGTTGTGATCGATTTGGGAGTATTGAACTGGATACGTTTGATTCAGGGAACAGTGTAGTAGCCTGCCTCTTCGGCAGATGATGTATTGGGAGTCTCGGATGGAGATAGGAAGAGAGGCGAGGGGCCGTGGGTGTCATAGGCATCACATAAACTCATGAGGGAATGTTGTAAAAATATATGTTTGATTGAGATCAAAAGTTTCCAAGTAGGTTTAACTTCGAGGAATGTTGGTGTTAGTGATGCTACTAGAGGACGCATAGTTGACTGTAATTGTAATGTCTCACAGCGTCACATCTCAACACTCAGAAGGGAGTAGAGACTTCGACGTGGTGGTCTTCGGTTGCACGGGTTTGGTCGGTCGCCTCACACTGAAGACAGTAGTCGAGTTGGCGGTTCCTGCTGGTCTGAAGGTTGCTGCTGCTGGTCGGAATGAGGAAAGGATGAAAGAAGTGGGTCGATAGCCTCCCTCTTGTTGGATACCACTCTTTTCCCTCATCGTGTTGTCAGATCATATCAGAGCTCCCTGCGTCCGGGGCTACTGTGAAGTATATAGCGGCAGATGCATATGACTCTCACTCGATCCAGGAGATGGCCAGAAGTGAAATCAGCGTGGTATGGTTTCCGTCCTAGGGTTGATTTCAGGGACTCGATTGGTCCTCAACTGCGCCGGTCCTTTTACTGTTCACGGCGAGGTTGTCGTGAGGGCGTGTGTAGAGGCTGGTACGGATTACATGGACACTACGGGGGAAATCAACTTCGCGGAAGCCATGCAATTGAAGTAAGGAAAAACTCTGATAGTCTTCTAGTGTTGGTAAGGTACTCTGCTGCGGCCAAGGCCTCGGGGTCCATCGTTGTATCCTCATGTGCATTCGACGCTGTGCCAGGGGACATGGGTGTTCAGATCATGCACGACGTGCTGAGCAAAAATAACGGAGTGAGATGTGTACGACTCTGTGCAATTCATCGTATCATTTTTGTCAGATTCCGTATTCGGTTGAGGCCTTCCTAGAGATCATCGAGGGTCCCCAGGGTTACACTGGTGGCTTCGGCACGTAAGTACTACTGCCTCTTCGTGACAGCCATTGGTGGGCAGATTCAACAGCTTACTTCTGGCCGTTACTAACATCTCAGCTCTGAGGAAGATTCGTCGAGCGTTGCATTCATCAGGTGGGCCGTCAAGCAGGCCGATGTGGAGTCTATCTCGCCTCGTCAGGTCAGCGGCCGGATCTGCATTTCCGAGGGCCTAAGTTCACACCACACCGTCTGCCATTCCTCGATTCGAGACTCACCAGTGGTGGTATTTACGTTCCGTTCCTTGGCCCAACACCATCTGTAGTGCTGCGTAAGTCCCTATATGGAAGTCGCCCTGAAATGATCCAAATCATGGCAGGCTCACAGCAGTTGTTGACGAGGGAAGATCCGTCGTATACGGCAGTGAATGATGTTACCTACATGAAGGTGAGGACGATGCTGTTGAGCCTGCAGTGATAGGTTCTCAGATGCCCCCTGGAATTATCACCAAAATTGGATATGCCTTCTTCGGCATTATTTGTTTGATCATGTCAACATTCGAGGTTGGTCGGAGACTTCTTCTTAAGTGAGAATAGAAGCATTATGGGTTGATCCCTGGAAGATCTATCTCAGGTTCCCCGAGGCTTTTACGGGTGGTAAAATCTCACGAACGGGCCCTACGAAAGAGCAGATGGACACCACATTGTAGGCCAATGCGTTCACTCACTATTGTCGCTATGAGCGTTCCTATGTGTAGTTACAAGATATCTTTCATCGGCTCTGGTTACTCTAGTGAGAAGGCTCTAGAGTCCCATCCTCAGCGCCGAGACGTGGTCGTCAAAGGCAGCGTCACCGGACCCGACCCTGGATATAATGCCACCAGTGGAATCCTCGCCACCTTGGGATATGTAAACTCTTCCTTACTTGTTTTCGTGGCCTCTTGTCTGTTACTTGCGGTTGTTATCAGGTGATGCTAATGGAGCGAGACAAGCTGAATGTCAAATGTGGTGGAGTGTACACTCCTGCGATAGTGTTCCGAGGCACGAGTGCTGCGGCTAAGTTGACTGAGGGCAAATTCGCCGTCTACAGCTCGAATATGCTGCAGTAGATTTCGGTGACAAGTTCCTGTTACGGATGAGCTCTAATCTGATGATAAGTTGATTTTTTTCCACACTCGAATGTGGTTGACTTGTCACAGTGGGAAAGGGTATAGGACGACCTCAAGCCAGTGATTGGTGAACGCGCGTTATGAATATACCGATGGGTACCTGAGGTGACCCACATTTGGGTTAGAAGAGTTGTACCATTATATTCGTGTGGACTCAATGCCCCGATCACGCGTTATCGATTCGTACCCTCTTTCATGTCTGGTATCGTTACGCGAGAGCCCTATAACAACGAACGCGACGAGCAAGTTCATAGGATGGGGATGATATTGATTCGATTATAACAAGAACATGTGTGGGAAATAGGAGTCCTATGAGCCTACAACTCGTGGGTTGCATGCGACTCGAGCCCTACCACCATGTTGGTCATACTGGATCAGATGGCGAGATGTCTCGATCAAGTGAGATCCCCGCCTAGCCTCGGAATGCGGTGTAGTCTGGGACGCAGCCATTGTTAAGGCCACATAGTAGTGAACAGCGGGCAATCTAGCTACTGCTGCAACGGAGAGCGAGTGGACGTGGATGCGGCATTTCAACAGGGACGTCACTTAGCACTGTTATCAACATGAACAAGGTATGCGAGACGCTATCACCATAAGTGAACAATAGGAAGCTTCGGGAAACGGGGCTATGAATGACACCACATGACAGAAGCGACTGTATGCACATAGACAGACGCGGACGGAGATGGATCGATAGATCAGGTCGTATAAAGATCCGTTCAGAGTGCACCGCCGCGGTCGAGAGCTGAGAGTATGTAAACCCAGCAATGGTTTTGCCTAGCGGGATGCGGTGTTGGTTTGCCAACAACTGACTCCGAGTTGTACTGTATGCGTTCATCGACAAACTCCGGCTTGGTTACTGAAGGGGGAATTTTTAATGTGGAAGCAACGGAGAACCCCTCAAGGGGCACCTTACCCGAATTGTTGCCTGTCCGCCCTCCCGTATTGCGGAGAACTTTTAAGAATTGCCTCAGCCGTTTTCGAGCCTCCTCCTGACGTACTTCCTTCATCATTTCCACCATGGACGTGGAATCTGCTGAGGCGACAGGCACTGCCCTGAACAGTGCAATGGTAAGCCACGCTCAATACCCTCCTCACCTCGAACGCATAATATTGATCAACATAGCTTGTGTCGAGAGCTCGCCACGCCTCACTTGGCAGACACGGAGATCAACACCAGACAGGAGGGAATCTCGATGAGGACTGTGGGATATGAGCAGAACCCTCCCGGTGTCGGGCTGCAGAACCTTGGGGATCTCTTTCAGCAAAGCCACTGCACTATCAGTAGAGCCCGAACACATCAAAGCATCGAGGGTTCCCTTATCAATAATCAGATCGAATCGACGACCTGCGTAACTCAGGTTTGCCACTAGAGACAACAGCGTCACCTTCGAAAAATGCGCCCATCATGGTCGCGTCTACACAAAGCCACTCAAGTCTATCATTCAGATCAGCGTGCTCGGCGTAGTGCCTGGACTGATAACAACGACACGTGAGACTCTTGCCTCAAGAATTCGGACATGCTCATTGCTTCAATGATGGTTCTGGAGAGGTCTATACAGCAGACGTGTCGAAAGCCGTGGCGCGTGACCAGGTCCTCAGGCAACTGGGAGTTGCCGCATCCGATAATCAGCACCTAGATAGTATCATCAACAAGGGGCATCCTGCCTGGTACTGTCTAACATCGTGTATGCCCTCGGCTGGTGACGGCAGGAAGTCAGCGATCTCAGTATAGCCCATGTACCAATCGAAGAAGCTCATACGCCTGATCATAAGAGGATTGGCCTCGCCCTTGTGCAACGCTGGATCAGCCATCCATCCCCAACCCAGGTTCTTGATCACTTTCCGCTAGCTCCATCATGAACTTGTTCACGGAACCGGGCATCCCAATACTCAGCCTTTGCGTAGCGTTGTGCTGCGGAAGTCGATCGTGTCATGGAAGCCATAGTAGGAGGAGGAATACTCTTTCATGTTGTATAGTCGGTGCCCCTCCTAACGCGGCCACAACACGATGAAATACATCACCGATGAGCACGCATGTCAGTATCGGACAAGAGTGAAGAGTCGCTTGTATCGCTGGTGCCACGTCGGGTACTTCGACGCCGTTTACTCCGAGATGTGCATCTAAGCCAGAGCGGAGGAGGAAGCCCGTCCACAGTGGGTTATACCGAGGAGACGGCCCGATTGACTTACGCTATGAAGAGTGTGCCAAGTACGAGTATCGCTCCGCCGAACATGGCCGGTACAGATTGTGAATAGTCAGTACTGAATAAGGACCTCTCAATGCTTGCGGCCTTGTATTAAGTTGTTTACACCTTATGTTGCATCTTATCTATTGGGACCTCTATCGTAGTGGGTCCATGGTGTTTACCATTGTGGCAAGCCGTGCTACCACAGCTAGCCTTAGCGGCACAACCTGACCACATGACGAGCATCCCAACACTGACGGAAACAACACCGAGGCGCCCCCACATGAATCGCATTTGGGTGCTCTGAAAGAGGGATCAAACGGGTCATCGTCCTGAGGTAGGTCTTCGGACGCCGTCTCGGGATCGTCATAAACGTCGGGATGCCTGTGCCGATGAGCGCCGAAGCTCGTGGCTTCACCAACGAGATGATGGTGATGATGATGATCGGTCGGTGGGAACTGACCAGGGTCGGCGATAAGGACAGCAGGCCGCCTTCGCACTGTTCTGATTACGTTAAGGCCACATGAGAGCTGCGACAGATTCGTATGATGATAGTGACTGACGAGGCCATGGTCAACCATGAGGCCAATGAAGTTGCTGATCTAAGAGAACTCTAGACGGACTCGATAACGCATATCTCATACAAGTGAGTGAGACGATGTCACAGAACAGGGAATTTCATGTCACATCGAGTCCGATTCAAACCTCATGAGGATGGTGACCAGCGAAGCTATTCCGGAGCGGGTCTGTCACTATAAATAGACTCATCATTTGGCCCTACTGTAGTCACAGCTTTCAGGTTATTAACAACCAGGGACTCAGAATGGCACACGTCATTTTATGCCATAACGTGCTTCAGGGATCCCCATAGAACTACTATGACAACAACCCAAGACTGTTCGTTTCGCAAGAGGAAGTCAGTATACAGTATAACGTTACGACTCCCCACCACTCAGTTCTCCATCTTCTCGCGCTCTTCCTTGGTGGCCGGTCTCGTTATTGGATGCAACATACTCTGAAACGATTAAAATACCGCTCGTTCCAAATCTTTCCGGATTACCATAAGGCAGTTGTATCGTACTCTAGCAATGGGCTCATTCTCACATATGGCGATGTATGCCAGTCTCGACTGGTGACCCACATGGGATGCCATCGTATCCCTATACACGAGATAACGATCATGTCAGGAGTAGGCCTATCGGCTTTAATACCTATGAATAGTGGTAGCCCATTCATAGCGGCCCATATCAGCATGACCAGTGCCAGGATAGCGCATCTATTCACGAACGATTATACACATAAGATGAGGCTCCTGTACTATTACATGTAGATGGTCCAACTGGGCGTGTATGTTGAAACCCTCGTAAACTTGAGACATTGTGATAACAACAACAACCCAACACTGCGTACAGAATACCCAACCCCGCTCTCAAGACTGAACGCAACATCCCTCCGGCTCAGTATTATGCTCTCCATACAATCTATAAAGTATTTACGGCGTTCCTTTGAGGCAACTACCCAACGTCGGTTTCCGATTTCTAATTACGTATCTCCTCACAAGACCTTCGGCGTGAGCCCCAACTTCTGATGATGTGCACGGAGTTGCGATACCTGTAGGATGATGATGATGATGCTTTTGGTGAAGTCAAGTAGCCAGATGTTGCTATCTCACCTCTGCCTGGGAAAGGAGGTTGTTATAACAGCCAGGGCAAACCGTCTTCACGCCTTTGCTTGTCGTGAATGAGCCCTGACTAAAACCTTCCAATTCCACATACGTTCCGAATAAGATCAGCTTTGGTGCCTTCCCCCTCTACCTTCGCTTGACATTGCCGAACTCGATCACATCGAAAGCACATGTAACTGCAAGGACACTACTGAGACTTCCCAAAAGAACCATGAGGATGCTTACTGCAGGAGCCTATCCGACTTCTTCAACCTAATATTCTGCTTAGTGGCTTCTTCATCATATTCAAAATGTGGCTGGGGATCGAACCTGTGCGGCAGTAGCATCGCGATATACCAACAGCGAGCACTCCCCATGGGCCCACTTTTTCAGTAATTTCGCAGCACGGTTCTTCTCCCTATTAGTCTTGGCTGTATGCAGAACCTCCACTAGTTGGCGCTTCGACAGAGAGGTATCCTTCACCATAGTGAGGACCGAAATGTCCCTGCAGTAACCACGAGCATTCCTACCAACAATAGAAATAACACAAAACAAAATCAATAACAATGATAAGTGGGATTACCCGAGAGACACGGACATCAAAAAGACGATTATTCAATTCCATTATAATAAACATGATACAATTGAGATCCCCTATTAATAAGCGAACGTAAAACGCGTGAGCACCGAAATGAGCATAATACTGACGGCAATTTGCACAGGAATCTGTGCCAAATGCAGTCCATCGTAATCATAATCAGCAACTTCCCAAGTACGAGTAAAATAAAGTAGAATGACTCCAATAACACCAACTAGGGCACATGCGAAAACCCTCTCAAGCTCGAAGATACTCTTCCGAAGAAATGAATGTCTGGATCCAAAGTGTGAGTATGTCAGAGCTATACCGAAACATATGAAATTGGGAAAGACTCCGACAACAATTGCAGTAACGATTCTACCAGTTATATACGTAGCCAACGTCGAGGGTAGTATCGCTGCAATAGTGAGTCTCAAAGCGAACGGAGCACCTTTCATGTTCAGAATAAGGTCTTCCATCAGCGGCACTACTTGTTGATCAAAGCTGGTGTAATTACCGTATAGAGCACGAATATGTGCGAGTAGAACATGACGATCACATGTCAGTGAACATCTGAGCCGTTCAACTCCCATGACGATTCCGTGCTTGAGATATCGCTTGATACAGGGATAAAAGCAAAATGAAACGTATATAGTATGAATAAAAGAGAATATTAAATCGACACCTACGGCGGCCAGCTCGTTAGCATCATCAACTACACTATGGCCGACCCAGAATACGAGAGAAGTACAAAAGAAATATGTGCCGAATTCAACGCTTCGCAATGTCCACACCTCGATACAGTTTATACCGTGTTGTTTCACAAATACAGCGAGCTCGAATATGCACCATAGACGGCTTTGGTAGGCTTCGTCCCACATTGAAATTAGCTTCTTAGAGCGCGCAAGGTACTCGGGCATCGCCAGCAGACAACTATTCTTCTCTTGGACATCACCCTGGGGTATACAACAACGATCAAAAAATGCTCCTCCTCTTATCGTACCCCAACGTAGACAGAAAGGGAAAATTATACATGGAATGATAATACAGAGGTATGCTGCTAGACCACACCACTGTTGGAGAATATAACACTCTAGTATAGAGACAACGACTGCACCTTCCGAGTTGTAACGTATAGCCAATGCGGCAATTTTGAGCCAACTGCTGCTCTCCCAAGCGTGACTCAAGAAAATATCATACTGCGAAGTAATCGTAGTTTTGCTTCCCAGGCGGTCCCACACTTCAGAGGTAACACCAGAGCACCCACCCAAGGGCCACGTTCGCAGGAGGTGCTCCAGTCCTAGTGTGCGGAAGGTACGTAATGATTGCTGCTGTTGCTCTTGCTTATCAAGAGAGGAGAAAGATAAGTCATCTCCACACGGAGGGGGCCGGCTCCGCCCAGAATCCGCAGAGTTGATCATGTGATTTTGACCAAAAGAAAACTACCAGGCTGACCCAATCCAAAGCCTTTCCTAAAAGTGATACAAAACGCTGCTTGAGCTCTCTGGCTGACTATGCATGAATATTTGGCATGATGCCAAACCTAATATTTGTCAAATTACATCGTACTAACAACCCGTTGAAAGTCATCCTTTCTACCATGTCGCGATATGGATTCAACCAAGGCGCTAATTCTAGGCAATTAACAGAATACGATAGATACAAGCTAGTTAGAAGCAGCATGTTATTAGATGCTCTGATACAACGGTGATGAATGCACACTGATGTAAGCAAGTCCTCAGCAATTCCTTTACATTCGAGTTGAATCTCAATAGCACCTATACGCTCCCCCCATACTCCCCATAGGACCATCTCCCGATCAGTCATTTTCAGTTCCACATGCTGCAGGGCGGTCTCGTCACATCTCGGCGCACTGTAATACAGCTAATACTACGTACCATTGTTCCGCCGTCTCTTCGCGGGCTCTGTTTATTTGTTTTACTGGTTAAAGTTGATGAACGTCTCACTTGTGACTCGTATGATCTACCATGTCAAACGTGTATAATTCTGTTTCCACTCAAAAAAATCTCGGCGCACGAAGCGTCTGCCAGTTTCAAAATTTTACTAGAACTGAGGAAAAACTCCCGAGAGAAGGATTCACCAGTAGCATTGGGCAAACACTAGAATGAATGTTATTATTGAGATAAAAATATCGAGATTAATGAATTCAATGACCAGTCATAAAGCCCAGTAACGGGTCTTATAAAACCAGAAATGGTGCGGCAAAAAGAGTAATACAACCACACCGTATGAAAATAATAACAGTCATGAGTAAAACCACAGAGTGCGTGAACCAACATCGGTCTGTTCAGAGTGATAGAGCACATCTACATTGAGAAACATCGGCACGCCTGGACGACCAAGAGCCACCAACTTGATTGAATGGGCATCAACCCATTCAAGAGAGGCACCGGGAAGGCCGACATCGCATGAGCAAATCTCCGTATTGGAATCTACATCGATTAGACGTAGCTTGGTGCCCTCCAGTAGACATAATATCCCATCTACATCCGGGAGGAAGCGGAAATGGCTCCCACCAGACCTACTTTGTATCTTTATCTGTGAGGCAACTTGCGTATCTTCTTCGCCCATGGTGACCACTACCAATTCCAATCGTGGCCGACCTTCGCACGGACTGAGGTAAGCTACTCTCCTCAGTGAGCCGCTCTCGTTATGATGCTGAACGTCGAATGAATAGAGGAACTGTACTTCCTCGCCACCGAGCCGGACCGTCTCGAACCTTCCAGAGTCCAAATCGACCTTGGTAAGACTCCTACTGATACTACCCCTGGTAGCACAACCAACGTACAGTGTAGAGCCCAACAGACGAGCCCTATACAATAGGGCCGACTCTGGCACGTCAGCTTCTATAGGAACCATTTGGGAATTGCTGATGCGATAAATCTTATTAGTATTGTCCACACTATAGATTTCCTTCACTTCGTTAGTACACAACGAGGCGTGTCCAGTTAGGCCCTCGAAAATCGGCCGCCCCGAAGTTGAAAAGTCGTCGTTACTAAATGCCACTATTGCGGACTCGTCACGCGACTGCACAGAATGTCTCAAGGCGATGGTGTCCTTGCCACATTTACCAATTATAGTATAAACACTACTAGGCTTAGCAGAGCCCAGCTTCAATCTACAGGGCTTGCGTAGACCTAAGAGGGCCCATAGTAACGACTTGAGACCGTCAACGTCCATGTGGTCAGCTCGCATTGCGAATAACTTATCCACCACCAATGTGTCTGAGGCAACACTCTCAAATACTGAGGGAGTCATATAATACAGCGTGCAGTGAATTTGGCGGGCGAGCGCAACGGACTTTCAGAATGAATCTTGACTCGAAATCTACTTCGCTCCGCCAAAATTAGCTGTTTTACGGTATCGATTATACGATCGATTATCGCTACCATTGCCTTGACGTATTGAGTCACACTATACAAATGGATTGCCTTCTGGGAATGATGATTGGATTTTCCCGCTGATCTTACTCAGCCGTGGGGATACCTTAATCTATTATGTCAAGCTCAACAGATCTGACCCAAAGAAGTGCAATAATGTCTCAGATGAGTCATCTTTGTTACACACTCTGACGCCTGACTCTTCTGAGTTTCGGCTGGAGATGGAACTTTAGCGGATTTCGCTGAGGCACTGTAATGCCTTTTGGATGATGATTTAACGCTTATTGCTAACCCATGTCTTCCGACTAACCATCTGGGGTGAAACTGCGTCTCTTTCTGACTTATGTAACTGCCTGCGTGTGATGACTGAAAAAATCGCTATACCCAAGTCCCTGATTCTTGATGAGACACATTTTTTGCACGTCAGTCTGATGCAGAAATTGATACTTCCGGCTATGAGTTAACTTGTCCGCATTGCGTCCTACTATGGAGCTTCTGTGGTTTTGTGACTCGCTCTGGTCGGTAGAGTGACTGCCCTCTTGAACATCATCGGCGTTTTGTCGACGTTCAAGTGCTTGCGTGAGCCTTAAGTCCACCACTATGTGTTCCCTCCTCTTCACTGTAGGGTAAGTGGAACACGACGCCAGTTAGACCCTGTCGTTATTGGTGGTGATCGAGTCATACTTGCGCTATATATTAACTGTCATCATCCAAGGATAATTGCCGTGGTCGCTTCGAATCGACCTAACGGTCCAGACACCTTGGAAGATCACGGAGTCTTTCCAGCGCTGAGACTGAGAGCTGCTCACTACAGCTCAATTGTCTCAAGTGCCGCTTATTCTCGTGAGAGAGTCTGAGCAGTTGATAGGTTCGCTACAACTAGGCTGTTGTCTTCTGTGATGACTACTTTTTTGATTGGTAGTGAGATTCAATCTCGCTTGTGACCACTTTCTATTTGTTTTGATTGCTGAGAATAATGGAGTGAGGCACTTTAACGCTCGCGCGGTACCGAATTGAGGGTACTTGTGCATTTCCCAACTGTGCCATATCGAACCGTGTATGCTTACCGAAGTTGCCTCCTGTGGCAGCCAAGGTCCTTAGTACTCGGATATCTTATGCATCTGCCCATCCGACTTGATCGATTCGCTGAGCTTAGAACGTGGTGGGTAGAACTTGGTGAGTAATTCGTATGGACGTTGGCTCATCTGGACATTGAATACAATCCTAAGTGCTCTTAACACGGAAGATGTCAGTCGATGAACGCGACAACGAATGGCATGCACGTATTCTTGGTGTCTATCTTACGACCCGCATGAACAGGGTGTCTCTCTTTTGTGACCATATGAGTAGTTTCACACGTCACACGAGCATTTAGTCCAGTGGACAAAGTGATTGCTCTACGATACACATCGAACTTCCTCAGAACTGTTCCCAATCGCAGGAAAGTTTGTCGCTAAGGAGTGGTTTCTTCCCCTGTATGATTGTCCGGGGGGCTCCCGGCGAGAACTCCATAGTCTCTAGATCGGCTTACTGAGCGAGGCACTCGCTGCATTCATCTAACACTTCGCCAAGCTAGCAAGCAACGATCGACAATTGCGTAGGGGTTGCACAAATTCGTGCACACAACATCCGGTGCGCTTTCCATCATATAAGGCATGCGCTCCCGATCCCTTTCAGTGAAAGGCTTTCACTGGGCGAGAGTTGCTGAACCATCGACAAGTTAATAGTCGCCAAGAGTATTCACAGATACACGTGTAGTAAAGGCAGGCCTCATTCCACCAGAATCGTGGAAATGCCCTGCGCTATCGGGAGAGGAAGTGTTACTCTACCCATTGGATTCCTGCTGAGTAGGACATGTTGTACCAACTATTCTGCGTCCTCTACAACACAGCTATATTTATATAGACAGCGTGTCCGAGTGGTTAAGGAGGTGGACTCGAAATCCACTAGGCTCTGCCTGCGCAGGTTCGAATCCTGCCGCTGTCGTACTAGTAGCTTTATACATGGTATGATTATGTACGCTCCACATATCTAAACACCGATGACGTTTTGCTAGTTCAATCGAATCACCCTTTTGGGGTCACTCTGCCCTCCTGATTCTGATGCATGCCGGCAAGCACCCCCGCTGGTAGTTACGCTTAGTCTTGGGTCGAAAGTTCCAATATATCTAACACTAGATATGTATCTTAACAGTCGGTGTTAGCAAGCGCGTCATCTCGCGGTAGGACCATAGCCGTACAGGTTGTACGGTCCAGCACATATCATATCGTAGTTTTCGTCTGAGGAAGGAGAAGTCCACTTCGACTGTGAACGGCGGCGATCGTCGGCAGCGCAAACCTTGGTAGCTCGTTAGCTGATAATTTTGGAGTATCGGGGAATCTCTAGTTTGGAGAGAGCCATAACATCCGAGGTGTTCGATAGACCTCTCCTGAATTCCGAGAGCTTTCCCAGGATCGAGTTTTATATGTGAAATCCAGTCCTGGTTGCGTTCTTGAAGCTTAGGAAGGGTCCACTGAACACGCCGACTGTTGGTACAACAATGGAGAGTTCTACTGAATCCTTTCCTAGGGGTCGATGGAAAAGGCAAAAATGAGGCATTATAAAGACTCGGATATCAAGTACAATATCATAATATAGACAGCGTGTCCGAGTGGTTAAGGAGGTGGACTTGAAATCCACTAGGCTCAGCCTGCGCAGGTTCGAATCCTGCCGCTGTCGTATTACGCTCGCATCTTTCATGGTTTTTGTTGAATTTGTTAACGGAGGATTCGAACTTACCCGCTTTAGTGACATGATGTCACTGACATCATGCTAGTGTTGATAGAGCAATGAGTTAAGTTTCATTGACAGCACAAGTACCAGTGGACCAGAAACTTCATAAAACTCGTTAATCAGGCTCGTGTAGTCTCAAGATCTGTTCTTCCCGCATATCATATTGCGTTACAGGATCCTTGCCGGTCCTCCTGACAGCCTTCACCAGGCAAACATAACAATATACGTACCTGCGCACCTCCACTTCCCTTATTATACGAATTCTCCACGATAACGTACCCGCTGACGGCTGAAACGGCGGGATTATTCCGCCTTTTTCGACATACAGGACAGACTCGCTTATCGACAGGCAGCCCTCCCACTCCACCACAACTGACCGAAGCTGGTCGGGGCCTCGAAGGAGGTGGCACCACGACTTGCGGCCGCCCTTCGAGGACCTTCGACCTTAACGAGGACCTCACCGACATGTACCTAACATTATGGTACTCTATCGAGTGATGACGACATACGACTGTTTCTCACCACTGTCCAAATTGAACAGCGTATACAAGACTCCATAGGAGGTGCTTCAAACTGGGCCCCTGGGGGACCTCCTGGGCAGTCTGTCTTACTAATCGCACTCCAATGGCGTGCATGAAGGGTGACCAATATGGACTTATACCTACCCTCTGCAGTGACTACTACTCACACCTAATCCATGATACCTAGGAGATATCCAATTCGGTAGGCTGCGTCGACGCCGATATACCCTCGTCGTAGCAGATCCAGCCATTGCGCATCTAGCCTCCGATACTGACTTTTATCCAGTAGTGGCGGTAACAGGGAAAGCAATAAAACCGACAGTATCCTGTTACAGTCCATTCCACTTCATTCACCATGCATATGGAGACCCACTTCTGATTCCCCGTAAGGACGCGACCTTCTTGTCGAAGTCTGTCCACCTTCAATTTATCCATCGCGGAGATCCCTCCTCGCTTTCGAAGAGCCATCGACTCTCGAGACAATCCAAAAAAATTCTCACTCATACCTAAGGGAGTGCATCCTTCCCAGATCCTCCCGATGATCCGTCACTACTAGCCCCATGCTCCGAGATGGACGTGAACTCTAAGAGGCCCAACAAGGCACTTAGAGCCCATGGCCAATGCTTCAACCATGGCTGCAAGTGCGGATGACGATCCATCAATACCGTCATCACGAACTTCACGGACGGCCACACACCTGAATAGCTCCATCTGCAACCATGAGGAGTATCAGTCGAGTTGGCACAGATGTGAGAGCCGCTACCTGCAGAGAGATCGGCAGCTACTGAAAGCTCCATATAGGAAGGCTTAGACTTATGCCCGCCTATGGTTGGGTATAAGGATGATAGTAAAAGGTCCGTCATCTACATACTGACAGTTACTCCATTGACTAGCCTCTTGACTTCAACACAAGTCGGGATGGATAGAAATCATTAGAATCAGCTTTTACGACGGCCCTCCACCCCAAATGTGTTCAGCATGGGGGCAAGTATGGAGATTGCGCTGAACATCTTCCCAACACCTCCGAGTAGTCTGACAAACGCAAACGTTCGATGAGGTCATAAGGCGACGTCGTGCGTTGAATTCGAAAGGCGAAGGTTCGATCCCTGGTCAAGGCATTTATTTGAACATTTTCTGGAGCGCCACAGGGACAATTTACAATGAAATCCCATCGAATACGGGGTTGCGGGAGGTAGCACCGTGATTGGTCGGCCCGTCGGTGTTTTCAACCGTAATGACCCAAACTGTTTGGGCCACACACGGTCCGACCACATCAGGTGCTACCAATGCCTTCAATTGATCTCGTGACCCCCACGTAGCTGCGCGAAGGGCCCACCTAAGATGGAAACCGGACATACCTGTCCGGTTCTCCAAATGTTGGTGGGATCAGTATGAAGGCATCGCCATATTCAAGGGAATAAAAAAAAATTATTCTGGCCCGTCGAGGAACCTCTCGACTCTCGTGGTTGAGCTCGGCCTCACAGCCGTACTCAATCCACGTTGTAGACCTGTATGGTCCAACTCAAGGTTTGTTTCACCTTCGGTTTCCGCTTTGCAACACTCAAAAACCGTTTACGGGCGCGCGCACTTCACTTGTGTCATATGTCTTTCAAGGGTGCACCCCTCCTTGCGCGACATTTCACTTACACTACAGGACTGTTGTCCTTCCGCTCACCATGAAATCCCATCGAATACGGGGTTGCGGGAGGTAGCACCGTGATTGGTCGGCCCGTCGGTGTTTTCAACCGTAATGACCCAAACTGTTTGGGCCACACACGGTCCGACCACATCAGGTGCTACCAATGCCTTCAATTGATCTCGTGACCCCCACGTAGCTGCGCGAAGGGCCCACCTAAGATGGAAACCGGACATACCTGTCCGGTTCTCCAAATGTTGGTGGGATCAGTATGAAGGCATCGCCCAATCCCGCGCACCGTTACTCGATGACCTCCAGGGCGTTCCGCCGATCGTTCAAACGCGTGATCTCACAATCTCCTCTGTACCGTGTTCAGATTTAGACCCGTTTGGCGTTACTGGATAAACTCTGAAAGTGCTCGTTGTAAATTACGTAATGGAGCCCATACTACGGATCCTCGAGGATTCTTGCGGCTTGGATCTCGTACCGGTTTTATGTAACGTCCCGTGAATCTCGACAGTAGACTTGCCTTCGAGCTAAACGTCTGAGTAAGCGCTCTGCTCGTTACGTTTAGACCTAAAAACCGTGACACTGAGTCAGTGTCACTGACCACCTTTTCACTGGCTGTACGAGGTCGCGTGTTTGTGGGATCGGTGAATAGCCAAACCGGCGTTCGGGAACCTCGTTATCGAATGCCCGGGTTCCCCAACTGGGGTCCAAACGCAAGAACGGGGCGCTGCGAGAGAAACAAAAGCAAAAATTCTGTCTCCGTCAGCGATCCTATCCACTCGCACAACAGTAAAGGCTCTTGCACGGCATACGTTAAAGGGATCACTTCTAAACTGGGAGCCATATACTTGCTAGGGTTGCTGAAAGAGGTTACTTCATATCGGAAGCTACCACCACACTTACATAAGGAAGATTCGGAATTGTCGCTTCACCACCCATGATGAGTTCCTCCAGCGAGTCGGCCGTCTCCGACAATAATATATCAGATGGGCGCGCGCTCTCTGCATGCACGCATGTTCGCGTGGCCTTCATTTCCGGCTGTTCAGCAGCGTTCGGTGTTGTCGAATGACCCTCCAGCATCAACGAGGAATACAACTTCGCCTTGTCGGCATAGTTCGACGGTTGTCGAAGATAGGTGTCAACCACACACTGGGTTCTCTTCCATCTCCCGTGCTCCGCTATTTCAGGGGCCGAAACGCCTTTGTCTGCAAGGATGTGTACTGCGCTTCTCCTCATCGCATGTGAGGTAGCTCGTAGCTCATCGCCTGTCACTGTGCGTAGTAAGTCTTTTATGTCAGCATCGAGTTGGCCTTGCGAACAACCGAAAATCGAGGACCCATTCTTCCCTGCTGTAGAGTTCTCGAGCACTTCCAATGTTCGATGGACTGGGCAATAGTAAGATGTATTGCCTGGCCTGCTATTACTGCAGCAGCATCCAACTACGACGGTTGCTCCTATCCTTCCTATGTCAGTTTTTCCTTCCCTTATGTGGACTTTCAAGATCCTCTGCTCTTCCAAGTAGCAGAAGTCGCCGCTTCTCAATGTGAAGAGTTCATTAGGTCGCAGGCACGCGGCGACGCCGAGAAGTAATGCCGCTGTGCTCTGCCGCCTCCCTGATTGTGGCGTCAACAGTGCGACTTTTCTGAGCTGCTCTGAAGTCAGAGTGAGTGCTTGCTTAGGTGCTTCTTCGCCTCTGACTCGCCTCACCGCTTGCTGAGCCAGTCTCAGTATCTCTTCTTCTGATGGGCTCCAAACCTTAGTCGCACCGCAGGACTTATTCAACGTACGTAGTACTCTGATATACTTTGAAATCGTACTCGTCTTCCTCTCCAGCCTCACCAAGTGTACTACGTACTTCACTAGCATGTCTGGGACTAGCGGGAAAACTGTTTGTGGTGAGTTCTGCGCCAGCAGGAATTCTCGATATCCTTCCAATATTGATTCGTATTGTTTGCTGGTCTTAGGTGCTCTTGCTTTCGTCAGTAGCCCCACGACGTCGTCGTCAGTGATAGTCATTGATCGTGATCCTGTAGAGTCCACTCGGCTCCTCTTCCTCGGGTGAGCGACCCTACTTCGATCGGTCCTCTTTGCGTTCTCGGTCAGGTTCTTTGTAATCCCACGGAGATACTCATCTCTTATTGAGTTCTTACGTTGGATTTCTGACGCCATCCACTGTTGGAGAGAGACATTCATTGTCAATACCTCTACATTGATCGGATGTGACCATACTTCTCCCACGATTGAGTAAAACGCAAGTTTTTTTTTCCTAGGTCGGAAACGAACAACAAGCTCAGACTAAGATCCATCCCCGAATAGGGACTTGAGTAAGTACAGACCATCCACCTCTTGTATAGATGAGCCTTCCATCAACTGCCGTGCTGCCTTCTGGTTGGTTGTCCTCGATAGCCCATCCACCAGCCAGTTCTCGTGAGTAGGGATGTGTGAAGCACGTAGACCTCTACCGAAGGATAGATGCCTTGAGGTAACCGATATTATATGATTCATTCTTTCGGCTTTCCCCGCTGCTCGGTTTATGGCTTCTACTGCCGCAATATTGTCGCATAGAATTAGCCCTGGTCGATCACGTGGTAGTAACATTGAGCCTGTTAAGGCCCCTATCAGCTCCAGAGATGATATATCGCCTGCCTGCCATCGAGTCCCTTCAGGTTTTTCCAACCAGGTATTGACGATTCTGCGGGTCTCCAACTCCTCCCCATCTACAACAAACCAGAATGAAGCCCATGGCAGCAGTATCACCGCTGAAAATGCCTTTATCGAAGAGTCTGAGATGACCACTCCGGGCATCTGTCCCTCCTCCCCGAGACAACCGGCCCCGAGTAAGGAGGTTGCATTCGAAGTCACTCTCGTCGGACCCTCTAGAATCTGCTGTAAGAAATCCAAACTCTCCATCACTTGAGCTGTCATATTTATCGCCCATAGGTTTTTCCGACGAGCTATCCCAATTCTGCCGTACAGGGGTTTCAACTTCGCTCGGAATTGGCATATTATTTGTGCGGCCCAGGCGGACCTTCCCACGACGGACTCCAATTCCCTAACGCTGATGGGCTTCCCTTCTCGGTAAGCTTCCCTCAATGGTTCGATTTGCTCCACCAGACGGATTTGGCGATCCGTAGGTACCGCCACGGTACCCAGCTCCGTATTCCACTCATATCCCAGCACGACAGGTGTGGAGGAAACTCTCACCTTGTTGTAGGAAATATTTATCCCTACTGCTGCATGCAACAACAATATCGCCAGGAGACGATGTAGGGCCGCTCTACGCGTAGTTATGTATACCAAGTCGTCTATGTAGACTTGGGCTCCTTCCCCATGGGGATATGCCAGCAGGCGTTTGACAACTTGGACTAGTCCAGCATAGACACGGACCCACTGTAGGCCCGAGGAGGAGAGACCAAAGGGTAATTTGGTATGGCATATCAAGGTTCCTTTCCCTGTTTTGGAGGGGATGAAATTCATGCAGTAGCGTTGCTCCTCCTGTAGAATTGGTATATTTCTGTAAGCCGCCGCACAATCAATTTCGATCATCACTTGGCCATCATCCCCTTCGTTCGGACCCCTAATTTTCCCCTTCTCGTGTAGAAATTTCTTATGTCCATGAATAATAAGTGCTGTCGTCGCCAGACCAGGAAGTTGCAAAGTTTCGGTCGCTCGTATTCTGCTATTCACGCCTGACCGTCTCAAATCATCTATTATTCTGATTGGCGAATTCAACTCTCCCGGTCGCTTTTCAATTGCTGCTATTTTTGAGACTATCCCCCCTTCTGGGAACACCTCTAACTCCCGCATATTGCCGACTTGCACTTCGTGTTGTAGATATTCTCTGACGCCGTCCTCCAATGATGCGGCGCTCTGGTAATTTCTCCAGGAATCCAGCGCGAAGATCGACAGGCCTCCTGCACCGTGGTTGAACCGTGCTGGTTCTGCTCTCGCCTCAGCAGCTTTCGACGGCCATTTACCAGTCGCCTTTATGGGGTTATCGATACCGATACCGACGCCTCCCTCCTGAATTATTTGCCTGAGGACCTCCACATCATCAGGATCGGAGAGGGAACCCGTGGACTTCAGCAATCCTTCAAGTAAGGCTGCTCGAAGGCGAATCTCGTTATTCTCTGATGACTCGTCAACTTTCGTCGCTGCATAAAGCTCCGTCCGGAGCAGTTTCGCACGTCTTTCGATCTCTGGCCCAACCGTTCTCCATATATCTTGTCGTTCACCCTGCTCCTGTCTGTTCAGTTTGGTCCATTCGGACAAGACAGAGCCGCATACACCGTCTGACAACTCCGATACGGCTATATCAAGACAATTTCTGATCGCTGCTATGCCTTTTTGGTCTCTGTCCATCTCCTCATTCGGATCTGAGCAGCCTGCGATTGGGCCCCATTCGACCGAGCTCGCCATTGCCGTGCCATCGGTTATCCTCGCTCGTCTAGACTGGTATTCATCAGATGCCTCTTCTACAGCTTTTTTGTAGAGTTTAGCAGCTTCTCCGTCCACCTTCGAAACCGAATCCGCCAACGACTCTGTGGGGATCCCACTCGCTGGAGCTTTCGGAAACTCGGGAGATTGGCTGATCTCACTGGCAATTTCATTCGGGAGAGCACTAGCTGCTTTGAGCGCTGCTCTAGCTCTAGTTTTGGTAATCCTTCGAACTCTGCTCTCATCTGAACGGGCGTGGCGCTTTCGCTGCTTACTCATCAGTCAGAAGGGGAAGGGGAAATATTGTTTCCAAGGAACTGACGTGTATTGAGTTAAAACAAGTTCAACGGCAAGTGACACAAATTCTCAACCGTTAGGACTTGAAACGCAAAGCTCATTAGCTCTCAGAAACATTCGGCACCACAAGCCGCTCTAATTAATATCGGAAGTCTCCACAGTGAATAAGCTCTCTCATCATCAATAAGCTATCCGCCGACTCTCCCGGTCTGGCTTTTAACTCTTCGCTTTTTTATCCTGACTGGTTGAACCATGCTGTGTGTTGGGCTGCCAATTTCCCTGCCACTGGTTTTGCCAACTGCCCTGCCAATTCCTCGACTGCTGACTTCGGCCCTTCCCTTTTCCTTTCTTCGATCTCTCATACTGATCTACTTTCTTGGGCGCCAACCTCTCGACGAAGGTTGTCTCCGATAACTTTTGGGTAAAGAAGATCGTGGTATAAGTTGCCTTACCATAGCATTTCCACAAATCCACTCCGGTTGCCACGAGAGACCGCACAGTCAAGCGGTACTCGCGTTCAATCTTCAGTACCGTCTGCCAATTGGCACGAGCAGCCACCCGGCCGACCTCAATTTGATATCTACTCAACGCCAATATGTTGTCACGGCAGCCATCATCCACCATGGCCAATGCGACAACATATCTGGGGAAGCACACCATCCATTCTCCGAGAGTCAGCACGGTTTTCGCTCGGCTTTTTTGTTGGACTCTTCGGGGACTACCGTCCTCCTTCTCGTCATCGTCATCGTAGATCTCGACGACCTCACCGGTGACAGTAGTTTTGAACTTTTTACGGGGGTTCTCTCCCCCGCTCTCACATAGCATACGGAAATCCACGTATGTGGCTGGGCTTTTTTTCAGTAGCTTCAGTACCTTAGCCGAAGGTACGAGCTCAGACGGGACTTGCCCAGACCTCTCTGCCAAAGAGGCTATCATTTGTTGGAGCATGGTATCATCCACGGCATCCTTCTCGGCGTTGGGCTTTGATGGAGAGGAGGCTTTCGATAGATCACCCCAGCGTTTTGCTTCCCGAGTCAATGCCTCACCGTAACATTTGAGTTGTGTGAAAGTGATTTCGTCAATCTTTGCTCCCGCCGATTGGCCTGTAGTTTTGGCCGCGGTTGAGGTTGAGTTTGATGACTCAGAGGTGTTCTGCTCATTTGACCCTTCTGTGAGTGAATCAGTGGTCAGAAGAATTGCTTCTATCGATCCCTCATTTTCTTTTATCAATGATTTCCAATCGTCTCTTGATAAACAGGAGAGCAGATCAATCGAATCCATGCCCACTTTGCGGACTATCTCCGCGATTATTTCGCCAATTCTAGGGGTCGGAGGAATCACTGCCTCAATCAAGCGATCAACTACCATTATTGGTCGGGCAGGATGAACTAAGAGGTATCCTATATCAGAGGACACACGAGTGATACTCATCGAGAAAGATTAACGGGTGACCCCACTGGACTCAAACTAGACTCGACAAAGATTAAAAACGAACGACGAAGTGTAGTAATGACGCAGCACAATGTGCCTAGCACATCGTTGGGAGAAATAGGCATTCATGAGATTCGATTTGTCGCTAGTGGAAAAGAACTCAATCTGGCCAACTAACAACCAATCTTGATGATACTCATATCACAGTGTGTTTGTGGGGACTCATCAACGGTCATCCTCGTAGAGAAGCCACCTAGGCTCTCTAGTCTACCCCTTCCCGGGGGGCTCTTCTCTTAGCAGTGTGACTTTGGGCTCAGGCATACCGCCCGTACCCTTCACGACTCGCTCTCGCCATCCGGCAGAGCATACATAGAGAAGAGTGGCTCAGAATGCTCAGCTTCAGCCGTATATTCTGGCCCGTCGAGGAACCTCTCGACTCTCGTGGTTGAGCTCGGCCTCACAGCCGTACTCAATCCACGTTGTAGACCTGTATGGTCCAACTCAAGGTTTGTTTCACCTTCGGTTTCCGCTTTGCAACACTCAAAAACCGTTTACGGGCGCGCGCACTTCACTTGTGTCATATGTCTTTCAAGGGTGCACCCCTCCTTGCGCGACATTTCACTTACACTACAGGACTGTTGTCCTTCCGCTCACCATGACCTTTCTCAAATCTGAGCGTCCTTCTCATACCCCTAGCACCGCCGATGCGTGTATAAAGGGAGTTGCTAACACCCCCACTACTACTCCCTTATCCCCTACTAACTCGGAGATATCATTCAAGAGTGCAGTGGCCTCCTTAGACGAGCCCTCCTCCCCATCGAGTAGCAGTACCACATCATTATCATCCTCCGAGCCGTCATGGGCAGACACGGTCGTCAGGAGCATCTTCCAACCACTTGATCAACTAATGAAGGCAGCGGTACTGAGGGCTCCAGTTCTCTATCATATCGTATGAAGACCCTCGTGACACCGGAGAAAAATATTTTTCGACAGTAGTACTACTAGTGACGCTATTAGGTGCTGATTAATGACAATTTTCTTGCTTGATTACAGCAAACTAGACTCTGCTGTATACTCCGATGACCATTATAACCTACACAGTATATACGATAGGGTTCTCCCTCTTCCTCTGTGTCGGCTGTACTGGTCTTTTCAGGATGCCAAGACCCGTGCCGCCCGCGAGACGGCTGCGCAAGCTCGTGAGTTCCGGGATATCTGGCGGAGGATCTTCGAGAGATCAGACCTAGGCTCCCTTTCCAAAGTGGAAGTATTATCTAGATTCAGAGAGGCCTGCCAGTCATGCGATATATCACTTGATCATGTATACGACAACCTACCCCACATAGAGCTGCCCGACCCCAATTTGATCCTCCGCTATCTCCGAGCTATCCAAGTGGCCTATGGCGCCTTTGGTAAGGCCAAGAGGGCGGAGTGCGCCCTTCATGCTGAGTACATCCTCCGTTATTGCCCTGAGGTGGCCCATGTCGTCTTCATTTCGAAGTTCTCTGCTCAGAACAGGCCGGTGTTCTATGTACTACATACATCTAGTAATAATGTTGTTGTAGTAGTGCGTGGCACCAAGAGCATAGCTGATGCCGTTACGGACTCCTTCTGTGATACGGCTCGGTTTACGGACTCTCCGGTAGACGAAGGCTATGAGGTCCACAGGGGGATGGGTATTTCCGCTAATTACGTGGCCCGTACTGCCATGCCTTATGTTTTGGAGGCTCTTGAGAAGTGGAAGTGTGATAGACTGATTTTATTAGGTCACTCTCTGGGAGCAGGGACGGCCATTCTAACGAGTGTATTGTTGGCTAGAGCACTCACTGTGAAAGTCGATTGTTACACATTCGGGTGTCCCCCAGTTGCTACCAAGAGAGATCTCCCTTGCCCTAGTAACCTCTCAATGACTACCTTTGTGAATGAGGATGATATTGTCGCTCGACTGTCCCTGCTGGGGATCGATGAGGTTCTGAACGCTATCAACCCCAAGGAGAGGGCTATGGCCCCTCGAGCGTATATACCCAGTACTGTGTACTTGCTCAAGGAAGCCGACGACGGCACTGTAACGGTGTATAGGACTGATGGGGCGTGCCCTGCCCTCAGCGCTGAGGTGATGCTGTACTATTGTATGCAGATCAGTGGGAACAGGCAGATGGCGTTGAAGAGCCTGAATGATCACGCCACGGTGGAGTATGAGAAGAAGATATCCGCGTTGGTTCGTAGTGCTGACGAAGCATGGCAAGGTGGCTTCGCTCGATTTAATGACACATAGATCTTTCTAAGTGGATTATATATAGTAGCGCTATTTACTACTGTATTATCGTGTTAACATACACTATAGTGGCCGAGTTTCTCTCAGTTTCCGAGTGGTGTGGTATTGTTACGTTCCTAAGTAGGAGTATTTAGAGCAGTTTTATGACTATGTGGAATGGACGTACAATTCACTACGGTATTACAGCAGCTCTCACAGGTGTATCACTAGCCTCCTCGGCACCACTACATCGGCACACGTTTTGTGACGAGCCTAGTGTTGGCAAGCCCCTCTGGGCCGACACTACCATCAGTGGTTTGGTGAGGTTTCTGGATATGGCATCGATGCGAGTGGTAATGAGCGGAGAGTGCTCCAGACAGGGGTAAGTGTGATGGTGTCAGGAAACGGGGACACGCTTTGCGATGGAGACGACGGCTAACCTTTCCGTGATCGAGTCAATTCTGAGGAGTCTGTTAACTAGAGTTGGCTCAGGAAGTATGACTGTTAGTGAGCTCCTACGCTACCTTATTAGGGTGTGTCAAGTCGGCAGTAATCAATTGTCTAAGCCCGACTTCCACCAACACGGAGCTCCAGTGACTCTTGATAATTATAGTGAAGTACACTCCTATATGCAGGCAGCATCAGCAGCCTATGGTGCGGTATTCCTGAATGCTCTGGGCCTGGAAAAGATAGCCAACTATAGCCGGTTGGACGAGCCTTTGGATGTCTCTTGTATTACCTCTCATTGCCCAAACATACGTGAAGTTGTTTGCCTTTCCCAATCGGATGGGGCTAATCAGCCGGTTTACTTCATGGCAATTGACACTGAAGGAACACTGATACTATCGATACGAGGAACTGCCAGTATTGCTGATACTATCACTGATCTTATGTGCGATATCGCTCCTCTCACACAAGGCGACAAAGAGTGGAAGGTCCATCGAGGGATCGGAACGGCCGCTAGAAATGTGGTCAGCTCTGCCCTACCACGTGTGATGGAATTGATGCGGCGAGGGGACTGCAAGAGGTTGGTGGTAACGGGACATTCTCTGGGGGCAGGCACCGCCATATTGGTCAGCATACTCATGGCTCGAGAGCTGCCATATGTCGTGGATTGTTATGCCTTTGCTCCTCCTCCTGTAAGCACCACTGCATCGCCGAGGCTCCCAAGCGGTTTAAGGTTACATTCCTTTGTAAATGGGGATGATATTGTCCCTCGATTGTCACTACGGGGCGCTGAGGATCTGTTGGATGTCGTACGAGTTCCTTCACCAGAAGATAGTGATGTGGCTAATGCCGATAAGCTGTATATACCGGGTAAAGTGTACATTCTGGAGCCGGATTCGGTGTGGGAAACGGATGGTGGAAATCCGGCGCTGGGTCCTGAAGCGATGGTCTACTACTGTCAGAGACTGTGTGGAAGCCCTTTCGGGAGTCGGCTTGATGCATCCAAGTGTCTATTCGATCATTTCCCCGATTTTTATGAGAGCAAATTAGACCATTTAGTTCAGCTGAGATCTCCTGATGACGAATAAAAGTTTCGAGACATCGCTTGTGAGTTGAGTTAGACTGTAGTCTGGTCAGTGAAGGAAACATGCGGAGTCGGCATTCTCAAGGGGTTCTGCCTGCGTGGGTCCGAATCCTGCTCATGGACCATTAGCTTTCTCCATTTCTGCTTTATCCCTGGGAAGGGAACACGCGAATCAGTGACGCCGATAGGAAGTTCTATCACTCGCTATCCATGCGCCATTCTCTTGAATGTTATGCAACAATTAGTGTTGTAAGTCAGAAAGAACTCGGTCAGGTAGGAGCTCATAAATCATGACCCAGAACCATGAGGCATAACGATAGGAGACCCTTACAACTCTCGCAGACACACCTTTCCGAGTCCAATAGACGACCCTTTTGCTTGCAGGATCTTTTCAAATCTTGGTTAAACATGACAGCGTGTCCGAGTGGTTAAGGAGGTGGACTCGAAATCCACTAGGCTCTGCCTGCGCAGGTTCGAATCCTGCCGCTGTCGATGAATGTTTACCTATAGTGAGGATGCCTCCTTCCTCCAATATTGACCACCGCTGTTAGCAGGAAGACAACTGTGACCGTATAAGGCTATTCTGGGAATCGTAAGGATCTATTTAACTGGAGGTGACGGTAATTCCGTCCAATCTTAGCCAGCTCGAGAAGTGGTCATCCCCATTGTCATGAACTCTCTCAAGATCAAGCGTTCCAGGCTCGTCGACTACTGACATTCCCACATCTATGCTTGCCAGGCGACCCAGATTATACTAGCTTCAACGCAATGACCTTCATAACAGTAACATGAACACCAATAACACACAAAACATGCTTCCGCTGCTGACAGCGATAACAACTTGTTCAACTCAAAAGTCTCCCGCCAATGTGCCATTGTGCCACCTCGGCTTCACTCGTGGCAGGTAGCTAGAGGAGTATGTTGTGGTAAGAGAAACGGAGCCGCCCTGAAATAAGCAATGCTGACAATGCTGTCGTTGTATACCATACCTTTGGCAACACTGCTGATCCTCCTTTATTGTGAGGAGCAACAGATACCTTAGTTCGCTCAAATCGCTCAGCGCTATATGGGCTGAGCGGACAGACTTCAGTGTGTACAAGCCAAGGCCAACTCACTCAGTGTCAGGCTTGGAGTGATTGAGGCATGCCATAGACTGTGTCTTGCGTAAGAGGGCGCGTCGATCCGCCTCGAGTTCTATCGAGGACTGAGACAACCGACAATAGCAGTACTGGGCGACTTGATACTGGTGCGGCAAGAGGAGCTACCTGTATGCTTCGGTTGACTACGGACAGCTCATGCAGACGGAAAGAAGCTGTGCTGGGCCTCTGGTACGAAGGTTCATCCTAGGCAGAATATAAGATACGCATCTGACACGACGGCTTACCCTGATCAATGCTGCATAGCTGGGCATGTTCGCATTGAATATCCACAGACCTCGAAGAACCCGCTCCAACGCTGATCTACTCGGCCAACGTGTAGACTCTTGAAACGACATCTGAAATATCAAGGACAAACATAAGCGGAGCGAAGCGATCTCGATTTCTCCTCACTTGCCACTCTTCGATTCGCTTTAAAACCCTGGGAGTAAATATCTGGGAGAAAGGCAGAGACCGGAGAGGTCTATTCTCCATAGCAAACGCTCTATGGACATCATCACCACCTACAAGGGTGACCACTAATTCATGATAGAAAATGACGGCTGCAGCGTTTACTTTTGTAAATACCCCGAGTAACTGTTCTCGAGGAAATACATTTACACCGTGGCCCGAACGGTGTGCCGTCCCTCAATTGCTCAATCTGCAACGATGTGGTGACACAGCATAGACAGATGTCACCCCTACGTCCAATGATCCCTGAACTGCAGTAGCCAGGGCACGCCGTAGGTTGTACCCATTAGGCAGGGACCGAGAGCCCAGCTTGGGCGGAGGACGTTGCAGTATGTCGCCAACATGCGCCTGAGACAACAGCCCGTCACAACAGCTACAACACTTAGAATAGTCTTACCAGAATCTCCTTATCTACATCCATAGAGATGGCTAGCCATGGTTGGATTATGCGGAAGTATCTGCAATGAGTACACCATCACTGTGAATGGTGTTGGAGATCTATTCAACTCACTTGGGACGCAATAGCATTTCCAAGGTCCTCTTGCATCGGACATCCAACGTTGTAGGATTGAACATAGAAGGGAAGGGTGGAAACTATCGAGGGAATCTCAGCATCACCCCTGGTCAGTATAACACTCGACGAGTCATTCCCGTCAGCCTTCTACTGCGTACATTAGAGCTCCTATATTCCAAGGGTTTGAATGGCCTGCGAGTTGAATTAAAAGACTCCGCATCAGCACGTCCAAAGCTGCAGGGAGAACGCCCTAGTCAAACCACCGAGTTGACCATTGATAACATTGATAATAACAATAAGTAAGTGCTCAGCGGATGACTAATGTGATGCAACAATTACTCGCAACCAGGACAGATATGACGACGACGACGACCACAGGCAATCCTAGTTCTCTATAATGCAGGTAGGTGTACCACACTGTCAAGGAGTAATCAAAAATCGGCCTCCAACTGACAGTGGTAAACTGTGATCAATATAAGCTGCTTGTGGCGAGCTTAGTAGAAATATGTCTTTGCCGCGACTGAATATACACAGGAGGATCTGAAGGGGACTACTGGTTGAAGGGAATTGCGAAGAACGCAGAGCCTACCTCAGCTGGTTCTGCGACCGTTGTTCGTAACATAAACGAATTATACATTTCGAAAGAGCACCAATAAAGGACTGTTTCGACGGACCAGTAGGTTGTTGATGTTGTGACTGCGTAAATATTGACAAGTTACTTCGACTAGGTAGTAGCGACAATAATGATAATCATACATATAATAGAAACGGTAGTGCTCATGAAAATGTCACGACATACAAGCTACTTCGGAAAATACTAAGGCCACAGGACGAGCCAAGTTTAGTTCAGTCGATGATGCTGCGATTGGGCACCTGACCACGGACAAATGCAAGTGATGGTCATGATGCTGGGGGCGAAATGTACAATGGCAAGGGTGATACTAGACAGGGGAGAAGCCTTATAAGTCGTATTAGATGAAATGGGAATAGCAATATCGAACCTCAGTTCACTGCATTCATGGGCAATGGACGCCGACGAGCGATTCTAGAGCTGTGAATGTATGTTGAGCGTCGCGCTTATGCTACTTAGTTCAAAGAAGACATAATTAACTACACCACAAGGTTGTCGTGAAAAAGATCTCATATACCCACGTAGTAATACACAGGATAAGACGCATCAGGTCGAAAACGTAGAAAAATAAAGCCAAGGCTTATGCAGAGAAGTATCCCAGTGACACAGTATGAGCCTCAATGAGAAGGAATGGGCCAACAGCGTACAAAAGCGCATCAAAACGCAGGGGATGTGAGTTAATGGTGAAAAACGAATGATAATCACCGAGGATGTGTGTACAAGGTGAACAGTGGCGAGGCAATGAACTCGGATAGACAAAACTTCACAGGGTGGGTGAATGCGATACACGATCGAGATATTTGGGTGGCTCCTCCTACTTGGATGAGTTGTTCACCACCAAGTCGCCACGTAATCGGTAACTCTATGGTCATCCTCGACGGAATCCAACAAGTGATACAAAGCGAGGAGATCGTTACTTGATGCTGATGTTGATGTCAAACTTGTAGCACTACGAACAGTAGACAATATTGACCTGAGATGATTGGAGGAATCACAAAGAAACTTCGATAGAAATGACGACTTACTTGTCCGAGCCAACTGTACGTGCCGATCTTCCCTCTGGCTGAGCCGACGGCCAGCTACGCATGCGATGAAGGTGCTAAGAAGTGAGCATCATATGCAGCAGCATAGTGGTTTAACACACTTCCTCCACTTTAGGGATGCGCCTCAGCATTCCCGACACGGGTTTACCGCTATCGGGTTGCTTTCCGTAGCAAAATTGAGATATGGTACCGGCTCTAGCACTAGAGGATGGCGAATGACCGGGAGCCCTAGAAACACTGACGACGGGTGCCATCACCGAGCCCGCCATCAAAAGGAACCAAGTTGGCACTCCTATCAAAATGAGGTTAACAAACCACATGGACATGTGCATGCACGAGACTTGCGCACAGATGGGCGCGCGCAGTTGTACCGTCAAGCAGCGCGACGCTCTCGCTCGCCTGCAATCGATCAGCTATTGCTGAGTTACTTCACAAGGTTAATGGTACTCAAACAATTCTCGAATTTCTCATGATAAACTTGTTAGATGATTGAATCACTGTATTGCCTAAATGGCTGATATGATGACCAAATTTGTTGCCTTCCTACCGAAAGCCATTGGCTTGGGGACTTAACAAAACTTATATGCTTAACTGATCTTGATTGTACTCAATAGGCGAGATAACCACTGTGACAGGTGTAGGCATGCTTGTTGCAGTCACACTTCCCGCCTAGAGTGATTACTAGGCCGTTGCCTGCATCGCCGCTCGGGGGTGTGGTTGGTGTATCTTCTTGGTTCGACAACTCAATCACACAGCAGTGGTCTTGTGTAGTACTTGATGTCGTTCATCCAGTCGTCGATTCGGTTTCCTTGAAGCTACACATTTTCGATAGTCATTGAATGTGTGGGGAGTAGCATGATGATGATACTCTTGAAGTTTTAGGGTTGGGATCGATTAGACTGTCATTTAACATAAACAGGAGTCGAGGTGCTGTGCTGTTAGAAGCACTAGTGAGGTCGTATGGTACCAGCCCAATGTTTTACAGCTGCTTGGCTCTAGCTGTAGATTCTGATGAAGGAATACCCAAACAGAGAGTTATCCGACTTCGAAATTAGCTACTTAGGTTGTGAGATGATGAATGATGGACTTACTACGTTGCAAATGATCTGCGATGCAAAAGGTTCGACTGCATCAAAGTTCGATCTCTCCGAATTGCGGTACTCCACGAGCGGGTCAACGAGGACGAGAATGGCCTTAAGACTAAAGGTTGAAGTACAGTACGTGTACGGGAGATAGAGAAATACAAGTAGCAGATCGGTGACTTGGTCGAACGAATCAAGATAGCTGAGGAGTGCTGATACATACCTAAGATTCAGGTCCATGACTTGGTCGAACGAATCAAGATAGCTGAGGAGTGCTGATACATACGTATGATTCATGACACTTTCCAGAATGGACTCGCTTCCCTCAGTGGTGGAGTTGGGTTAATAATGAGTTGCATCAGGGTCCATCAGCTGTAATGTCTACTGAACTCACCACTAAGCCGCATGGTTATCATCCTATTCTGTCAACCGCTTATCAACTGTGGCCCTTCCTCATCAAAAATAGAGAGTTCTCTCAGAAAGCCTCAAGGGTGTTACGTAGTGACCAGCTACCACGGCTATTGATGGCTTCTCCCATGCATTATCTCGATTGGGGAGGCGGGGCTCCATTGAGTGTTGAGTGTGCTGAGGCTATGGCCCTGCGTATGTGTGACCCAAGGCCGCTACTAAATCCTCATACGGGCTTCGGAGAGTCACCAGTGATAGTGCAAAATATGAGGCGACTTGTACTAGAGTTCTTTGGAGCTTCCCAAGACTCTCATATTCTTATTTGGACGAGCGGAGCGACGCAATCATTGCATATAGTTGGGGAGCATTTCCTCCTTAATGAGACCTCAGCATTGGTCTACTCTCTCGAGTCTCACACATCAGTACTGGGCCTCCGCACCATAGCCAAAGGACCTGTTGGTGTGGCTAGTATTGAGAACTCCCTGGACATTCAGTGGTTCCGTGGGCATCCACCCGACCCCATCTATCACGGGCTTTACGTCCTCACAGGGGAGTGTAACTTGTCTGGTGCCCAGCTGGAGGACCTGCCTGCTACCGTACGTCGGTTGAGGCAAGCAGGATATACAGTGATGCTTGATGCAGCTAAACTAGCATGTACACCAGGTGGCCTCAACTTGGCAGAGGTAGAAGCTGATTTCGTGGCGGTTTCTCTCTACAAGATCTTTGGAGCCCCAACGGGCCTAGGGGCCTTGATCGTGAGGGTGGGCTCAATTTCCAAGTTGACTTCATCGTTTGCCACGGGACTGAGTTATTTCGGCGGTGGTAGTGTCGATGCCGTTTCTGCAAATTCTGGTTTTTGCATCAGAAGTGTCAACATAGTCAAAGCGCTAGAACGGGGCTCTATCAATTGGTTGGCCATCACTCAGCAACTGCCCGCTGCTCTGGCCACCTTCCCAAAGAGGAGGAGTTGGCCTTTCCTTTCCCGGCATGTGGGGGCTCTTATAGAGTTGCTCTACAGCGAGCTGAAGAGCTCTTACCATGCCAATGGAACTCCACTGTGCCGCGTTATAGCGGGCAACCATGGCACTACGCCTCGGCGGCAAGGACCGACTCTTGCTGCTGTCTATCAGTGGCTGGATGGAAGCCCTATACCATTCGACTTGGTACAGCGTTCAGCTCATGCCCGAGGCCTCTTGGTCAGGGCGGGTTGCTGTTGCAATGTTGGAGCTTGTCAACGATGGCTACACCTCACTGATGCTGATATTAAGAGGAACTACGAATCTGGCCGTATATGTGGTGGCGTTGACGATCCAGCGCCGAGTGGTTTCGTTAGAGTCGGCCTTGGTTACATGAGCACTACGTCCGACGTCTATGCTTGGGTCACATTTGTTAGAGAGACCTTCCTGGACAAGACCTCGTTATGTGTGGAGTCACCGAAATTGGTAAATGGAGTGGTATCAGATAGTGGTGTTGAAACTGCAACAGTGTGCAGCATATCGGTGTACCCTCTCAAGGGTGCCGCGGCGCTTGTTGATGCCAGCGGTAGTCCTATAACAAGATGGGGTCTGTCCTGTCTGCACGGTGGCCTGTTGCTCGATAGACAATTCGTCCCTCTAGATCCGGACGGTAGGGTTATACACAGCAAGAGCAGCAAATACGGTCCCAAATTGAGGGCAATCGCCACAGTGCTGGACCCATCAAGAAAGTGTCTATGGCTTCGACTGGATGCCGAGCTAGGTCCACTGTTGGCCCCTCTCACATCCTTGTGTCAGTGGGAGCTAGGGGAAAACCTGCTCTCGTATCAGGGTCTCGTCGTTGGGACCAGTCAGGCGATCTCACTAGCAGAGTTCTCTCAGCGTGCCCTCGGCCCTGGATGTACCATATGCCCAGCTGAGGGAGTCGGCTCTAAAGACATGCTAATAGTGTCGAAGTCGTCGTTGGAGGCCGCGGCCTTCAAGACCAACACTGTGATGGAGCCTGTTATATTCCGCGCCAACCTTATCATCGAGGGTATACCTGCTCACCGGGAGTATAGCTGGTCAGATTGTTACCTGTCTTGTTCAGCTGGGGAAGTGCCACTCGTGGTACAGCGCCATTGCGTTCGATGTAGTATGACTTCAGCCGCCGCTTCGGACGCTACTACTGCCTCGTGGTTTCAGGCATGGCGATAGGACGATCAGCCCTCACTGCACTGGCCTCTACTACAGAGGATGTTAAAGGCCCAGTGATGGGTATTGTAGTCAAGGCCGTTCAAGGTGGCCCCTCTGGTGTAGTGGAAATATCAGTTGGTGACACCATCTGTGCCCGTTGTCACACATAGTGAATTCATTCATTGTTTTTTTTTCAACAACTCAGCGCCTCTGCTACTGTCGACTTCTAAAGGGACGGTGAAATTGAAGTTGGTTTCACTTATATCAATGACATTGAATCGGAGCACCTCCGTCCATCAGGATTCAGTACTAAAGAGAGGCTAGATATATACATGCACTCCAACATCTCCAATGGGAGCTACCTGTAGGGCTTTCTTTGCCTTTTTTGAACCCCCATCCCGTGTAGTGTCCGGCTGGAGCCGTTTAGTTTCAAGAGAATTTCCGAATTCGTGTTACGTTCGTAGTCGTTTATAGTTTTAAAATACTATTATTTCAAGATCGTATTTACATAGCTTTACGATCGTTAGCAACTTTGTGTTTCACTCAGACCGGATGAGGACGTCGAATATCCACCGTAGCGGTATGGTTCATAGAGGTACTGATGTCAGCCAACATACAAGGAAGCATTCACCTGAATCCGGGATAGGGTTGGGATGGACGCCAGGGAGAGGAAAGTAAGAATGCTGGCTGGGACAGGAGTAGACGTGGAATGGGTTACGGTTGCGGCGCTGGGAGGGATCTTGAGTTCTCTTGCGATGAAAATTAGTTGCCAACCTGTGAAAGTCTCAACATGGGCAATACTATAGCCTTCATCTGAGGACAATCCTGTGGAGCCGTGGTAGAAGATGGGACGTTGGTATCGGTGGAGTTGAGTCATTATTCGTCTCTTATACAATCCTGTCGCAGTTGGGAGATGTTTGTTGGGAAGTGTGATGGCCACCATTAGGCTGCCCTTAGTGGAGGTGAACGGTGGGGTCTTGAATAATGGCAGGTTGGCAATCGAAGTGGAGGCATGGCAATGGGAAATGCTGATTGTTGCTGTTGTCATAGGACTACGTTAAACAGGGTCTCTTAAGCTCATCTAGACTACCCCATGTCCAGTTACAAGTGTTGTTGACTATGGCATACTCGGGTGAGGCGATGATATTGGAATACTATGAGGTCCTTGCTAGAGCTGTGCTGCAGTTTTATCTCACTCTCCATGGTCGTTTACGTGACTTTTCATCGATATCATGCATCGTGTCGTCGGAGGTAGCTGCCTAGTTTATACCCGGCCTTCCTGTTTCGTTGCTTGTGCTAATCCCGTCAGTGACTGCTGGAGGGTAGTGTGAATAGCCGGAGGAAGCCAGAGAGTTGAGATAGTTATTTTCTCTCAATCAATCACGATTGTTTGCAGACGACAGATCTGTGTGGGAATTCGATATTGAGTTCGGACTATTCGGAATATTTTGTGGTCGTGCCGGTAGCATAAAATTACCGCGCGCCTTGATGCGTAACTACTGGGAAACTAACGATTGGGTTTACAAGTTGTATTCTGTATGGGATGTGGCCAATCGTCTAGGAAGCATACTACTACTACGACCACTCGGAGGGACCCAAAAAGTGGAGTGATTGAACTCAACGAAGGGGGGCCTAGTAACGGTGGCAAAGTGGAGGTCATGCTAAGTCGTCGAGGCTGAAGCAGAGACCTCATTAGTCTTATTTCAGGTGAGCAAAGACACGCTAGGAACGACATACCAGCGTGCTGCTGTAGATGGTCAGGCCTCTAGGAGCACACCGGGTAATAGGAGACTCTCTGTTGGCAGTCGTCGAGTTATAGACCCGAACACTAAGTGTGCTACCGGAAGAAAGAAAGACGATGAAGTTGGTCCTGTAATACAGGAGTCCGGCTCAGCTGCTACTACCTCAATAGTAATGTGTTGTATTATGGCCTCCAGTCCTGCAGTGTCTACAGGTGGACCTGTCTAGGATAGCACCGAAGACCCCAGTGTATGTTGATAGTGATGGGGATATCGCTCATGGGTTTATGACGGAGGATCCCCACACAGGAACTATGCAGGATGATGGTGAGAGAGTAGCGTTATCGTGAGTGGTGATGAAACAACGTTGTAACTATTGAGGGGAATCTATTATCGATTCGATCCAGACTGTTAATCAACGAGTTACATGCTACATGTGAACATATCACTCATCGGTATCAGCCGTATGCGAGACTTCATTATCACGAAGGACTCCTTCGGAAGGAGTGTATTCCCATAAACGATTACTGCAGTCTGTGCTATGACGATGTACAGGCATGTCCGGTCTCCAGCGACTCGATCGTTCACATACCTCTGGGTTTAATGCGGAGAGTGCTTACTAGCCGACAGGGAGTGACGCTGATGGGAGGCCACGTTGAAGCGCTGATCGCGAATTACATGGATAATTATAGAGCGTTCGTTGCCTCTATTGGAACTTGTTGCGTTATGACGGTTTATCGTCAATACCAGCGAAGTAGGGATGTTGACAACGTTGTTCCGCTGGATGATGACTTCATGCGAACGCCGAAGTAATGACGATCAACTTGTCGTGATTTCTCTCCCAGTGATTCTTAATTGCTGTTTTTTTGACAACGCCAGGAAGTCGGGGTAGTTCGAAGAGTGAGGCTCGGGTCCATCTGTTGAAGTTCATAGAGGCGGGAGAGGCAGCTAAAGCCTTGGAAAAGGACGGCCGTGATTTGGAAGCAATACGACAGTACTAACACGGGACGGGAAGTCACTGTGTTAGTGGTCGTCGAATGACGGGGATAGCCGTATGGATGATCGTCGTTTTCTCATAAGGTACGAGTACGCCATAAATCTGTCGGGGGAGGTGTCTAATGCTGACGTGGAAGAAGTTTGTTTTACGTTTTCTCGTCGCGTTGAGGAGCTCCGACGAAAGATAGCAGCGAAGGTCGTATCCGCTCTTGTGAGCTGGAAGAGGATGGTGTCGTCGTCGTCTCCTTCAGAACCATACGTCTGTCACTAACCCTACGAGGCCACGAATGGTCATCAGAGCAGCTGGAGGAGGAGGAGGGCCCCGACGGAGGATTGCAGGGGGGCCGAGCTCGTCGGAAGGAGCTGTCAAGGTGATGGTTATCTACGCCCTCTGGTCTCGACGGAAGCGGTGATTCCCGCTCAACTTCCTCCCTATTGCGACATTCATGACCTTTCGTCAGGCCGGCACTACAGAAGGCCCTGCTGCATCTCGTGAGGGTGCAATAGATTCCCTGATGGTATCAGTGAGTGGAGTGAAGTGGGATGACATAGTAGGCTTAGAGGAGCCGAAGAGGCACCTTATGGAGATGATCATCATGCCTAGTCTCAACCCTACGGTGAGCCCTTCTGAGGAACTGCTCGTCGGTGGCCCCTTTGAAGGTTTCTATGAGTCGTTGGTTGTGTTTGTTAGCTCTTCACCGGCCTCCGAGCGCCTCCACTGGGCCTCCTCCTCTTTGGGCCGCCAGGTAACGGCAAGACCTACTTGGCGAAGGCAGTGGCCAGTCAGTGCAAAGATGCCGCCTTCTTCAGCGTTAGCGTGAGTTCCCTCGTCACTAGGCGTCTTGTTCGTGGATGTTGTGTTAGGCATCGGCCTTAACCTCCCGATGGCATGGTGAAGACGAGAAGATGGTCCGAGACCTCTTTACGGTAGCGAGGGCTCGTGCACCGAGTGTAATATTCATGGATGAGGTCGACTCGATACTGGGCAAACGTGGTAGTGGTAAAAGGAGTGGTAGAGTCCCATCGTGGTATTAGGCGGTAATGACCACGAGGCGACACGCCGGCTGAAGACGGAGATGCTGGTAGCGGGGGCGCCTATCTTGACCTTGTGAAATTCGTGGTGACATCAGATTCAACTTGATGGTATACACCAGGACGCTGAGAAGGGCAGAGTAGTGGTATTGGCTGCGACTAACCGTCCAATGGATTTGGACGAAGCGGTTCTGCGGCGGTTTCCTAAGCGTATATATGTGCCTCTGCCGGAGCCAGACACCCGAGCTGCAGTAATTACAGTCATCCTTGAGAGTGGCTTGGATCTTTGTTTCTCCTCGTAGACCATTACGAAGCTTGTCAAAGACGTTCGTAATAATAAAATAACCAAAGGGGATATTCAGAGTAATTTACTCCCCACCGTGAGTTAGGAGGAGTTGGTCTCCTGTCAGAAATCGTAGCTGCTACTGAAAACTACAGCCATTCGGATCTCAATCAGCTGTGTCGGGAAGCTGCTATGTCTAGCATGAGGAGCTTGAATATGGATAAGGTCTGCTACTGACGATTGTCATCCCGTGGGTGGAGACGTATCCCTCCAGATGCGGACGATGAAGCCAGAGGATCTCCCCCCATTGAAGTACGAGCATTTCGTCGAGGCTCTGAAGGTCATTCGACCGTCTAGCACTGGGGAGAACGTAGCTGCATTGGTTGAGTGGAATCGGCAGCATGGTATGGTTTGAGAGGCTTTCTAATATTCACTTGTGTGGACTATTGTGTATTCTTTCCTGTGTGATATTGGTTGTGTTGAGAGGATTAGAGGAAGATAGTTAACGAGCTTAGGCCGTGGTCTCCTACACGCCGAGGATGACGCTCACATTGTTATTCAAAACTGATTATATCAGGTCGTACCACTCAATAATGAGTGGCTTTCTTATGCGACTCGGCAGTCCATACTATCTAGCCCGAGTAGCGCTCCTAGGTGTTTATGTAGCTGTCCGTATTCTCTGCAACGATGCATTCAGCGAGGCTATTGACGAAACGTAAGCTTACTGATACTATTTACAACCGTTCATCGAGATGATGTTTTCAGAACAGGGACCAATAAAGAAGTGATATTGCTTCTATTGACCGCTTTAATAGCCATGAATAGAGTTTCCAAGAGACCAGTGTTAGAACTCAAGGTAGGGTGACCTCTCACCACCGGTTAACCTTTCAACCACAGGTCGCTACCTTCCTCACATTAGCCCTGTCTTACTGTGCGGTGACACTCTACTTTGTTAGTACCCGCCTGTGTGCATGGTAACTTGGTCGATTAGGATTTGTTCATTATTCGTCCTTCAGGTTCATATTGGCCTGCATGATGGTAGGGATCACAGCGGGTTCTCCGCAGTATTCTGGTGAGTTTCTGCTTGCCTGTGCTAGTTGTATTCTCATTTGGCAGGAGAACGATGCGTCGAGTATATCGGAGGACTTGCTGAAATCAATAGCCGTGTACTCGTGAAAAACGCGAGTAAGAAAGGTAGACTCGGCTGTGATCTCAGATCGGTCCCACCGTTCCCGCAGGCCAGAGGGCAGTCTCTCGAGAGGAGACTCCCTCGCATTGGCTCGTCCTTTTCAATTCACCCTCGCTGCCGGTTGCCCAGGAAGCAAGTTTCATCTTCGCTTCGATTGCTGAGAAGTATCACCACGCCGGAGTGCTCCAGTTCGGGTTAGTAGACGTTGACAGATGGCCAGATGCTGCCGCCTCCCAGCACATCGATCCTAGTTTGAAATCCGTCCAGCTACCATCAGTAATTCTCTATAATAATGGCAAGGTGAGTCTCATCATGCAGTACAGAAACCGACTGTAGTTATTTCTGTCAGGAGTTAAGTCGGTATCCACCAGTACCCGACGATTCGACGGAGCCAGAAGTCCGTTATACATTGCCAAGGAGCTTCAATAAGTCGACATTGAGTGCATATTTCCGTTTGCTAGAGATTAGTGGTAAATTCTAATCTTTTCGGCGGACGGCGTCCTGTTGCGTTTGATGAGGACGGAGGCGGAATCCTGTCGTCCCGCCGTGAGAATTCAATAGAAGTCGGCATCCGAGTCTAGGCTGCTACACAGCTCAGCTGGAATTCGAGTACGCCGAGCACGGTTGAAACGTCTCTCAATCCGTCACGAGTGTCGGTTCCCTCGCTCACAAACACGAACATGACAATCCTGTGGAATAACTCGTTGTTTAGAAATTGTTATCCTCCAGAATACTGGGTCCTGCATTAGGATCTATGATAATATCCAAGAGAGTCGCACCCTCGTGATAGGCCGTTTGCGGTCCCTCCCTTTGAGCTTCATCATAAGCCTTCGAACATATCGCATGATTTCTGACCTGGTTCACACCAGGTCCCGACTCACTCTTCACTTGGAAGCTAAAATAGGGGGGGGGGGCTCGGAGCAATATGAAAGTCTATTCTAGTTGCTCACCGAACTACATCAACTCAACACAAGAACAACACAACGATACGACCATCATCTCATGCTTCAAGATAAGGACTGAGTCTGCCCGTTCTCCGGATCAATGGCCCATGGTCGAGGGGGACTATCTCATCAAAGCAGACTCTCAAGCGCTCAGTATCGTATCCTACCACAACATTCATCTGCCCCACACAGTCCCGCGAATTCCCACCGTATTCTTCCGGGGATGCTGCTATCCTTCCCGTGAGCTTGTGGAGGTCGATGATTAGAATACACTCGTTGGCATGCCGTTTCCCAAAGTCCTTCATAGCGCTGCCCAAGATATCCGCGAACATCTAACAGTCAGTGAGCGTCACATGGCAGCGGGTGTCGCTCGCAGGTACCCCCAGTGCCCAACATGGTCCACCTTGTGAGATGCTCATAGAGGCATCGAAATATTCCTCGAACCCCTCAGGCAGCAGCACTGGACGCTGGGACAGTCCATCTTTACCGAGATAACTGAACACATACCGGAGGGTACCGGCAAACCCTTACGAAAGTCAATGCTCACGTGACCAATGTAACGAGCTGCTCTTCCGTCAGTACTTTGCCGTTGAATATGTCGCGCAGGGTAAGGAAATGCTCAGGCTTGCTGCTCAATTTGACCTGTCAGTGGCGGCGTGATGGCCTCTCACGCCGGAGCTTCTCACGATGGTGCGTTTCACCGGCTTATACGATTCCCACCACTTGGATGAAAGGACCTCACCAAATTTGAGGCAGACCGGCGTTATAACATGTTTGTATCGAAGACCGAGATACGACCTTACCGTTCTGTAGGGGTAGTAGCGTGACACGCATATTGCCTGACGTCACTATGAGCGAGAACCAACTCGAATAAAACAAGCCTACCTCAGCAGCAATCTGAACCTCTATGCAGAAGAAATCGGGATCAAACTTCGGCAGTATCCCATCCCAATGGTCGTATATGCTCTCCGCTACAAGAGCCTGCACTACTATCTCCAATGACAGTGGAGGGAAGGGGACCAGAGCCTCTGCATAGCATTAACTCCCTTGTCTAAATCGCTCACTCACCCGTCTCACCTTCTCGAAGTATCTCAAACTGCGCCGGTATGAAGCGGCCTCGGGGGAGGTCACATAGAGGGAATCCTGTCCTCAGCCAAGATAGGAGGAACTACTCCAACAAACGCTACCAACGGCCCAGTCATCTTCGGTGATTACAAGCCTGTGTTCTAGATCGTGCTTCTTAAAAGATGGGAAAAGAGAGAGGAAACGAGGGCATTCAGCGAGCATCGCGTAGAATCTGCAACATCGAGGGGAGAGCAACCAATGGCTCTTTCACTACTACTTCCCGGCGCCTTCCCTTGGCCCCATGCCATCTCTCATAAAGTTGGCAGAAAAATCCTCAGCGTACTCGTCAAACTTGTCATGTACTGGGTACTCGTCTAGTAGTAGCAGAAGTATGAGCCTCACTACTAGGAAATCAATTCGACGTTCTAAGCTGTCCCAATCTCGCCAGTCCGTTCCATCTGCCACGCAGAAAAAGCTGATGCCTTTAGACAGGATAAGTATTAGAACTAGGGGAATCATTTCAAAGCGAGATCGGCTATTGCGCTTTGGAGCAATAACTGTTCATCATGCAGCGTTTCGAAAGAAGGTGATCAGTCGAATCGTCACTTGCAATTCTAGCCTCATCTCTTTCCTTCACCTCCTTGTCCGGCGAGGGATAGTCTGAAGAGAATAATTCTTGTAACTCAAAGAACTGGTTCCTCAGGAATCATTCCCCACATATGTTTCGAGAGCTGAGAGGATCTTGTATGTTAGGAACTAATTTATCCAAACTAACAGCTTCTCCTGCATATCTCACCCACCCGGGTATCATCGCTCCGAGGAACTGCGCTATTGTTCGACGAGAGTATTTCTGACCTTCGTGAGTGCACAGCCTTCGAGTGAGACATACTCACCTTGCCGACCGTTCTCCTGTAGTCTCCCACACCATCAAACGGTTTGTAGTACCGTACGATGGATTGGTCGGCCGTGAGAACATATAAAATAACTGTGATGGCTTGACATAGCACATCGAACAGGGCTGCTTCATCTTCCTCATCATCCACGGCTCGGAAGTAATATAGTTCGGGATAAGCCTGAATGGAGCAGCGTCTCAACAACACTGAATTAGCCTTCGCCTCGTCACGAAAAGACAGTGCTGTCTCAGTCTCAAAGGCTCATCCTCGACGACGCCGATGAAGAACTCGCTGAGCAATCAATTCTCGACTACCTCTTCCAATGCAGCTCGATCTATCATATGCTCCGGGTCATCTAACATCGTTTTCCACAGCTTCTCCGCTCGCTTACGAAGGTCTCTGAGATTGTAAGTAAGAACAACCCCTTTAATTCTAATGCATGTCGTACCCTATGGAGTTGTCATCACAGTATGCGACAGGGACCCAAACGAATGGGTCTGCTCCGGGCGGAATGCTCCAGTTGACTTCGTGCCTGACGCCCGCTGCTCCTCAAAGGAAGAGGCCACAGCTGTTAGACTCAACTCTTCCGAGTCTACGTGTTATTATTCCGGCACCGTCCATCGAGCAGCTAACACTCAGATTCATCAGTTCTCTATTCTTTACTCACAAGGTCGCTCAAGCACACTGTACGAAAAGTATCTCACCTCATAGCTCGAATTTTTTCTCTGTGTGCTGCTGCATAATCATCAACATTCAACCTGCAAGGCAACTAGGGACATCACATCACGTGACCAATGGCCTCTCACGAAGTCTCGGCGGCTAATCGATCAGCAATGAAGCCAACGGGGTCCATCGGCCTCTGAGCTGCCACCTCACGAAGCGCCTCTTCGATGGCTCCCCTCACCGAGGGATGTATCTCCGGCTTAGTCATTACTAGAGGAGTAAGGTATCTATACTGGAACAATCGATATTGGAGACTGTTGACACAATACAAACGTAGCGGATGTCACTATCACTTCATAATATCCATGTAGGAAAACTGGACTGGAAATAACAACAGCCAATGTCATGAATCATGGCAATCTACATCGCATATCTCATCATCAGGACTCATAACGATGATATCATGATAACCACGATCCATCTAAACAATGTGAGATATGTTTCTAGCGGTTGAGGGAGATACTTTATGGGAACTAATTTACGAGGATATCGCAAACGTCAACGGAAGCAATGCATCTATGAAAGTTGAGGTGTACAAGCCTTGGCGAAACCCCGGAGTGAAGTGTTCTGCATCTAGATCCAAACCTGAGATATCATGGCATATCAAAAGGATAACAGTAAAGGTTAATTCTGACACTAGGTGAACTAAAGTCACACATGTCACCACACGCGTAGCAGTGAGCTTTACCGTTGGCCCCAATGAGATGCCTATAACGTGGTTCAAGTCAATATCTTCCCCACTGCACTGGACAGGGGGAAGCAGTAACATTATAATCACAACAACTTCTACTACTACTCATCAGTACCAGCATCATCAGTGCACGAACCAGCACTTTATTATACGAGCAGTGTACATAAAAAATAATTTACGCAGAATAAGTATATAACGAGCTCATTCGAGCCATAAAAATGCAAATCACGAATATTCCGTGACTGATAATGAAGACATTCAACAAATAAAAAATAATCAACTGATAATCATCAATACATAAGCAAAAACAGCCAGCAGTATGGACAAGGACCGAGCGGTGGCCGAGGCTGATCTCTGTTCGGCCTTGAAGTAGCAGGATACATTGCGGGTGGTATAAGTCGTCTCAACGGCATCACATACTATCTTCCCTGGACCTTCCAAGATCTTCTCATTGTTCGACTGCAGAGATAGATGAGGGTAACTGATAGATTGAGCGTTCCCCGTGTCCACGACCAGGAGCATACTCACTTCATCACTGCGCATACTCGTGCGGGATCTACACAGGTAAGGTAGCCCTTCTTGTACTCAAGTTTGCTTCTTTCCTCTGAGTACTCACCGTGAGGATCCGTCAGTGTTTGCCCATCAGTATAGCCTGAGTAGATCACGACGCGCTGAGACAAACATAATCCACCCGTTCGACTCACATGTGCCAAGCGGACGTACGTCGTTGCTGTTACCATCATATCCGACTGCTACAAAAACTGTGTAGCTCTTCCTATCAGCACTGCACTGAACTCGGTGGCACGCGGAGATCTACAAAAGCACGAATCGACACCATTCGATGCGTCATTGACACCCCACTCACCTGTCTCGGATTAGGGTAGTAGTGTATCTTGCGTCCACCAACGTCCTGCGTTCGTCGTAATGAGCTCATGAAGCACATGCTATCCGTCGCGAGGAGCTCACCATTGAAACGAGACACTTCGTAAACTGAACAATGATATGCAGATAGCCGTAGAACGCGGATGACCCGAATGGTGCTTCAACGCTGTTTGTAACCTACATTTCCCCAAGTTGCAGTCCCAGCTTCGGAAACCATCCCATATGGGACAGTAGTCTAAATGAGACAACCTGCTGTTTCGAACAGGACCACCATATCTGCTCGAATCAGCGAAATTCCGACAGTAGAGTTCGTCCCCTCCTACTCGTATTGAGATAACGGTGCCTTTTCGTGCTTCACAGAGCATCTAACCTTGGTTTTGAGATCAAGCGAGCACCTGTAATAACACTTACACTACTATCGTCCCTCCTTAGAGGCCCTCACCTATCCTCGTCATCATCAGCTGCACCACAGAAATGGCTAGTCTTCTTCTTGCCAACCTCAAACGTCGCCTCGCTTTCCGAGTTGATACACTTATCCATAGCAAACGAGCACCCTTGCTTGTATCTGACCAAACACTATCATTCGACGCCAGTACGGTCGGAGACCAACCCGAAGAACATCCCCTTATGCATTTTCGTGGCCATAGAATAGTCTGGCAGATACCAGCCGCTGTCCTCGAATAATGCCAGTGTGATCTCCGACATGAAGTGATACCCAAAGTTTGCTATGGGCACCTAGACTCTGCCCGTGGAGGAAGACAAGATAACTTCTCACTCACCATCAGCTCACCCTCGAGGAGTCTCTGCTCCCAGTGGGATTCGAGCACATGACAACCCTGACGGGGACTCTGGTTCTCGATCTCCATACCGTCCAATGTAGGACAATCAAAGTAGTCTCTCGCCTTCTCAACAACCTATGGCAGCAGCGATCAGTGCTTATTGCAGCTCGACACTCACTTTAGGCGTGACGATCTTGAAGACACAGCTACCCCTGGGTGCAAGCAAGCACTGCCGCATATCGGCGCTTGTAGTAGAGTTTATACGACCAGTAGGGCACTTGCAGGTTTCCTTGCTCATGCCACGGCCAGACGAGACTTCAACGACACCAGGGGCGTCAGTATACATGTAATTGCCCTTGGGATACGGATAGGAAACGGAAAGGTCATCGGAACTCGAACAATGATACCTGATTAGACGAGTTAGATGCAAATTACTATTACATCTCCTCACCTGGTTCCATACGGCCGCAAAACCCCAGCGGTATCCGGGTTTCGGGGCACACGCGGAGATCCATCAGCATACCGGAATAATGGATACTTATACGCGGAGAATACCAATGCATGAGCAAGCTCATGTGTCATGGTTCCGACTAGGTTATCCTTGGCGTACTCAGAGTCAACATTAATCATTTGGGGGCACACGTTGACGAGACCAAAGGTTGGTCTATCACACTGATCCCTCTGACAGCTCAATGCGAACGCGATTACACCATTGCCATTGATGCCGCAGGCCGAGTCATGCTTAGCCGTTACGAGGATGACCATATCAACGTCACTGTAGCCTTCTCCAGCTGGATAGACTGTCGGATAGCCACAAGTATCATCACCGTAACACTCTTTGAAGGTGGTTAGCTCGTCCAAATACTCGTCGGGTATCATAATAGCGGTACCGTTAATGTAACCACAGGAGGCTCCACCGCCCTTATAATAGACGGAGTAACACACACCATGAGGCCACCGGCTGCCACAAGATCTCGCTGCCCTAACAGGAGCTTGAGCTCGACGAACCATCAAGGTCTTCTGCCAGAAGGCAACAGCTCGAGGCACCGCCTCTGATCGGATGAAATCTCGCATGGGCTTGTCGGGTAAGTCAGCCTCGAGATCGATGAAGTGAACCCCCAAGCGGAGCGGTTCCCAAGGTACACCTTCAATACTGGCTTCACAAGTGCCCCCGCTCTCACCAAGACGGCGACCATGACCATACTGGACTGGGGAGACCAAGTAGTCGTCAGGTGGAACCTCACTTTCCCAACCCCTCGCAGGGACGGTCAGAGTAGTGATGGCTACCAGAGCCAGAGCGGCGGAGCAGTGACAAAGTACAGTCATACCCAGATGTTAAGCAAAGGTTACTGAAAGAGTGACTACTTAGCGTTCAAGTCTTACAGGATGCATAGACGAACTGTGATCTGTAAACAATACTTGATATATGGGGCGAGCGAGATTAATTATGTATCCAATACAAGCGCGCTCGCCCGCAGGATTCTCCACTCAGTTTCGGTTTGCACACGCGTCTTCAGGATGAGTCCGAGCGACCCACATTGGGCCTGTTTCATAGGAGCAAATTGCGTCTTAAACTTAAGTAACGCCTTAAGTATACCTTAAGTAATTAGGACATCCTATTTCACTACTTAAGTAAGCACGTCAAGGCGCCTTAAGTTTAGGAATACTTAAGGCGCCTTAAGTTTCTGTGCATATACTTAAGTATTCACGAGAAGCATTTCACAACATGCGTACTTAAGGAGCAACTTAAGTATTCGTTAAATTTTATTAAGGTAGAGCCGACCCTACCTAAATAGATACTTAAGTACCGTGTTCGAATATTGCAGCCCACAGGGGTTGAACCAGGGACCCTTCGAAGTACGATGCTTTGATATTGCATCTCGCAGGGATCGAACCGGAGACCTTACGAATGGTAGCACGGTGCTCTCCCACTTGTCCAGAGAGGCAAAGAAATCGAGCCAAGAATTCATTTCCTTCACGCAGCAAAAGCCGAACCGAACTTCACAATATGGCCACCTTTAAGAATCAGCCACTGCAAGACGTCAAGGAGGCAATGTTTGCTGCTTGGGAACAAGAGATGAGGATCTGGGTCAATCACAGTGACTTATTCTAGCTAACATTGTAATTCGTGGGAAATCCCCTTGCAGCTCGTTACCAACGGTAACTTACCATTGATACCTTACCCATGATCGAGGAAAGTAGTTGCGAAACAGTAAACGACCATAGAAACAGCATACCTCAGACTTGTACCTGCGCCGATCGCGAGGTAAACAAACAACCTAACCAATGGAGCATTTATACCACGAAACTAAACATGTAATTCTATTCTATACCTGTAACCATGGTTAAGTAGATACTTAAGTACGCCTTAAGTTAAGGAGCTCCTTAAGTTGCCCCTAAACGTTGTGAAATGAGTTGAGTACTTCTTAAGTATACCTTAAGTAAGTCCTTAAGTTGCTCCTATATTTAAGGCGCCTTAAATTAAGTATCCCTGTGAAACAGGCCCATTATCGATCGTTCAAGGACATCCGTTGTTGCGGAGATGAGGGAGTGGCAGATGAATTTGTCGCTGGTAGGAGTAGTAGTATTATTATACAATCAGATTGGAGACGAGAAGTAACACGTTAGTCGTAGCAAGTGGTCGAATGAGCTACGTAATCGCTCTATAATCTGTCTCAAAACACACTCTAGCACAAGCTTCGAGGAGTTGGGGAGATTCTTCAATGTTGGGTAGAGGAATGAAGCTCTTTCAATGAACCCAGCGGACCGCTGGCAGCGGCGGATGATGATAATATTTCAGAGACTAGGTCCGTCAGCCTTCAACTTCGGAAAGCAAGTACGCAGGTAATACTCGACTTCCCCTCTCATTCGCTTCCCCGACAACAGCTTCATTCATGTTGTCGACAGTACGGAGAGATGCGCCCAGACCAACCTCATTGAAATACCACACAAGGTATGGATAATGATGATCTTCGGCAACGCTCTGATCGCTCGATACGTCTCAATTGCCGTCGCTACACATCATGGCCAGCCACTGGCCTACTAATCAGCCACTCAGCAACTGGAGAGGTAACCCATAGAAAAGAACAACGAGACTAACGTCGTCGGCAATGATACGACCATCACATGATGATGAATCCACTGGTCACTCATCTCATATCTTCGGTCACGTAGGTATCGGCTATACTGCTCCTATGCATCTACCCCACATCTACACCACAGAGGCGATCAACCGATGAGTAGTCGAGTCAGGATCAATTGACGGGTCACTACATGTAACCTGAGAGGGTCAGGAGAAGTCTTCGTCGCAGGATTAAGAGACCCCTCCCCCGGGCATGCTCCAACCCTGGTGGCACCTTGTCAAGAGTCACACGTTGTATCATCAGTAGTCCAACGAGAGCTACTCACAGCCGAAGTTCGGCTGCCGAATTGTATACAACATCGATCTTAAGGGTTTACTCGAATTAGATGCGGCTCACTTCTAGTATTTAATTTCCTCGGGCGTATTCTCAAGACTAATCAACACGCGCGAAAAGAACTCATAGCGAGGAGTACGATGATGAGGAACGTTGCCGTGCTAAGGAATAGGATGTACATTGGCAGATGTCGAGAAGGAGTGGTATCTGCAAAATTAGACGCACCAATACAGCCCTATTGTCGAATAGTTGAACCCATTAAAGTTGAACGATGGGTGGTCGACCACTAGACCATCTTACAAACACAAAACTCCGGGTCACAAAACATATGTCCAGAATAGATACTGTAGCTACAAATGGATCAGTCCTCGACATAGATCCATATACTTAGGATAATCATTGAATCAATCTGCAATGTTGAAGACTCTAAGGGCGACTACTAGCGAAGTCGGCTGAATACACGTTCTTTATGGTAGCGAGATCAGTCTGCATCCTTTCAACGCTCTGAGTCGAATCAAGTACAATAAGTGGTATTCGAACCTCCGACGGTAGGAGTCCTCCATGCTGTCCCACTAACTTCTCAGTACCGGACTTCCCATCAATGTAGTAGGTAAGCTCATAAGGCCCATCAGTTATGCCAAAGAGATCCCCAAGCTGCTCTCTAGCATCTTCTGACAGTTTCCCTGGACCCAATATACGGAGAGCCTCCACCTCATCCGGGGTCAACAACAACCAATTCTTGGCGAGCTCCGGGGCTTCCTTCCGAATGGTCTCCCGGGCCTCATCAACCGAAACACCATCGGCTAAATGCAAGGCAAATGACCGTGGCTCAACAGTAGGTGGGAGCTTCAACAACCTGCCAAGCGCGAGTACGTTAGGCCTTGTTTTCCTCTCATCCTGGGAATCATAAACTCGGACATGTTCCAAATTCAGTTGTCCGTGGTCGGCCGATACTACCATCCGTACCGATGCTCCCGATGTTCGACTCAATGCCGCCCAAAGTTCCTCGAGCTGGTCATTCAACTGGTTGAGTTTGATCCCTATGGCGGGATCGTCTATACCCAAGGCATGCTCTGTGGTGTCCGGCTCAGGACAGTAGATGTAAGTGAAGGTAGTCTCCTTTGAATCCGTCTTCTCTTGCAAATACTTCGGCACCTCCACGATGACCAACTGTAAGTCAGTCAAACTGGTTTTGATCACCTTCGGACCATTCCCACGAATAGCCCTCGTGAAGGGAGAATCATCATAGAACTGGTACATCCTGACCTCATCCTTATCGAGCTTATCATAAGCCGCATCAAAACGGAAAACCTTCTTTCGCATCTCCTCTGTGTCCTCCAATGACTCGCCAGTCACAGCATCGACCCACGGCAGAGGCTGAATCGCTACTCTCCGATCGATTTCTGTAGTCCAACCCAACATGCCGTGCTCAGCAGGGTATTTCCCTGTGCCATACGAGGTCAGCGCTGCACATGTGGTCGCCGGAAAAACACTGTTGACCGTGCCAATGAGGTTTTTCCTCATGAAGGAATCCTTACCAAGATGCTTCTCGAGGACGTTGATACCACAACCATCCAACAATACGAATACCGTATGCTGCGCCTCAGTCCGCAATAAAGTCTTCTCAAGCCCCTTGGCTACCTCCGTCTGGTACTTTCCCATGAGGGCTGTTATAACATCCACCGAAGTAACGCTCGACAGAGGATGTACTAGCTTGCCTGTCGATAACCACTTCTTAGCTGTGACGAAATCTGCACTAGTAGACATTATCAGATAAACAACTACGCTTAGATCTGCTCCCCGTCCCAACAAAGAAGTGCTGAACACCATACCGATACTGTAGGAAAAGCGGCACTAGTTGCCGATCGGCATTAAGAGCAACGCCGTCAGTGCCAACATGCACCATCACTAGTGGTACTACTACTCGAGCTTCTGCTAGAGTTGCCATATGCCAATATCGAAGCATATTTCATCGTCTCTTCCCCTCTTAGTTCTGACCACGACAACACGTCCCCTAGCCATCGGTGCCAGTTGCCATTGACGAGGGCCGTTGCCGTATTCACTGCGACTCTCCGCATCTCGAATCCTTCAGTTATCTACAAAGGACCGATATTGGAGCTACAATAGTGTCTGCCAGCATACAACGGAGGAGTCGTCTGCATGTGATGCTTACGTTAGGGAGGTCCACCTAGCACTCAGCTTGTCCTCGCATAGGTCGATCTAATCGTCTGAAACGTTCCGATAGAGTATGTCTAGCGATGCCGGAGCCGCTGATGACCAGTCCCTTGACGTGACATCTCCCGCCTTCGAAGTTGCGCAGTGGGCCGGGATGGTCCAGGTCATCAGAAAGAACCATAGTTATAGCTCCACCAGCTGGCCCCCGTATACCAGCGCTCTGGACTAGCCACCAAAAGCTAGGATCAGTCGAGCTGTCGGGATAACCAACCAAACCAGTATTGAAAACCACGTCTGACAACGGAGCCATTATAATCGATTATCGGATAGACTTCATTCCCCCTGCTGTTGATACAGACTTGCCTATCACCCCTCCAACGTAGCGCTTGGAGTTCAGCTAAGCAAAATCGTTCTCGCGAGTATTCATTGGATAGACATAGAGGTAATCTTCAGTGGTAGTAGATAAAAAAGGTAATGGGTAACAGTAATATCCTTCCTGAAGATCTACAAAGAGTAATACCGTCTATAACAGCAATGTGCTCGCCAGAGATTGGGATCATACCACTGGAGTCATACCCTGGACAACCATGTTGCATAAGGATGCTCTCACGATTCGACGGCATCGTAAGATCCGCCCTTTGCCATCTTGCAAATCTTGCATTTCCTCAACCAATGAGATTGCTTTTGGAGTGGCTGTCCGCCATCTTCGGCGCAACCCCATATCTGGAGTTAGGTTATATTATTTACCATCACGGTTGATATTCCTACCACACTTCGTTCACATCCTAGTCATTTCCACTACTGCTCGGGAGGTGCTGCTGTTATAGAAATTTTCGCTTTCCAATGGCTCGGCGACCGGAGCCAGTTGGCGGCGCAGCGAATGGGCTGGTAGGGGGAGAAGGGCTCGTCGGGGAAGTCATCACATCAGGGAACAAGGGCAGAGTCGATGCGGTCATTGATGGTAGAAATTTTAGTGACAGACCTGGATTGGACACCAGCTCCTTTAGACAAGGACCTTCTTGGCAAACAACAGCAACATGATAACCACGAGATTGACTATGCGGCATTCCACACAGAAACTGGATACTTTACCGGGCCAATCTTTATGCGTACTTGGTCGGAGCTACCAGTCGACTGGTCCTGGGAGCTACTCCATGCCCTCTTCTGTGCTTGTGCAGCGTACATACAGATATCCTTCATCACAGGGGTGAGTGTTGGTCTACATACCACTGTAGCCCTTTCTATCGGCATTCTCAGGCACCATGGGAGGCTAATATTCACTTAGTCGTGGTTATCACATTCCTTATGTCTCAAAGACTCTTCTATGCATTCTGGGGCGGTACCACTCCACACAGGCATAGCTCCTTGATGAGGCCAGATGACTTTGGTAGTACCCACCCCCCCACAATGCGAGTTAATAATCATCATCACTCAGGCGGTCAACACCGAACTGGCATAACCATCGCACGTGATGTGGCAAGATTCTTCCTGCTAGGTAGTAGTAGTAGTAGTAGTAGTAGTAGCAGTGGAAGCCTTATGTTTGGCATTGACGTTCCTCTTTAGCCATAACGTTCCTTGACGTCGGCTACTGTACAGCAGCAGTAGTACAACAGGACCTCGTGGCACAAGGAGGGGAAAAGCCTTCTTCGCTATATGGTTACATATTGGCGACCGAGGTGGGTCTATTAATCATACCAAATTGTAGATGATACCACTCCTTCAGTACTTCCTCCCACCGTTGCTCCTATCAAGTGTATCAGTAGCTCTGCTACGCCAGTAGTGATGAGGGGTTACGGTGATTAATAGTCGTCTAACTCGGTGTTTTATCAGGAGTTCAGACCTCCATTACAATGATCTCACAGATGAGGCCCTGGATGCCCGTGTCGACGCCACTGACAATCTCTTCCTCACCCCACTTGTTCAGAGCTTGCGCAGAATCGTAATCTATGCGGCCGAGGTGACACTATTGGTGACACTGCTGTAGTAGCACTACGTACTGTGCTAGGCTATCTGGTGTCTCGGAGTCCTACCTTGTCGCTTCGCCCGAGGCCCTCTGGCCAACGATGTCTCCGTTGCCGACCCCCGGGTTGGACTTTTGGACTTCCTCAGTGTATCAGCCAGCTCAGTGGTACCCGGCGGCCCTGGGTTCACTATGTAACTACGCCACTCAGTGTCTTAATGGAGACTCTGTTATGCTCAGGATATTAATGACAGCCGTATTCGCATTGCATGTTTTACTCGTAGTTATGTGCACAGACCTCAACACAAGGCCACTCGAATTGCAGTATGCCAACCATGCTGCTGTTTCCACGTGGATGTCTTACGCAGGCATCTCGCACATCTATTGGGCAAGTGGAAGATGATAACAGAGCAGTCGGCTTTGATAAGAGTTCAAGCCATAGGGGCAGCAGCTGCTGGGAGTGTAGTACTAGGTGGAGGGTGGTAGGGGACTACTGTGTTTAGGGGGGCGGATCGTCACATCACTCGAAGGGGCATCCATCTCAACAGTCCACGGTCAAGGTCTCGGAATGGTCTTCAAGGCAGTGCCCTTATACTGAGGTCCTAATGAGGTGGTCTAGTCAATGGTTATATATTCTTCATATAGGGAAGCATTGTTCGTGATAAGGGGCGTTATTACGAGGCACAGGCTCCTATGAATACCATAAGGCCCAGCCGGAGTGGCGGCCTATTCCAGCACATTTGCTCGGTAGTAGTATTGATGAGTTCTCCTCCTTTTCTGTAGACCTCTATGTCAGGGTCTCTACGGTAACGTATTGGTCACTAGGCAGATGATATTCACTTTGCATGTCCTTCTAGCTTGGGTCTACTTCATAGTTGTAAGGCTTTTTTTCCTTCTGCCTCGCATCACTGACTTCCTCCGCCTCTTGTGCAGATGGCCTATGGTGCATTATTCAGCCGCTCATGGTCATCCTCGATTAGTGTGTGCACCCAGGTAGTAAGCGTATGGTTGTTGGTTGCTGAGCTCATCCTTGTTACGATGATAGGAAGAGTCCTTCCTTCCTAAGACGATAACATCTATGGCGGTCCCACATGACCTTTCCGACTTTACACTGCATGTTGGGGATGAGCATACGTCTGAGGCATGGGAGCCGCGAGACGCTGGCCAACGTGTCCTCAATAATACAGCATGCACGACTTCTCGAGCGGCATGGATAGCACCGTGGCTTCTCCTGGTGCTAGGGCATTCAGTACAGGTACTAACGACTACGACTATGGCCACTGCTGCTGGTGCTGGTGATCCTTTCACTGCGACTAGTCGTAGGTGCATCATATGAGTGGGGTTTGGTCGTCGGCCAGCGGTACACCAGCAAGCCTAAGAGCATCTCAGCATGGGCATCTTGACAGAGCTTGTCACCAGCGAGGCTGGATGCCCCCATTATATCATCAGCTCAGCTCCAGCTCTGGTTCTACCGCGGCTCCATCTACTGATTTATGGCTTGGTGACGCCACTTCCTCGGAGGTGAGATTGTTATAACGATTGATACAAAGCAGCAGTCCTCTGGCTATCAGGGCGAGGGCCATAGGGAGTATTATCCTGCATGGGAGAGGCCAGGGGAATTGACAGACTCTATGCTCCGGAGCATCACTACATCCTCAACATACAGGTAATAGTGGGTCTACTATGATGATTATATTGTAAAGCTATGATGTGCATGGCACCTCTATTACAGTTGGGTAGGTTCTTCCGTTGGGCGAGGTCTTCCTCTACTGCGGGCATTGGGTCAGCCATCAGAGCAGCCACAGGTGAGGTTCCGTCGACATACAGATGGCATCCTTCCTCATGTAGGAGTATCTTGCGGACCATCAGATGCTCCTACGAGTGAGCCTAACAGTAGTCCTGGGTGAAGAAAGCTCCTCGACAGTAGTTATGATGGCAGCGCGCCTTTGATTATCTCTCTGCCTCGATTGTTGGGAGTTTTTCCAGATTCATCCTGGTCTTAGCGTTATCAAGGTGGGCTAGAATAGGGCCGGCAGCTCAGTTTCCTTAGTTTTCTCTTCACTTGGCTTCCCTCCCAAATTGGAGCAGGTTAATGTCTTCTACCAGTGACCGTGATGACGGTGATCCCTCAGCTGCTACAAGTCCCCCAGCTGCTGCTGGTAACGGCCCTTTGACGGTAGTAGTTATTGGTAGCATTGGAGGTCGTCGTCGTCAGGGTCCCTTCATCATCGGTCTTCATCCCCTGAGCCTTCGTCCCCACCACCACCGCTACGCCATGTAAATGAGGCTGCCTTAGTAAGAGCTGTTCTTGTTGCTGGTGGTCGAAGGACTGTAGAGGTTCTGTTGTAGGTCGAGGACTCTCTGGATACATTCCTGGACTTTATGGCCTCTCTTACAGTATACGAGGCTATACCTGATCGCAGTCTAACTGCATGTGTAAGGCATCTCGTGGAAGGCCGCCGAGTTGTGGTGGTGGAGTGGTATGGTTTTAGGTGACCGATGATGTCCCCATGGGCCAGGCATGCGTCTTGCTACTGAGCGGCTTGACGGGGGAGTATGAGCAAAGACGGGATGAGGCAACTCCTCGTAGGACGGTGGTTTCCTTCATCGTTTTGATGTCTTAATGGTCAGCAACTGCCCAGCCGAGTTCGACTATGACGGGCACGCAAATCGGGCCAATGCGGCGAATACGAGTGCTACGACGGATTCGGTCCTCCCCTACTCCGCCCGTTGCTGCTGCTGCTGATGAAGCTATGACTTCATCTGGTTGCCAATCGCAGCATAATGGGGCGTATTCCAACAATACGGGGGATATGCGTGGAGAATTCGATTATAATATTCAGAGTAGGATGTGGCCTTCGGGGATGCTCATTGCCTTTGTTCACTATAAGTGTCTAGTCACTCACTTCTCTATGATCAGATATGGTACTACCACCACAAGTCGAGGAACTGGCCTATGATAGTCTCGATAAGCACAGGCGTCCAGTAGCATCATCACCAACCATACGGATTGACCAGATAGGACCATCAACCTCATGCCCGCCCGAGGCACCATATTATAACTCCTCTACGGGTGTCCCCTGTATGGACACAGCTTGGTTGACAGCACTGGACTTATTCCAGTATGCTCTTTGGTGTTATCGTAACCAGCATGAGGCCTTACAGTGCATCACAGTGGATGAATGGATATCGAAGCGGACATTACAGCCGACAGAAGTCCCCTATCTACGCCTAGATCAGGACATGTCGGTCCTGCAAGCGGTAATGAGAGGACTGCCACCACTGGGGGGTATACCATCGTTAATCGTTGTTCAGGTATCATTGATAATCGCCACGCCGGGTGCTCATAGTCTTTTGCTTTCTAGCGAGACTGAATCTAAGACGGAGGTAGAGGTCTTCGCTGAGATCAGCCTCACACAGATAATGGCATTTGTGGCTATACATTGCAAGGGGCCGTTCTTGGCACCGGTATTCGACTTGCCAGTGCAAGACTACAGTACGATATTGGCTATATCCTCGTTATCGAGGGTCACCCTCTTAGGTGCTTTATCACACGGTCATGTCGTCACAGTGGATGCAAATAAGGATACATTGGCTGACGTGATGGATGCCATTTGTAGGCAGCAGTAGTCTGTTGGAGGTGCTGGAGTCCTACTTACGTGATAGGTACTTGCCAGCGGCAGATCCTACCGGTGTTGGAGAATGGTCAGTATGTCGGCTCCTTTACTTTGACGTCTGTCAATCAACTCATAACGGAGTCGGTCAATTACATGTAGGATATCTTCTACAATAGTGGCCATCATGTTGAGATTGGTAATGTTCAGGTATACGGATAGTGAGTACTCAGTACTTGGCCATAGCATATCTTTGGGCATGCGTGCTGGTGATGCATTGGAGTTGACTAAGCGTTATGTTAGAATGACCAAGGCAGCTGAGCTTAGGAGGAAGAGGCAAGCTGGGATCACTGTACCCGATATGGAGGAGGACGAGCAAGAGGATGAAGTGCTGCTGTCGCTGTTGGTGTATCATCCTTTGTGTTAGCTGTCCCTTCTTAGGACGTTAATGGGGATATAGCCCCTGTGTATTTATCGACGGACTTCCCGGTCTCATTGAAGAATATCTTACGGTCAATGCTGTTGGGATCGGAGTCTCATTCGATGGTACGGCGGATGGTTCGGTAGTGGCTTGTGTATATGTGTGAACTCAGGTGATCCTGGACCCGGATACGCGATCAGTTTTGGCAGTCATAGACGCCTACGACTTGTGGAAATTCTTAATACAGGTTTGTTGGTATATGATGCTTAGTTGGGAAGTTACCTTGCCTCAGGGCCATGCCTCTTCGACGAACGAATCGTCGCCGTTACAGCAAGTGAATCAAAGCCCAGTGGGCCCAGAGGAGGAAGAGTTCGGTGACGGTGAGTTCTTACAGGTCTTGTCTTTTATACTGTCGTTCATCTTGTATAGGCTTACTTGACATGCTGCAAGGTAATGGAGTTGGTCTTGAACAATAACAACAACAATATGAGGCGCTGCACAGATCGTCTTCCGATGGCTTCATCATTTTACCTGTCTCCCTTTCCTTGGTCCCCTATAATGTAAAATTAATATGCTTAGACGGCTCCTTGTCATATTTACGAGTGATCATAATAATACTAGTATTAGCATTATTATTATTAACATCATTAGCAGTAGTAGTACTAGTAGTAGTGAAGAAGATGGGTACTTGGTGATACATTGTTTGTCTGCAGTTCGGTAGTAGCTTTGGTAGCGTTTTCATCATAGAACGTCACTAGAATGCTCTTGCTTCATCAGTGAGTGCTCCTCTATGTGAACACATGAAGAACCTACCATAGCTGCTGCTAGAATCCTCATTACTATCATTCGCGCCTACTACCGCTGCTGCTGATGCTGCTGGTGTCGTTACAGCCCACTTTTACAATTTTTGAACCATCACCTTGGTGTTGCGTTGGGTGTATTATCTCTGGCTATCTCTAGCGTCATTGGAGAGCAATGCCAAATCCTGTTATTGCTTCTCAGGAAGATAGAAGTAGAGCTTGTACACAGAGCCATCGAGGAGTACAGCATGGTTTCGGGCTCTAGAATGAGTGATTCATTAAACGTGATAGAGAGTACTTCGGATGTCTCGATCAGTGAGGCCCTCATTTCCTCCGCACCTGAGCAGAGGTTATGTGGAATATACCAGAAGTCTTTAAAGTGAGTGTTGCTTACTCCTCTTTAGCAGCTACTACTGTACTGTGTGGGGTCTGTTGGGTTCGTGACTGGACAACTGCCTATGGGAGGGTGTGTTGACAGCTTAGTTTCAATTCTGGATATTCCTTTTGAGGCGAGTGTCTCTTCCTACGTCTACCGTCACAACATTTCAATGAGCTCATCGTCTGAGCCTACCACTGTCTCCACTCCTCCATGTGTTAGTACTAGCAGCGACTACGGCGGTGAGACGGTAATCAAAAGCTATGACCAGGAGCTCACTACAGACCAAGAAAAGCAAGAGGGTGATGAGATCGATAGTACATCGACTTGTTTGAAGAGAGGACGGTTCACCCTGGAGTTGGTCTCAAAGACAGGCCACCTTCCGCACAGCCTAGCTGTTACCCACGCTAACTGCGATCCAGCACTGTCCCCTGTCCCTACAACAGTTAACCTATTCAATGTACCCCCACCGAAAATGGTGGTAAAGAAGGTTGGACGTTTTGTGATCGAGGAGGAGATCTCGATCGACACGGTCCTTCCTGACTCGCCCAGTTCTTCAACTTTCACTCATCTTTCATCAGGACGTCGTATCGGTCGCTTTGAAGTGGCACCGCATGATGGGAGGAGCGGTCGAGTAACACCGACTCTGATGGTTTATCCTGTTCTAGATAGGTCATCGGTGTGATACATTCGGCATCGGCATTTACTATAAATACGTTCATTCATGTCACTTTCACCAATGAAATACTTGTCGACTCCTCAGAAATTGGTAACTACGCATGTCTTGTTATTGCATCAAAAGATGGTTGAGTTGAAGGAAAGCCGTAGAGGACGCGTAGAAAGATCGATTCCAGCAGTAATTGGAGGTGCTTCTATCGAGTATTGCAGACATATGATTGGCATTGGGAAGGTCGCTTGAAGCCTCCTCACTTTCTTCCTGTTAGATGAGGATTTTTACCAATATCTATGTCCCGTAGTAGTTGCCGTAAACACCGCGGTGGACACTCCCATCATAAGGTTGACAGGAAGCCGAATGCACCGAGTAAGAGTCGACGTAGTGAAGGAGAGGAGTATGTTGCCGAGGAAGATAGCAAACGTCCACGAGGCGATTCGATGCCCGAGTGTATTCCCTTCTCGAATGCCGCTAATGCAGATGTGAGGAGAGTCGGCCGTTTTGAAATTGAAGAGTTTTGCTGCACCACACCGTGCCTAAATGGAGGCGGAGCGGTGCACGACATTGCATCATTCGGAGATGCACCTGTTGTTGTATATACTATTGAAGCTGACAGAAACAAAGAGGAGGAGATCCTCAGCAGTGACTAGCAGCCTGTGCTGTATTCACTATTTTTCGTCATCTGTAGACCATTCGTATCATCAAATTTTCCTTGTCTTGAGCCTCAAGCGTTTTCCTCTATGATTAGAGGTATACCATAAATCATGTAGCTGTCGGTATCTGTATCAGTCGAGATTCATTACAACCATCCTGCTTCAGTCTAGATGGCACTTAGATACAATAGTTCACTAATTGTTCCATCTGAATGCTGTTGTGTTGTTGCATGTCTTGCTGTCTCCATCATTGTGTTAGCTCTCACTACGTGTTAGCCCACAGACATTCACAAGCGATGGAGTCTTTCATTCGACGGTCTTCCTTCTTCAATAGTTTCAACGGGGATAATGCTTCAGAGGCCTTCTTTGACGCGGACGAAGTGCTCCCTGCTGCTAGCGTCGTGCCACGACCGTTCTCTTGGTGGGGCTACTTGTGTTGTAGTGGTGCTCCGACATCAGCTGTCCCTATCACCAATCGACCACCTGTGTTCGTGTCTTGCCGACCACGCGATCTGCCTCGGTCATCGTTCATGGAGGATATCGACAGCAGTAGTCTTACAATGTCGAGAGTGAATCGTAGAAGGCGAGTGAGAAGAATGACAAGCCATCATGTGATGGAACAACGCTTCTCGGGTTACTCTCACGATCATGACGATAGTTCAGTGCTGAATTCAGGAGGCGGCGATCAGCTGATCTGGGTTAACTGGTTATTGATGCAGCTTTGGCCGAGGTTGAACTCGGTGATTCGCGAGAAACTGGAAACAGAAGTGCTCCCGATCATGCGAGAGAGCATAGGTCACCGAGTGATTGAATTAAAGGAGTTCGATCTCGGCAAGAACACACCAAAGCTAGGGCCGATTCGGACTTCTAGACGGGACCATGGCACACATGAGTCGCTTGATGTTAATGTTCATATACACTACGATTGCGACTCCCGGGTAGCTTTCTCGATCGGCATGTTCAGTGTAGGGATAGAACATATCAATTTCACAGGAGACCTATGTCTCTCGCTTGAGCCGTTGATCGACGAGATCCCGCTCATTGGGGGTGTGCAGGTAGGTCGACTGCGAAGTAACAGATGAAATGCTTCCTATCAGGTTACACTGTCTTCGCTTCCTTCAATCACTTGGGCGTTTTCGGGTCTAGCAAACCTTGCTGATATGCCCGGTATTAGTTCTTTGTTCCAGACTACAGTAGAAAAGACCATTCGAGAAACGCTCCTCCTGCCCAACTGTGTATATGTACCGCTGCAGAGAGAGAAAGTTCACCCGAATCTTGAATTGGCTTACCCGAAACCCAGCGCAGTCCTACAGATATCAGTTCATCGTCTCCGCGGTTTGCCTCGAGGAAAGAGCTCTCATATCGAACTATCATTGGGGTCGAAGCTCATTGCCACTCCTAAAGGGGAGTTCAACGTTGCTGGCTATCACGAGTGGCAGCCACCATTTACTAGCGACTTCTTCGTCTACACTCGCAACCAGCCCATAGTCGTGCGGCTATGCTCCCTCGGTGGAGATCACCTAAGCTCTGCTACGATTAAGGTACGAGACTTGATCGATGAAGGTGTTGGTGCTGAGGGTTGCTGGGTTGCTATCGCTGATGGAGTGGAGGTGAATATTCATGGACGACTCAGGCGCTTGGACCATGCTTGTAGACCTCTAAATGTATTCCGTCAGATTCTGGTCACTATTGACTTGTATTGTGCGGGGAGTCTGATCGAGGCTGGCTCTCGTGTACGGTTCTCTCTCCCAGGAGCAAGTCCTGCTATGATTATATCTAAGCCCGGTATGAATCGGGAGGCGGACGTTGAGGGAGATCTCTCCCGTGAACCGAGGACGCAACGAATTATAGAAAAGCTGCGGAAAGCACATGGCATGACTGCAATTGAAGTGGCGACCATCGCTGAAGTCGATCCTTATGTGGTCGATAAAGTGTTGAGAGAGAAGCCATCCTTGAACGTGGTGTGGAATCAGGCTGTGTATACCCTGATGGACATATCTCGGGTCAACTTTGACGATATCAATTTGCGCGTTGAAGTGCTGAGGAAGAGCCGAAGTTTGCTAGGCGGCGAAATCCTCGATTTCCTGGGAGACATCGCCCTACGTGAAGTGGAGGACTGTGAACAAATGAGCTTTCGAGGCACCGTCCTCCTCCATGGCAAGGCTTCAGACAAATGTTGTGATATCGAACTGGGTGTTGAGATCCAGGGCGTAGAAACATGAGGTGTCCATATTGCTGTGTTCGCTACTGTTGTTGTGTTATTGAAGTGTGAGGGTCGAACACCGACGGATCGATCATGGATACTATCCATTGGATAGGGCCTTCCTTAATTTTCTCTGTAAATGGTACAAGAATTAAACTCAACGCCATCTTCTCCCTTAAGTGTTGCCTCGATATTAGGTGGGGAAGCTTTTCGTGTGAAATCGAGTGTCTGCATCTTCTAATTCACGAATGTCATCGATTCTACGAGCGAGCAGCACTCTGGTTCCTAAGTATTCTCTCAGGCGGTGGTCGAGCTATGAAGACTCCCATTATGTCTGGGGGGAAGGGTGGCAAAGCTTCTAAGGTGGGCACCGTTTTTGATTTGCGAAAACAATATCTGTTGTAGCAGATGGTTCACGGTAGCGGCAAAGGTGGTCATAGCATAAAGCGAGCGACCACAAGGTCAGCTCGTGCTGGATTGCAGTTTCCTGTTGGCCGACTGCATCGACAATTAAAAACCAGAGCGACCTCTCATGTGAGGGTTAGCGCCTCTGCAGCCGTCTACACTGCTGCTATTCTTGAATACCTCACAGCTGAAGTCCTCGAGTTGGCCGGTAATGCAGCGAAGGATCTCAAGGTGAGAGCCTAGCTGGGCACCTGAGGACAACGAAATACAACCTGGGTCATTTTAGGTGAAAAGGATCACGCCTCGCCACTTGCAGTTGGCGATTCGTGGCGACGACGAGTTGGACACGCTTATTAAGGCGACCATTTCTGGAGGTATCATTTGAACCATTGAGGGGCTCATCACTTCCTCCCAGGTGGTGTTATACCTCAAATTCATCCAAGTCTCGCTGTAAAACCATCATCTAAAGGATCAAAGAAGACTAAGACTCCCGCACCCCAACAACAAGAGCAGCAGCAGCGATTCTCGATGATATAGTTCCTCTGTCACTGAAGTTGCCGCTTTCCTGGTGCCACTGAGAGCGAATGATTGAAATAGAAACTCTCATCTCTTATTTCGCATCGAACGAAGTTCGCTGCAAGTCAGTTACTGATTCAGTGTGCTGTGCTGCGTTGGTGAGTGCTATCGAGGGTAAGATCTCGGATATCGGGCCATCAAGATTCAATGTTGGGTTACTAGGAATGATTCAGGCTCACCGTGAGGGGGTACTCACGTGAGTGCACGTGAGATAACGACGTGAGAAACACTCACGTCGTTTCTCAACGACTCCGTGATGGAGTCGTTGAGAAATCGGAGGGAATCAACGGTGTATGGGGTTGGCCAGCAGAGTGACTCTGCGAGAGTCGATGCCACCTTTGTACGGCGTACAACGTCATTCCCTTCCCCCTCTCGCCGAGAAGGGGTACTAGTTCTCGGGGGAGAACTCGGGGGCGAGTGATGAGAACTATCATAACACAATGATTGAAAGGTACACAAATGGTTCGTTCACAATCATGGTAAGTAACAAATTAAAGATTCATCATAGAAATCTTGAACCTCTTCTGGTTGTACCTGAGGAGGAATGTCAAGTAAAACAAAACCTTCGCCAAGGGCATTTAGAACTATTTCTTCCTCATCCTTGTCGACTCTCCAGATGAACATGCCCTCCTTGCCATCTTCGACTGCCAAGGTGAGATCGCTGACCTGAGGAGGAGGAACAATCATGTCAATTGATGCTTGTGGGATGTATGGCGGTTCCACTACATCCGAGTAAACCAACCATCTCCCATCGACCATACCTTCAGATCGGGTGGCTAGCCCGGACTTACCTGTACCACCTGTCCGCCGAGGCTCCTTGCCGCCATGTTTTTGACATAGCTGCTTGGGACCTGGGCGGGCAGCAGTGGTGCAGCCCTCCATCCTGCATCTCCTCCCTCCGCCGTGAGCCTTGCAGCGATTACTGCTGCCTACGGCACTCTTCGTACAGTTCGGGATCTCGCAGCGACGACCACCTCCATGGGTGATGCACTGCGAGCTCCCATCGCGAGCCTAAGACAGGAAAAGTCTACTCAGCATGAAGGACAAGAACATTAGTAACTCGATAACTTTGCTCACCTGCTTAAGGCACCCATCGTGGGCACATAGTTTCCTCTTGCTTGTCGCCTTGGGTCCGCGAGGAATCGGACCGAGGCCAATTTTGATGTGGTTTACCTGCATCAATAACAGATGTGTGAAACGAATCAAGAGATTCCTGAGTTTTGGAAGCATCTCGCTCGCCTGTTATTTAAAATTTGCGCCCAGTTCGGGCGAGCGGCATCTGCAAGGAGTTCTTCCATAAGTCTTGCACACTTGCAGTTCTCAATTACCGTTTCTCCTGGGATACTGCGAGTGTGCAAGCTCGTATCCTGCTTCTGCGGTTCGCTGATTAGCTGTGACTTCTCTTCGGGCTTATGCCTTCGCAGGCCTTATAATCCATTCCAAACTAAGGCTGCGCGACCATGATGGTAACCCGATGATCGGAAAATCGATCGCTGGATCGCGCACGTTGGTCGTCCGAAACCATTGAGATGGCTTCAGTCTATTATTAATACAATCATCCCTAATGTCAACTCGTAAGCAAACTGACGTCTCGTTGCCTGTGCCCGTGGTGACCCAATTAGGTGAGCAAGTCCTCTCACTATTCGCCCAAACAGGTCATCTTTTCAGCTGGTGGTAAGGGTATCAAAGGCGCTGGTTTGCAGGGCGGGAAAGGTGGCAAAGGTGGAAAGGGAGCTAAGGTCAGGCGATGCTTCAGCTTTACTGTTCATATCCGCTTCTTACAGGTTCATGGTGGTAAGGGAAAGATCGGTGGCAAAGGCTCGTCGATCACCAGATCGGCCAGGGCTGGCCTACAGTTCCCTGTGGGAAGGGTTAGACGTTATCTCAAGGATCGTGCTACCGCCAATTGCCGAGTTGGTTCGACCGCAGCCGTTTACACAGCGGCCATCTTGGAGTACCTCACTGCAGAGGTTCTCGAACTCGCTGGTAACGCCGCCAAGGACCAGAAGGTGGGGGGACTTGTAAATCACGTGTTGGTTTCGAGCCAGTGAGTATTTCAGGTTAAACGTATTACTCCACGACACCTACACCTTGCCATCAGAGGTGATGATGAACTTGACGTTCTCATCCGTGCAACAATTGCTGGAGGTAACTTTCGTGTCGCTGCCATGGTCTTCCTAGCACTTGGTGTTTGTGGTAGGTGGAGTCGTGCCGTACATCCACCAGAGCCTTACGGTGAAGACGCCTTATCATAAGAAGAAGAGAGTGATGTAAAAGTTGATAGGAGATCATGTTGCATGCCAATAGTATAATAAGTCGGGCCGATAGGATATCCTAAGTCCCGCTGTGCTCGCTATCCTTTCATTTGTCAATTGCTGTGATGAAGATTAGCAGTAGTGGAGAGCGTATAAAACTTCTGTTGAGCAGAGGATCGTCATATCGACGGCTTGAGTTCTAGTTGCTGGGGGAGATGCAATAGGATTACTACTGCTTTACCTCTCGAGAATCCCTATGAAAGTAGTTGAGCTAGTCCATTTGGTAGGCTCGACGGGTGATGCTTGATCTGATGCCTCTCGTGTGATAGGCTGGTAAAGTATGGTTGAGGAGTCAGTTCACATGGGGCGTCAGCTGGGCTTGAACAGCTGTTGGGCACGATACGGCAGCCAAGCCTATAAGCCATCGGTAGTGGAGACTCGAGTCGGTCCTCCAGTACATGGTGGTCATGGCGGTCGTCGAGTGCGGGATGGAGGGATTTGCCGAGGCACGTCTTCTTAGCTCGAGTGATCTTCTCGAGGGAAATTTGATGATAGTGTTGAGTGCCCAGTTATGCAGAATGGAAGGCGTTGAATATGAAGGGCTACTCTCTGGCATTAACACTCCTCGGCATTCTGTCATCATTGCTGAGTAGCTCTTGGGGGAGTACTTGGTCTAGTTAGTCCGCTTTGGAGTTCTTGGTAACCATGGCCCGAACGAAGCAAACTCGGCGTAAAAATAAGAAGCCTACGAAGCAGCTAGCCGAGCCCGCTGTCAAGGATGGGAGTCCACAGGAGGCGACGTCCGTTGAGGATACCCTGTCGAAGGCCTTTCCTTATCCTACCGACTCTCTTGACCATGCCGAGTCGCCAGCCAAAGCGTAAGTTAATGATTCGTCGCTCGAGTGGTACTGGCTCGCATTCAAGTTACGGCCATGTGGCACCGATACTCGAGTTGATGGCTAAGAAGCTGGGGAAGACTAAAGAGGACTTGAAGATTTACGACCCGTAAAGAAATCTCGAAGGTATAAGATGGTAATTGTCTTCACTCTGCAGTTACTACTGTAATGGAGCTGTTGTGGACAACTTGAAGGCGTTGGGATTCAATAATGTCTACAACAAATGCGAGGATTTCTACTCTGTTGAGACTCCTGACTTCGACGTACTCCTTACCAACCCGCCTTATAGTGGAGAACATGTGAGTCACAATCGGACTGCTGTTTTCGACACTGCATGGAAGGGAAGCTACTACCTCTAGCTTGACCTGTTACATCCGCTCTTAACTCCACAGTGAATCTTCTTTCGTGCCTCAGCCCGAGAAGTTGGCCGAGTTCACGGCTAAGGTGGGGAAGCCTTGGCTGTGGTTGGTTCCTAACTGGTTCTATATGAAAGACTACTACAAGAAGCTGATTGAGCAGCCCGGGCAGTCGGGCATGTTTTTCGTTGCTCCGAAAAAGCGATATGGTAAGCGTCGCATTATGATTTACTCGAATGTTTGTCTCGCGTCGACTATGCTGTTTTCATCGTTTGCCCGAGTCTCCGTATCGTTGCTGTATTCAGTTTATCAAACCCCGAAGCACTTGCGGGCGAGCTCCGACGAGGCCAAGACGAGCCCATTCCCTTCGTTCTGGTTTATAAATGGCTGCGACGTTTGCACACCGGTCGAAATGCAATCAGCTATGGCGGACGCTGAGGGAGTCCTCGCAGTGACGGACGTTCATGACTTGCCGTTAACATATTACGATCAATACGATCCTGAGTACAAGCGACAGAGGAATATAATGAAGTCCCAGAAGCGGAAGGCGAATCACTTAGAAAAGAGCAGCGACCAGGCATCTTGGGGGAGGAAAGCTAGTGTTCAGCAGGATAGCAAGATGTCTAATAAGAGACAAAAACGTATGTAGATGATGTTCCTTCACCGAATTGAGATTATTGTGTTGAGATCTGAGTATTAGCGTTGGACTGGTGGGGGCTCTTGTGAAGGCCATCATCGGCGTGTTGTGCGGGGAATGGCACCGTAAAGTCCTTACAACGATCATATGAGCTGAGCTCACATCGTTGTTCGTAATAGCGGGCAAGGAGCCCCAAAAAGGTAAACCCCGAAAGCCACTACTCTCAAATTTTGACCGCTCCCGTTGCTGCACTATCGTGAATAACTCCATTACAGCTTTGGAATAATCGAACATCAAAAGTTTCGAGTAAGCTATCCGGCTCAGTTTGAGGTGGTTCCAAAACACATTCGAAAGCCCCTGAACTTCCTACGGATCCTGCCGAAAGCAAAGGGAGTGTCTTGGCAGTGGTCATCTCGCCCTGTGAACAACATCCCTTGGCGTGATGAACGAATCAATTTGAAAGGCTGAAACTGACCCTTCGCGAGCTAATGTGCCTCGATGCGAGTCTAATCAAGCCATGTCGACGTTGGACTTCAAACTCACACACAAACTCGAAAGCCTCCGAACTTACCACGGGGGAATTCATCTGTAAGCATGTGGGTAGGTGGTTGAGGGACTAGAGCCTCAATAGAGCTGAAATGAGCCGTGATGTTTCAACCACAATTGCATGTGTGGCTTCTGAACTGCTGCTGCTCATTGATCGTTCCGCGAGAAGAGCTAGGATCACGAAGACTCAGATTCTGATGTAAAATATGAGTGTTTGCCCGAGTGGTTAAGGGGGTGGACTTAAGATCCACTGGACATGGTCCGCGTGGGTTCGAACCCCACAGCACTCAATACGCTTGTTGGTTAGCATATTGCAACGATGGGAGTTGACCTGATAAAAGTCCGTCGCAGAGTACTGTGCGAGCCGTGAGGGTACACAAGTTATGGTTGTCTCTGTTCCGTATACAAAATTCATGGATCGTACAAAATTCATTGAGATGCTCCTCAGCGCTGTGCTTGATTCGTTAGTGGGTGAACACATTATCTGCATTTCGCGCATCATGATGAAGTTGGATGGGCATATCCGTGTCGGATGATGATATGGGACTCCTAGGAGTTCCCACTGTGGGATGCCAGAGGCCTCAGGGGCATTTTCTATTGAAGACCTCGGTCTTGTGCGTTCTTGTTAGAGAGGGGACTTGACGGGGGACGTTATGCGCTCCCAGGTCTTCGATTCAGAATTTCAGCATGGAGTTTAGCGGACCCGGACCAATCTGTTTCGTCATCATCCCAGATCTCATTCGCGTCGATGCGTTGCATCGAAGAACGGCATTCGGTAGTAGCCCAGCGGTACTCTCTCAACACCACACGACTCTCTCATGGAAGTAAGACTCAACATCGACTGCACGGTCATGGACAACTGAATGGATTATTCTGCTTCTTCCGTTGCTGACGGATAAGCCTCGGACTTGACCAGTACGTGACCTTCACCTACCCTCCGCTGCACCACCGTCCTCCTCGTTGGTTGCCTCTTCCACAGCCTCTGGTGTACTCGGATCCTATGAGGAAATGGCGATCGAATCATAACGGTGACAACTATGAGGTGGCTTCTCGATACTCACCTCATGTGCCTCCCACGACTTCATCATCTCCCTCTCGTTGTTGATCCGCTCAGCCTCCATCTTCTCAATTTCCAATATTATTCTACTCTCCTTCTCGGCGGCAACAACGACAGCCTCGACCATTTTCTTCCTCGTTAAATATCTGAACCGTAAGCAATCTTTCACCAAAAAGCAAGTGGACGATGCCGTCCGAGTCTTACTCATTTCGAGACTCATTGAACCGTCTGGTGCGGTCAGTGCACGCCGCCTCTATTAGCTCAGCAGCCACATGTGTACAGGCATGTCGAAGGGAAGTCATCTCAATGGCCCCACTCGTTACATTCGGGAGAATCTTCGTTTGTACGTCGATCTGACCCCCTCAACCGTAGCAGAAAACCCGCTATAATGCTCCGCCTCCTACCAGCTGAGGATCATCAAATCTGCCCAGTCTTCCGAGCCTTCTCAGCACATCAGCCTCCAACTGCGCTACGAAGTGCTTCGCCAACTGCCTCGATAAGAGCTTTCGCCGGAGGACCTGATAACTCATCAGCTCATCCCAGCAGAGCCGCCTCCTCTCCCTACCCCTTCTGTAGTGATCCTCATATGCTCCTGAGTCCTCCTTCGCTCTCTCTCATACGATCGTCGTTTCTCCACACCCTCCATTCGCTGGGCCTCAAGGAGCTCAGCGTGGCGTAAGGCTTGGAACCTCGACAGCAAGCCTTCCCATGCTGCGCCTCTATCGTATCCTACCCAGCCTGTCGCTTCTGTATAGCCTCCACTTCCTCTTCCTCTAACACCTCCATAAGAGCCCTCTCGATGGTCCTCCCCACAATGACCTCCAATACCGGTACCACCTAACAACGACCCTACCCACCATAGACCATCTTCCACTGCCACCACCTCCTTATCGAAATCAAAGAAGTCCCCATCCAGGATCTGCGTTGCGACATCACTACCGCTATAGGCTGGCATGAATACGGGGCTCGGTGGCCGCTCATGGGGGAATGAAGTTTCAGTATCAGCATCGTATCTGCCAAGGGATACCGAAAGATAGCTAAGCATCATCCAATCACTCTGTAACGATCTCAGTGAGCTTCTCATAGCACTGCTGTGATGACTGGACATCTGCATGACGATGAGCGGGCAGCGGGCTCTATCGAGGACGATCGTAACGAAGGTCGGCATGGCCCTCCCACCTCCCTCGAGACCCCTCCCACACGGTCTGCACGCTGCAGCTTCCTCCTCTGCATTTCTCGTGCCAAGTCCGACGATCGAGCTGATGACGTACTCACCCTGCATGCCCTTCCCCTGCCTTACCCCAATTGCTTTTCTCCTGCACAGGCACCCTCACCCTACCACACGTGCTTCCCCTGCATATACGACTATCGCCCATAAGCCCAACAAGAGGCTGCTTTCGGGTATTCTCATTATCCAACCTAGAGAGCCCATCCCATCCCATCACAACAACAACATCCCCCCTACTTCCTCTTAATGCGCTCGATCTTCTCCTCAGCTGTTGTTGTTCTTTTTATTACAGCCCCTTGCATAAGACAACCCTGAACAGGTAACGACGAGGCTCTATTCACAACACCACAGTGCCGCCATAGAGAAACACAGAACCGTGAATGATAGATACAAGTTGGGTCTTTACTCTGCCTCCAGGACCTTGTATAGAACCTGACGAGCCATCAACCTGACAACCTCGGCAATAGGCTTATGTGGCTTACGCTCTTGCTAGTCGGGATCGGGTGACCGGGCTCGAGGTTCTCGAAAGTCTCCGAGAGGTCCTTCAGAGGACGAGGTGCCGTAGCGAGCTTCTCGAAGATCTTATCAGCGCCCATCGGGATGAAGGGAGCCCACAAGTGAGCCAAAACATACACAGACTCCATGAGCAAACGGATGATGGCCTGCAACAGCACAAACGACCCAGGTTCGATTCCTGGTGAGCGCATGTATATACTACCATTCTCTTCTCTTTATCATCCTTGATCTTCCAAGGCTCCACTCGAGTAATCCACTCGTTGGTAGCACCAGTAACTTGACGAATGATAGCACAGCCCTCGCTGATAGCATCCTGTTGCCGCATGGTAGCTGAGAAAACACCACGGGGGCCATTTGAACCGCACCTCTCCATGACGGATCACCATCGAGATCATCAATTGTCTTCCGGAGATCAAAAGGCTTCTCCAAATCCTTTACAGAAAACTCAGGAACGCATCCCCCTGACAAGGCTATAGCACGGTTCACCAAGTTGCCAAGACCCTGAACGTATAAGGCTCAAAGGGGGGGCTGATGCTGGTGGTAGATAGCATTACATTGCATAGATCAGCATTGTGTGTGTTGATCATAGCAGCTGTCGAGAACTTGAGGTCGCCACCATAAGGAGCATCAGAGAGCATATACCACCTAGTAAAACACGGTGGCTTTCGACGATACAGAGTACCATAATCTCCTTTATTAGTTTCTATACTATATTATTAATAACCTTTCCCAATGTAAGGAAGGAAATGAGAACAAGGCATATAGATATACACTATCCCCTATCATGATAAGTCAATACTTATAAATCTAGTGATACGTGCAATCGATCGCCCCCCTATCACCACTATTACCTCACTGTATCAACAGGGAACTTATCCAGGACATCATGAGGGTCCACAACATTGCCGATGGACTTGGACATCTTCTTGCCCTCCGCATCCTAACCAACAATGAGCCAATGACCTGAGGGGCCGAGTGAGCTTACCTGTATGAAGCCGTGCACTGCCACCGACTCAGGTAGGGGTATGTCCGCGCTCATCAGCATGCAAGGCCAGATCACACAGTGGAACCAAATAATATCCTTCCCTATAATGTGGGCCTAATAGCAAAGCCAGTGATTGCCAGTCGCAAGAAAGAGCAACTCTTCTGCTTTACATTAGCAGGCCAGTAGTGAGGCTTATCCGAATCGAGACCGTTGACCGCCGAGAGGTAGTTAGTGAGGGCATCGAACCACACATACATCACGTGGTCGTCGCTGCCAGGGATCTGCTCATCACCGTCTCAGGATATGGTACACTAGGCTCAAGGCTTACCGGAATACCCCAACTAAAGGTCCTACGAGAGCAGGAGAGATCACGCAAAGGCTCCTCCAGTCGAGCAAGGATCTGCTGCCTGTATTGCTCAGGCCTGACGGGCAACGGTAATCACCAAGAGTTGGCAGAATTACGGTATGTCACTACTTAATGAAGTCAGGATGGCTCTTGATATGGTCAACGAGCCTCTGCTGATACCTCCCCATACGAAAGAAGTAGCTTTCCTCACTCATCTCAGTGAGTGGCTTACCAGTCGAAGGATCCCTTCAAACGACAACACCGTGAGCCTTTACAGTGTACTACCCCAACCATCGTACTTATAGTCCCACTCCTTAGCCTCTGCATCAGTAACATACCGCTCCTCTCGCACTAAGTAGTAGCCAGTGTAGTTATCGAGGTAGATATCCCCTGATATAGCAAGTATAAGGAAGCTAATAAAGCCACCTTGAGGCATACCCTTAGAGCTCACTATCTCCCATAGCTTCTGGCAAGTCTTCATATGATGCTCATCAGTAGTACGGATATAAATATCGTTAGAAATACGTAACCTCTGATTGAGTGCTTGGAAGGCACTGGCGTATCTACGAGGTCAGTGAGCAGCGTGCACACAGCAATAGGCCCATCTTCTTACATGTCACAGATCTCCTGAGGGGTCTTGCCCTTAGACTCAGCCTTCTGAGCAATCTTCTGACCGTGCTCATCAGTACCCGTACAGAACTCCACATCACGACCATACACCCCTGAAGAACCAAGAGGTTTCACTCGATGAGCCGAAACCCCGCCGGCACTACTGTTCCATCTCGCTAGGGCGTCTGCTGCTACAGCCTCGTAAGCATGCCCAATATGGGCCCAGCCATTGGTATAGTTGATAGCAGTAGTGATGTAGTACTTCTCAGCATCACCTGTTCTCCAGTAGCATACACCCCACAGACACTATGAGTACTATTACCAGGTTTAACCAAGTTATGGGCTACAGCACCCAAAGCTGGTGGAGTAGTCTTAGCCACACGACGCTCCTCTACATCAGGCATAGGCTCGGGTAGGATATCGATAACGACCTACGCCTCTTCAATCAACCCCTTCAAGGCTCCACTTATTACCTCCTTCCTATGCTGCTTAGCGTTGGCATTCTGCTTTGCCGCAGCAGCAGCAGCTCTAGCGGCCTTGGCCTCGGCTGCCTTAGCCGCTCTGGCCGCCTTCTCAGCGGCCTTGGCCTTCTTCCTAGCGGCCTTCTCAGCGGCCTTGTCTGCTGATGCTGCATCGACGCCATTGCTGGTGACCTTCAAATGGCTGATGTGGGTGTACCATCGAGCCACGTTGGGGTAGGCGGCTGCGTCGGGGGCCGAACCTGCGATTTGGCGGTTTTTCTATCAGATTATCGTCAAATCCTTACCCCCGATGTTGGCCAAGATTTTGAAATCAAGTTGTGAAGGAGTAAACCCAGCCGCATAAGAGTGGGTGAGTAGGAAGGCATCGAGCTGCTGTAAGGTAGCGGACGACAATGGCGACATTATGCTGGAGGATAGTAGTCGAGTAGAGGCACCAGAGGTGAGGGGCGTCAACAACCCGCGAAAAACAATTGTCAGCTGAAAATGACCCTGCAATAAGTACCCCGCCATGGCCTTCCACTCGAGTCAAGGCGAAATTTCTAGTTAGCGCACGCCATAGTGATCGATTTTAAGCGCATGTCTCCGGAGTGGTATCATGGTATTGCTGTTGCAGTATGTTAGCCGTCACATTACGCCAGACTAGGGCCGTATCAACTCTAGGCATCTACGTACGTGGGTCTATGAGGGCTGCTGGTGGCGATATCTTCACTACCATCAACCCTGCTACAGGAGAGACTCTCGCCAGTGTAACACTTACGAGGCTCCATGGTCTTGGTAGGTAGTCTTATGTCAGTTAAAGGCGGCTAACTCTAAAGACGTGGAGGAGGCAGTGCTTAGTGCTGTCGAGGGCCAGAAGGAGTGGTCTGCCATGACTGGCGCTGTCAGAGGTCGAGTACTCCATAAGGCTCAAAGGGTAGTAGGGCTAAGACCTCTACTCAGTATCACATCTTTCTAGTTACTACGGGAAAATGCCCAGGAGTTAGCCGTCCTCGAATCGGCTGATACTGGGAAACCATTGTCAGAAGCCGTGGGTGTAGATGTGATCACTGCGGCCGACACTATAGAGCTTTATGCCAATCTGGCGAGCACAGCGTGTGTTCAAGGTCAGTACCTTCCGGTAGGTGCTGGTGGTGGTGGACTGTGGTAGCGGTTGTTGGTCGCTACAATGGTAGTAGGTCATGGGATCGGGTTCATTTGGGTACACTATCAGAGAGCCCCTGGGGGTATGTGCTGGGATAGGGGCATGGAACTATCCCCTCCAGATCGCAGCTTGGAAGAGCGCCCCTGCATTAGCTTGTGGGAATAGCATGGTCATTGTCATTACCCCCGCAATAGTGATAGTATCACACGTTAGATATTCAAGCCTGCCTCTTTAACGCCACTGAGTGCATTCAAACTCGCCGAAATCTACAGCGAGGCCGGTCTGCCGCCAGGGGTCTTCAACGTTCTCACTGGACGGTATGCGGGTGAACGCCTCGTGGAGCACCCCAAGGTGGACAAGGTCAGTGTGACCGGTGAAGTTGGTAGGATGAGTTACCAATGGTGTGGTATGGTAGAGTGTGGGAAAGGTACTGGAAAGAGCATATTAGAAGCTAGTGCTCGCACGTTGAAGAAGGTGACCATGGAGCTCGGTGGCAAGTCCCCTTTGATTGTATTTGATGATGCTGACATTGACAATGCAGTGGCGGGTGTGTTGGCGGCTAACTTCTTCAGTCAGGGGGAGGTGTGCTCTAATGGTAGGCTCCATCACAGCTCTGATATAAGCTGTCGTTCGTTATAGTAAAATTCCTTGAGCTTCGATAGCGGCTCACCTCGAGTCGATATCTTGGCTTTAATTCTTTTTAGATTGCTAGTATGTCCGTGTCCCTTATACAGGCACTAGGGTATTCGTACATAAATCCATCCACGATGCGTTCTTGAAAAGAGTCGTGGACCGCACTAGAAGGATTAGGGTTGGCGATCCCATGGACCCCGACACCCACATGGGGGCTCTCATCAGCGAGGCCCATCTTGAGAAGGTGGTGGAGTATGTCCGAATAGGGCAGGAGGAAGGTGGTTGCCTCTCTCGAGGATTTTTGAGGTGGTAAGAAAAGTTTTTTCCCTGCAGGAGCTAAACTGGAATGCGGTGGTGAACGCCTCACGAAGGGGTCTCTTTGTAGAGGCTATTTCATGTCCCCGGCAGTCTTCTCCAACGTGAAGGATGATATGCAGATTGCTCAGGAGGAGATCTTTGGGCCTGTCATGGCAGTAGGCCCATTGGAGCAGTCGTGTCCGGCTATTGGTGTGGTGATAAGTATATAAGTCTGAGTGAAACATAGAAAGGTGACTCTAGAATACCCGGGAATTCCCGACTGTGAACAATAGCACTCTCCGTTGATGGGCTCCTAGCTACTATGAGAATTTTGCGACAGTCTCATAGTCTTATGCTATGTAGTAGATAGTCTGTTTATGTACTGTTCGTATATGGGGAGGGTATTGCCATGATGGGTGGGCTCTGTAGGGAGTTGACGTAGAGAGTGCACTCATTTAGGTATTCACCTTCAATGACGAGGATGAGGTTATCCAACGAGCTAATGCCAGTGAGATGGGCCTGGCAGCAGGAGTCTTCACCAAGGATCTGCAGAGGGCACATCGGTTGGTGCAGCGCTTACAGGCTGGTAGGGACCCACGCCATGTCCGTTGGCTCCATCATCAGTGTCGCTTTCAGGTACTTGTTGGATCAACAACTACAACGTAACTCCTTCGGAACTGCCCTTTGGGGGCCACAAGCAGTCTGGCATTGGCCTTGAGAACTCGGTCTATGCCATTGATCACTATACTCAAATAAAGACTGTCTTCGTAGAGATGAAGCCTGATATTACTGGGGACGTCCCCTTCTGATTCTAACCATTGACTTCACAACTCACATGAATTGGTTTCTTATGCATCCTTATGTTGCGTCCCTTGAGTGCCCTCCAGGAACTGCAATGAAGGAGTGTTGGCTCTGTATGGCATATCGTCGAACCCTTTTTTGATAGACTCAGGACTAGCCGTGCCGTCATATGCTAGAATGTGTTGTCGCATGCTAACCTCAACGCTTCCATCGACGAACTCACTCAGAAGAATGATGCTGAGCCAGGAAGGCCCCCATGAGGATGTCAGATTGTGAAGAGTTTGCAGAGTACGATCCTTCCAAGTTCCCAGGTGTTGGTATCCGTTACTAGCGACCACAGTGTAGGTGGAAGGCTGCCTTGCTGATGTGATAGAGAGTAGGTCTCCTCAGGCACCATAGCCGTATTCCGCAGTGGGAAGATACGGGCGACCGGAGCGGCCAGCCCTGAGGATGCCTGCTTGGCAATGCATCGTACTGCTGCTTCCCGACTGAAGGCCTGCATGGAGTGAGTGCAGCTGTTGACTTTGAGGGGATTTTTTATCCTCAGGTGTGAATGGGTGAGGTTATCCGATTTCACTTGTGAGTCTATTGAGCCTCTTTAGAGCCCCAGCATTCGCCGATGTGATTGATCATGAGCCCAGTCGTTTTCTGGTAGTGAGTGCTCGACCGTGGCCTGGTACTGCGCACTCCCTTCTCTAGGTTGTCCTTCGTGACCCCACCCGCCATGTGATGGCGGGCGCGTTCTCAACAGGACGAGTAGGCCTTAATGAGATGCTCCCATATATCCTCCATCATCGTTATGAATTTTTAACGTAATGTACCATCTACGAGTCAACAGTTCCTAGTCGCGTTGAGTACCCCAACATAGTAACTAGTGAGTTCTACTCTCAAGTAGTGGCCTCCGGAAAATGGCCGCTGCCGGAGCTCTCCTTCGTTCAACAATGAAGAGGCTATTGCGGCCCTTCTATTTAACTGTCCATCCCGATATAACGTCGACTAATATGCCTTGTAAGTCTCAACGGACTCAACTGTTGGCAACCCCATGGAGTTTGTTCTTCCAGCTGAGGCGGCCGCAGTGAACGCTAGGGCCTTGCAAGAGGTGAATGCATACGTGGAAGCATTGACCTCAGTGAGTTGCTCCCGCCTCTGTGACTGAATCACCGGTGATCTCAGAGTCAATCTCATCCTGTGGTGGCTCGGACTGTGACCTTCTTCAAACCTCGAGGGAAGGAGGTGGCCAAGGGCGGTCGCCTACGGCCGGTCATGCAGTGCAGCTTTGAACTCGGCTCTGTAACTGTTGTTGGAGTCTCCATGCATTGAAGTGGTTATGAATAGATACCTCCGGGTGCCGACCACCCTACTCGAGAGGCCTTGGCGGCACACCTAGTCCGAGATATAGAGACGGCCTTGCTGGCTGAGAGCCCTTCAATGTTCAGTTCAAAGCCTCTTAAGGGGACGCAATTTGAGTCCCTTATGAAATCCGGAAGTGATGATTATGTTGTTGTTGATGCTTCTGTGGATCAAGAAGGGGAGCGTTTCAGGCGTCCCATCGTCTAAGAAGGATGACCCATGGAGGAAGCTCTGGGATGATGACACTCAGGAAAGGATGTTCAAAATGTCGCTCTATGACGCGGAAACCGAGGAGGAGCGACGGAGTCGGGTTTATAGGGAAGAGCTCTTCAATCGCTACCTGTATCCATGGGGCCGCCGCAGCGCCTGAGGGAAGACCGTCGGCTCAGGTATAGGGTAGCGAGGAAGGCTGTGAAGACGAAGAGCGAGAAAAGGAAAATGGCGCGCTTGATGGACGCTGAACGGGTCGCCATGCAAATGGTTGATGAGAAGCTACGGAAACAGGCACCGCGGGAAGTCGACCCCCTAGCCGCTGGTGATGATGATGACCAAGAGACTCCAACTGAGTTCGTAAGGCTGCGATGGGCGGCTGCTGTTGTTTGTAGGGTCACTCAATAGGTTCAACGTAAAGCTCGCGTGATAGAGGGTGGCTTTCATCCCGATCTGGTCTTCTATTCTCCTCAGCTTACCGATCCAACCAAGCGGCAAGAAGGAATCTCAAGGATATGCGGTAGGCTCCTACGCAGACCCCCTATGTTGAGAATCAAAGCTCACAGGATTGGAGTTGGACAATGATGGAGATATGTGGCTGCTTGAGAATGTATGGCGAGTCGTCCGAGCACCACCGACGCCTCTGCCTCTTGTCATCGGTACGAATTTCGAAGCGTTGCACGATAAAGGATACTTCGAGGTAGGGGGGCTTTCCTCATGATGAACTCCTACATATTGTTAGTTGTTTTCTTCTAAGCCCCGTTTTCTCGCTGAGCTGTCTACATCTTCACCGCCGTATGCGCGTGTTGTTCCAATGTGTTACTGAGGGATGCCTACTGTATTCAGATACCCTATAATTTCGAGTTGAAGGATTTGGTTGACTTTCTAGAGGAACATATGGATGCATTGAAGGAGTCTCGAGCGAAACTGATCGATGAACTCTACGTTGTTTAAATCACGAGTTGAGGAATTTTATGAGCATGTTTCTTGGCGAGATTGAGAATTGAGTTCTGTCGAATAGGAGTATTGACCATAATAAGCCCTAGATAGACGAGCTATTCTCTAACAAGGGACTTATCAAATGCTGCAACTCGGAACAGTAAGCACGTGAGACTTACTATGACACGATAAGGACACGATACCTTTTCGAACTTTCCACCACTAGTCTACCGACCTTTTGTTTAGATCTCTACACTAAACACACCAACTACCCCGAGAATCTCGGGCCGAGCTGTCCCTAATCAACTTCTCGCGGCTTTATTATTGTAACAACAACACAACAGAAATTCGTATAACGAAGCTGCTTGCAATAGGTTATCGACATGTCCGAATACTTCACTTATCATTAACGCTTCGTCATTTTAAAATATCATCACCAACTGAAACCATACCGAAACAAATGAAAAACTTAAATTAGAGTAGAGACATCTTTGGCTCGAGATTTTTGGCAAGGACGTCCATGAAGACTTCCGATGTGAGATACTGAGTTTCTTTCAACTCCGAGGGCTGACAGTTATATATGCACAAGGCCAGGTCCTTGGTCATGGCACCATTCTCAATGGACTCTACGCAGACTTCCTCAAGAGCATGAGCAAACTTCATCAGTTGATCGTTACCATCCAGCTTGGCTCGATGGGACAAGCCTCGAGTCCAGGCGAAGATTGAAGCAATGGGATTAGTAGACGTCTTGAGACCCTTCTGATGTTGACGATAGTGGCGAGTGACGGTACCATGAGCAGCCTCGGCCTCGATGGTCTTACCGTCGGGACAGACCAGAACTGACGTCATCATCCCCAATGAACCATATCCTTGAGCGACGATATCCGACTGGACATCACCATCGTAGTTCTTACAGGCCCAAACGAAACCACCAGACGACTTGATCGCCTGGGCCACCATATCGTCGATAAGCCTATGCTCATACCAAATGCCGAGCTCCTCGAACTTGACCTTATACTCCTTATCGTACATCTCCTGGAAGATGTCTTTGAACCGGCCGTCATACTTCTTGAGGATGGTATTCTTAGTAGAAAGGTAAAGTGGCATCTTCATGTCGAGGGCGTAGATGAAACAGGAACGAGCAAAACCATAGATTGACTTGTCAGTATTGTACATGCCTTGAATGACACCACCATCCTCATCGAAATGGAAAACGTCGACATTGAGTGGCTCACTGCCATCATCCGGTGTGAATGTCATAGTAAACTTACCAGCACATTTCACCACACGATCTTCAGCTTTGTATTGGTCCCCGTGACCATGACGACCAATGACAATAGGGTGAGTCCAACTAGGAACCAATCTGGGTACGTTCTTGCAGAGGATAGGTGCTCGGAAGATGGTGCCGTCGAGGATGTTCCTGATAGTACCATTGGGAGACCTCCACATCTTCTTCAAGTTGAACTCCTTCACACGGGCCTCATCTGGCGTGATAGTAGCACACTTAATACCAACATTATACTCTTTAATAGCATTAGCCGCATCAACAGTAACTTGATCATCAGTAGCATCACGATGCTCGATAGATAGATCATAGTATTTGATATCAATATCAAGATAAGGTAGGATGAGCTTCTCCTTGATCCAGGCCCAAATAATCCTCGTCATCTCGTCGCCATCGAGCTCAACCACAGGATTCTCGACGTGTATCTTGGAAAAAGTCATGAGGAACAACGAACCCTCAAATTATCGGGTTGGAAAACTACACAACGCCAACACTTGAAAAGCGACTTGACTAATTAACCTCCAGCGAAACACTCGATTGGACCAAGCGGCAGAGCTAGTCTACTACTAGCTGTTACCCCGACGCTCGTGTACGACAGTCCACATATCGACCTCGAGAAATATACAGAGACCATCGCACGTGAAATCCCTGGATAGACACCATTGGTAGTTGAGTAACTCCAACAACACGAGATAGACTGGACAAGACTTCACCCAAATCACCCATCAATGTATCGGCTAAACATGGAAAGGTCAAGCGGATGCAACAACATCGATCACTGTACCAACAGGTTATCACGAGAGATGTTATAATGAACAAGCTCTCGCTTCTTTCTATTGGATATTCATGTGCCGCGAGTTACCATACCCTCGATGCTCATAACTCTAGGCATCAAGCTCGACCATCGCGGATGATGGATTCAAAACAAAATCCAACGACAACTTTTAACAACTCGATTTGTTCCAACGCATCGTCAATCTGAAACAGGTCACGGATGCCCCTTGAAAAAACCGTCAAATGTAACAAAAAAATTGAACCAACAGACTTGACCGACATATGCTCTCGTCCACAGTAGATCATACTGCTATAATCACTGGAAGGTATCCATCTTCCGCTCGAGGTTCCTAGCTAAAATATCCATGAAATCTTCAGAAGTAAGGTACTGTTCCTCTCTGAGCTCGCTTGGGCTGCAACCGTAAACGCATAAGGCCAAGTCCTTCGTCATAGCACCACTCTCGACGGTCTCAACGCAGACGTGCTCGAGAGCTTGACTGAAGCGAGCCAACTGCTCGTTACCATCCAGCTTGGCACGATGGGACAAGCCTCGAGTCCAGGCGAAGATGGAAGCAATGGGGTTAGTAGACGTCTTGAGACCCTTCTGATGTTGACGATAGTGCCGAGTGACGGTACCATGAGCAGCCTCGGCCTCGATGGTCTTACCGTCGGGACAGACCAGAACTGACGTCATCATCCCCAATGAACCATATCCTTGAGCGACGATATCCGACTGGACATCACCATCGTAGTTCTTACAGGCCCAAACGAAACCACCAGACGACTTGATCGCCTGGGCCACCATATCGTCGATAAGCCTATGCTCATACCAAATGCCGACCTCCTCGAACTTGACCTTATACTCCTTATCGTACATCTCCTGGAAAATGTCTTTGAACCGGCCATCATACTTCTTGAGGATGGTATTCTTAGTAGAAAGGTAAAGTGGCATCTTCATGTCGAGGGCGTAGATGAAACAGGAACGAGCAAAACCATAGATTGACTTGTCAGTATTGTACATGCCCATAAGGACTCCTCCACCATCCTTGAACTCGAACACTTGTTGGGTCACAGGCTCACTCGCACCAGCCGGAGTATAAGTAACTGTGAACTTACCAGGACCGGCAACAGCATCAGTCGCCTTGTACTGATCACCATGACCATGACGACCGATGATTATCTGCTCGGTCCAACCAGGAACCAATCTGGGTACGTTCTTGCAGAGGATTGGTGCTCGGAAGATGGTGCCGTCGAGGATGTTCCTGATGGTACCATTGGGAGACCTCCACATCTTCTTCAAGTTGAACTCCTTCACACGGGCCTCATCTGGTGTGATAGTAGCACACTTGATACCAACATTATACTCTTTAATAGCATTAGCCGCATCAACAGTAACTTGATCATCAGTAGCATCACGATGCTCGATAGATAGATCATAGTATTTGATATCAATATCAAGATAAGGTAGGATGAGCTTCTCCTTGATCCAGGCCCAAATAATCCTCGTCATCTCGTCACCATCGAGCTCAACTACAGGATTCTCGACGTGTATCTTACTTCCGGTCATGTTGGAAAAATAACTATACATCGGAGTACTAATCCGTATCCATCTCGAATTTCATCCAAGCCCGTCGATACAGTCTAAACCCCTTTTGTGAACCCCCTCCATCACTTAACCACAAACAGCGTCGCCTAGCGCTGCATAGAGGGTAATGCAGTCGAGGAACACAAGTTGAACTGCTCGTCAACGCGTGTTCAATCGCGTGCGCCCGAGTAATCGATTTAGTCTTCATCTTCTCATATTAATCTCCTCGGAGGTGGGCAGCAACAAGACCTCTACACAGAGGGAAATGATGGCGACTGTTAAGTTGACCATGGCCAAGGACCGTTGTACAGCCGAAATATCAAGTTCGAGCGTATAAAGGGTTCATCCATGTGACCTAGTACAGTAGTAGCACACTTCGAATAACGAGAATGGTCCAATGACTTGAAATTACCACCTTCACTGAAATTTAGAATTTTCATCAGAAATATCGGCATGCTCATTAAGGGTCACTAACTGTAGTGAGATTAGTAAAAGTGTTGATGCCACCTCCCTCCTCGGGAGTAGCTTCGCATCATACGTCTGTTCAGCTCGGACAGCGGAGATAGTCCAAAGTCAGGGAGATTGACCTGATCAATGAGAACAGCCAACAGGTGGGGTATGGTCCATAGTTACTAGTGAGCACCTTGGAAGACGGTCAGATCGAATCATATCTTGACACATCGTCATGGCTCCTCAAAGGTCTCTCTTCCTAGGGTGGTAGGATGCGGAATGCGTGGGGTGGTCAACCCAATCGAGATACCTTCATAACGGAGCTCATGCCGTGTCAATAAAGGGGAGAGGAGGTTACAGCGTCTCCTCGGCTGGTCCATGGCAGTTCCCTGGAGATGAGATACCCTCGAGTACCTTTTGAAAACAGCAGCAACAGCAGCAGAAGTCTACATTTGATTCCGAGCTGGACAAACACCTTGATGGGATCAGCAACGTCTTGGGGGGAATCCACGCAGGGCACTGATGGGCCATACAGGAATGACTGATAACGCCTTGTACCATTAGGACTGTCGGGATGAACAGGGATATTAATCGTCAGAACCAGACCCTGGACGAGGTTCATACCAGCACCGACAGCCTGTCGGCCCAGCGTATCCACGACCAGCAAGCTCAGATGCGTGGCCTTCTCCGATAACCTGTGTGCAATCAATGCCTCAGAGTTTCTCGCATTAGCTGCTGGTCTCGAGCTCTCTGCTGTTCCCTAGTCGTGGCAGCTCAGTTACTATCTGATGGCACCTCCCAAGCCGTGGCAGGCGTCGTCGTCATCATCCACCGGCGGCGGCTCGACGGTGGCAACAGTCACCCAAGTTACGTCTGATGCTGACCAGCAGGCCCTTCCTGATACCACGTCTGGTATAACACCAGGTAGGAACCATAACCAGACTGGACCCAACTAGAGATGCCTTATCTCAGCTGCATCACCTAGTACGACGATGTACCCTACTAGTGGGTACGGCTTATACGGTGGAGGGACCACGGGCTTGTAAGCCACTTTAGGGTCACAGACGCGTACTGACTATGGCAGGTATGGTGGAGGTAGTGCTGGGGGCCTCTATGGAGGAGGAGGAGGGTCCATGTATGGCGGCTACGGAGGTGAGCATGCCCGAGATCGCCGCCCTGGGTATTGTCTATACCAGGTGGCCTTTACAGTGGGGTGTCCTATGGCTACCCTGGAGGGCTTATGGGGGCACCAGGGCAGCAGCAAGAGCTGTGGTTCACCAACACGGCTGAGTCCTTGGGTCGATTTAATCAGATGTTGGAGATGCATACCATGTTCCTGGACCAGATCTATCACCATTGTGGCATGGTCTATGCCCGTACCACTGACCTAGTGTCCTGGTTGAGGGGGGTAGTTAGTCTGAAACAGCAAAAACCTCAGACGATCTTGCTGCTTCTGTAGGTCCTTACTTACGTCAAGTCAGGCAAGCTCGAGGAGAATAATATAGAATCGATATTGGATAGGCTCGGGCAGTCCCACCGGACCCCCCAAGATGAACTCACCGTACTGAACATACTCCTTCCATCGTCGTCTGCGTATCCCCTTCGCAGGCCATCCGACGCCGCGTGCGTGTGTTGTCGGCCTTTGCAGTACTGTTGGTTCTTTGGCTGTTATGGAGGCGTCAGTCCCGGCCTGGTAACTCGGGTTACCACGCCTCTCCCAGCCAGCATCCCTACCTAGGTACAAGAGGTGACCTACAGACCACCTGGGAGGCTCTCCAACGGAGGTACTGACTGATGCCTACTCTAACTAGTATTGTCTTATATGCCCCCTTCCTACCCTGTATGATCGTACTATTCTCAACTGTTCTCTCATTATAGCATCGCCTTATCGAGTTGAGTAGTACCAGAGCACCAGAATTCACCATTGTGTCGGCTAGTAATGAGGAGGCAGTGCAGAGGGAGCTCACTGATAGTAGCTATCACCACTCTATCGTCACTATATGTTATATATCCCTCGAAGTAACTGATGGTCGCGGAAGCAGCGACAGGCCACATCATCGGGCAAAGGCTTGTTTGAGAAGTACTGAAGGGAGTGGTGGTCGGTTGGGGTACATACGATTGGATCGAAGGTGGTATCCACTTTGTGGCATCGGCGGCGGCTAGGTGGTATGCAGGTGGAGTCCTAGATGTGGAGGGTGAACTACTATCAGACCAGGAGCTATCACCCCGTACTAGTCTGCGAGGGAATAGGAGAATAGAGAACCCAGCAGCTCTCATCGTGTTGGGCAGCAGGAGGCACTCTACGGAGCTCCACCATGCCGAATGCTGTTGTGTACGATAAGGAATTGAGTCGGCTGAGGGGGTGGATGTTGGGAGTAGATGAATTGTTTTGATTATGCCCATTAAGTCCAGTGGGAAAGACGTCGTGTCACCACCACCATCCAAAGGGAGCAGCGGTCCGGTGTCACCATCAGGACCATCCCTGCCGATGGGCGGTCATGGCGACCAATCTCTGGTCATCCACGTGGCCACGTTGGAGCTGCTATGTCAGAGCCTTCCGAGGCCTCGACTATTGCCTAGTTCGGAACCTGGGAGTAGGCTCATCCGGCTGATCACTGTACTGATGATGACTGCTACTCGACTCAGGTCTAGTTGACAGCGTAACCTCTGCTGCTGCACAGTACTACATTGGTGACGATAGCATATACCTAGCGTTCCAACCCTATACTGGCTCGGATGAGGCAATACCTGGTCAAGGGGTGGAGACCAATACCAAGACTCTACCAAAGAACGTAAGGCTGAGACCAGGAGGAGGAGGGCTGAGTCGACTCCCCTGTTCAGATCAAGACAGTGGACTTCAACGACGACGTGTCGCTATCATTGCCAGCAAGCCTTGGAGATGTCCGTCAGTGAGCTCATCTTAGGTCCATGCTATTGGCATTCCCTTGATGCCAGGGTCAGACTATGTCTCTATCGTCGTGGGATTATGGACAACGAGGTCCTAGCGGATGCGCTGGTAGCTGTCCCGACCACTACGGAGGTGGCCGAGTCCAGTGTGAGTTCATCCAGCTGCGTCCCAGTGGAGCACGACGTTCCCTGTAGATCATCCTGATATCGAAAAGTGAGGGCACTCCCATGTTCCGACTACTGCTGTCCATCCAGCTGGTAACTCTACTGCTATCGTCATTTTGAATTTCCGTTACAGGTCGTCACTGAACGGCTCGTCATGGTGCACTTCGCCGAGGAGTTGAAGAAGCTCGTTGCCGCCCAAGCTGTGATGGCCATAGGGAAGCCTCCTGACGAGACCACTGCGGCTGAACGGACTCGAGAGACCGTGGCGTCTATACAGAGGTAGACTCTCATCCAGGTGGGGGTTGGTGACTTCCTATTGCCGATCAGATATGTATATGCATGCAGTGGCATACGGCATGTATGGCAATTCGTCCATGGTGTCCTCACCTGGCGGTTGGGGTATTCAGCGACTTGGTTATTCCTCATAGCCATTGTCTACAGCGACTTCCTATGGTCACAGCTTCCTTCCTATCTCATTCGAACCCTCCCACTCCCTCAGGCTGGTATTCCTGCTTCTGTGTTGCCATGTATATCTAACGGCCACGAGTACTTCAGAGTTCACCTCCCCCAATGAGGTCGATGCTAACCTCGCTTTCATCAAGGAGCAAGCCGACACCTTAGCGTAGGCTGCCACCGCTCATCCCTCTGTCCTCCCTAGCTCTGTATTGGCAGGCATGCTTCCGAGGCTTTGGCGACTCGAGTGTCCTATCGAGCTGCCTTGCTCGTATGTGCATGCGTGCTGTTCTTATCACCGAGACCTCATGTTACTATATGCGTCGTTATTATCCTCTCCCACACCTACTGGGCACAGGCTCTCTATGAGACTTTCAAATGCAGGAGGGCAACTAAACGCCGCAAGAGCTCCACCATGTGAGTCCTGTCGTCATCCTTTCTGGCAGTAGTGATGGTACCATCGACGAGGTCTCAACCAGGGGTCGATTATGCATTCCTCTAGGGGAGTGGCTCTCAGCGGTTGCAAGCCCTTGTTCATAGCAGGGCTTTGACGACTGACATGGATGTTGTTCAGGTTTGCATCCTCCCTCCAGGAGTCATCCAAAGGGCACAACTCGATCACAGTCGAGGTATACGAGAACCAGCGATGGTGGGTTGGCAAGTGGAGTGACAATCTCCTAGCGGTTGAGCGTTATGCATGGAGCGACGAGACGGGTATGTCCGGAGAGGCCCTCCCGTTCCTGGGGCCCGAACCTTGGGCAGGTACGTCCCGCCGGACTAAGGAGGACGTCCATCTGCCGCCGCCCGTGAGCGATGGTGTATGGCAATGGTCATCACTATGGCGTGTTGATGCCCGACCAGAGACCCATGAGACTGATCCTGATGGTTGGATCTACGCGCGGGACTTTGCTTCTGGTGGGCGGCTGCAACATGAACACGATAGGCATAATTTCTGCCATGCCCTTCAGGACAGTGGACGGCGAGCCGGGGGATGGGGGACTTCGTAAGGAGGAGACGTTGGTCGAGGACTGCCCGACTGGTCCCTGTGGCTACTTCCAGCAGTGTCTCTGGTCCGGTGAAGGGCGACAATCATAACCCACCCGATGGGAACGGGTTAAGGCAACGACCGCAGCAAATCGAAGAGATCGAGTAATGAAGATGACGACTGAGCCAGTCTAATATCTCTCAGCTGATTAGAATCTATGTCGTCTTTGTGTTGGGAGCTTCGAACCTCTCGGCTGTACTGTGCCTTCGACATTCCTCCGTTTTACGCTCATGGGACATAGTCGTAGCCGATCTAGGGAGAGGCACCACAGGCGCGATCGTCGTAGGAGCAGGTCTCGAGATGAGCGCCGCAGCCGCCGTAGAAGCAGGTCCCGAGATGAGCCCACACGGCATGGTAAACGCTATTCGCGTGGTTATAGTTGGGCATACGGTACGTCCCTTAGAATCCCGGAGAACGTCTGAGGATCATGCTGATGTTGATGAACTGCGTCGGAGAGTTAGGAAGCTCGAAGAGGTCAACAAGCAGCTCAGGCATGAGAATCTGGAGCTCATGCGACAGCTTGTTGCCATGAAGGAGAACTCTAAAGGTGAGGACGGCGGCCCTGTGAGTACTCACATACTCGGTCGATAGGTACTGGAGAGTCCGAACCCGAGAAGGATGCAGCGCAAGGGCCCCAAAAGGCAGAGGTGAGCTTCATGGTAGGCCTTGGTGCGGTGGTAGGGGATCCAATTCTAGGAGGAGATGAGGAAGGATGAGGAGGAGGCCGTGGCGATGACATTCAACTGCTGCCAACTTGTCAACTTCACAGACGAGATATTCAATCAGAAGATCCCCAACAATGTCCCGATCGAACATCGAGGTCAGTGGAGGAGGAAGGTGCTGATGGAATATATCACTTCGCAGGTCCGACGATAGAGAAGAAGCTTGCTGACTTTTGTCAATTCTTCGCTAAGGACGCCATGGTGGCTTTGACCTTGTGCTCGTATGTTGTATTATTATATGTTATTAGGTTGTTGATGCCAACACCAACAAGCCGATTCTCGAGGACTTGCGAGATATCAGAACTCGATACCAAACCGTTTTCAGGTAGGGTTGGAATGTGAGCAGCTGTAGCAGGTTGGGATGCCTGTATGCATGGTCTCAGAGAGTCTGGCAGTGACCTAGAGATACGAACGCTCCGACGATGGTACTTTGAGGCTGACAAGGAAGGTGGCATTCGAGGAACCGTCAACATATTAGGAATGTCTGTGCAGGTGCCCCCGAGTACTGCATCGACTTCGAACATCATTCGCATATAGTGTCCCCACGACCAGGGCTTCGGCTCGACGGGGCTCTTGGTGTCGTCGGACCGCGTGATGTGGTGGGTTTACGGTATGGCTTTGGAGTTGATATTGTCTGTCCTAGGATTTGATAACGCTGTACAAGTCCTCTAATGGGAAGATAGACTGTATGTGGCTTCTCCCGGATAAAAACCGCATAGGACAGGATAAGGTGCGCAATTGTCGAAGATATCTTTTTGTTGCGCACCGCGGAGAATCCAGATACTCGGCCAAACTGACTTGGAGGAATCACAAGCTTACGGAGTACTACTTAAAGTTATCAAGGAGGATGCTAAGAAGAGCAAGACGGCTGTTCCAACTAAGGTGGGAGCTTCGAAGGTGGAGACTTCCATAGAGCATCATCAGGTGCACTACTACGACTACAATAAGGTGCAGACTATAGGCTGAGTTACTGTTACGTTGCGAACATACATAGTGTTGTGTTATTTCCATCTAGTGGGGGTATTGGCATGTAGTGTGTACTAACAAGACACGGGAAGAAGTTCTTAAGTATGTCACATAATGAACGTCTAACTAAGTGGACCCACGATGACAGAACATTTTAAGAACAGTCATCCTTCTCCTTCTTGTTGTTGTCGTAGTCGTGATGGATGCATTGTAGGTGAAGGTTGGGCCTTCCCCACTATCATCTCCTCAAGGGCATAATACAGTCGGGAGAATATCATTGAAGGGCTCCTCCATCCTTCCACTTCTACTACTGATGATGACGATGGTGGTGGTAACGTCAGTGACCGTTCAGCCTCTTCTGTAGCGTTGTTCCACGGGGACTGAACGCCGATGCTAAGCCCTTGCGCCTTGCCCTTCCGATGCTTCCGACGATCCCCATCGGGTTTCGTCATAGTCGCACGTTTTCTCCGAGGGGTCGACGGTCGCGGTACAGACTTCATCGTGGCTCGAGTGTTACCAAGCACAGACGGCGATGGTCTTCCAGTGGGTGATGATGGGAAGCCTAGTAGCTCGATAAGCTTGGACATACCTTGGGAGCTGCCTGGGAAGTATTGAGACATGCTCACGGCTGCATCCAAGGCAAGGGCACTGGCGACCCCGAGGAACCCAGCCCTCCGTGCTTTGCCAATCAGAGACCGTTGCTTGGTGATGCCCAAGTCGGCCCACATAGAGTTGCCGTGCTCATCCATGGCAGCATACGCTAGAGAGCGTAGATGTTCGTACTCCCCCTTGGGGAGATTCCCCTTGGCTGTTCTTAAACGCGCACTAATACCACGGAAAACAAACACTTCCACTAGCTCGACTGAACCCTCCAGTTCGTCATCGTGTTGTCCACCGAAACGCGCCGCTCGCTCGGCCACCCCGAGAAGGTCCGACACGAGCCTGTAGGCATCTTTCGATGATGGTGGATGATTACAGATGTTCTCGACAGCCTTGGCTCGCTGATCCGGAGTCCATGATGTTACCGCGCAGTTGATAATGTGGAGAAGTTCAGAGGCGTCCATGATAAGGTAGGCCCTAAACAAAGAGAGATAGCCCCCAGTATGTCCGATGGTCCTACTGATGTCGAGCCTCCTCCCTGTTGCCCACTGACTGATTCGCCGTTGTACTACTCCGTTGTAATAGCTCATGACACTGTCGGAGTACCCAAGCTGAGAGCTCCTCGCCAGACATCAACAACACCGCTCCGCTAGCTCGTCGCTGCGGATACGACTGTTGGGTCCATACCGAGGCGTTTTCCATTACGGGGTTTTCATCAAAATGAACGCCGAAGTATCAATTATCGATCTTTAACGCGAAAGGATACCTATGGTGCCTCCCCTCATGACCAACTCAACACCTCTTCCGTACGCTATAGAATCGCGCCCTGGAAGGCATTTACAGACATTCACAGAACTTAACCCTCATACGTCCATCTGGCACTGCTCCCCACTGCCAAATCTGGGATAGGTGTTCGTAGTAATAGTCGACCTGCAACAATCGATCCTCTCAGCACTCTCCTATTGGACCCACCCCTCCTGCGTGGAGCTTCTGCCAGTAGCAGACGTATTCCTCGTCCAAGGCCGCCCGTCTTCTCAAGTGCTTCTTCGAGTTGAGATGTTCCTTCCACCTATCCCAGCTCAGAAGGTTCGTATCGCAAGTCTGCGACAGATGATAACAACGGCAAAAATTGACGGACTCACCTCGCAACGGAGATACCCTTGATTGACTAACTCATTGGGGTAGTTGCAAGGTGCATCGTCCTCACCACTGCCGATCACTCCGGCCACAGTGGCGACCTCCTGACCATCTTCTGTGCGGTAAAACTGTTTCTTATAAGCAGCATTGTAGTCCGGATCATCCGTCTTCTCAGTGTTATCAGAGTTCTTCCTACCCAAAAAACGAATCAACCAGTGCCGACGGAGCGATGCCTCCTCACCATTTCACAGCTTTTATATGAGCTTTCGCATCGCAGTGCACACGTGTTTCACCAATATCATAAAACTGCTTGTCACAAAGCGGACAGCTGAACATGGTGCCGTTCATCTGAGCCATACCCACTAGCCTACGCCGGTGCGAGGGAAGACTACTTCAAGATAGTTGGACTGTACGAAGTCATGTCCGTCTGCAGTGAGCTTCCCAAGCTCAGGACTGTAGAGTCGACGGTTACTGAGGATAGCAGTGGCCGGACCGGACTACACTGCCACTCAGTGTGCGTACTCATCATCCCACTTCACATTCTCAACGTGCTTGTTAGAAATGCAGTGGCTCTTGGCGCTCTCGATTTCGAAGAACTTCTTGTTACACAACGTGCACACAATCCACCCTTCTTCATCCTTCTACACGGGTAATGATCAAATAAGACGGAGCGAGGGAGTTGATGACCTTCAGTCGTTGAGCCCGCATGAATTCTCCTTCTTCATTACTACTGTCACCAGGCCTGTAGACGAATGACGCTATTATAGATAAATGAGGAGATGGATTGTTTACGTCGCATCGCGACCAAAGCGCCTGTCCGTCGGTGGAGGACTACTCCGAGCTGCCCATTCAACAGCACGCTTATGCTTATCACTCGTACAGTGGCTTTCAATTATCATATCGAAGCCATAAGCCTTCTTGTTGCAAAGTGTACAACGGAAGTAGTTATCCTGTCCGATCTAAGAAGAATAAACAAAGTGAGATATAAAAGGGATGCACTTCAACGTCGTCATGTTCTATTCTACCATCGGGCACGTGACACATCAACGGCCTATTCATCACGACGATGCTCACGAGCCGAGGGTATCCTGAGCGGCTAGAGTCACGTCGAAGAACTATAGCAACGCCACTACTGTCAACGGAACAATCAACGACCGACCGGATGCTACCTCGATGTAATTGCTGTCCATGAGGAATTGACCATCAGGATACTTCCTCACTGACTCCCGCTGCTCAGCTCGGTAATGGGCAGCGACCCTCCTCGTATGGTGTTCATGTCTCAAATGCTTCGGCCAATCCTCCGCGTCGACGATCGAGCCACAGTACTTACCTTGAGGATTCATAACGAGGTAGATCTGTGAGAAGGGGTAGTACAGTCGATGGTATCATCAGGAAGGCATTCGATCATCTCAGGCACTTCCCCGTTGGGTGTTGCCCCCACATACGGCCCCAAGGCAGACGAGGGAAATGACGATGCCATGATCAAAAATAGTCTACAATTCCCGACGCGCTCTTTCCCTTCACAATCTATTCCATGATATGTGTCAAAGTGACTCCGATGACCGATGGCTCTCGGCGTTGTAATGTCGCTATATAACATCGCCAGAGTTACAGCGAGGTAGGTCAGGAATGTAAAAAACCTTGAGATTTCATTCCGTGGTGTCACGTCAAGTCACGTACACTTGCGTACGCCATACAAATTCTCGTGAGGTGTGGAACTATGATTAGTAGAATAGCGCATTGAGGGGGGTACAATGACATAGTGATCACCATGGGCAGGAGGAGGAGGAGGGGACAATTGACACATGCGGATCCTCAGTAAGTGATGAATAGGAGTTGCTGAAGGACCCTACCAGCAGTAGGGTCCAGTGTACGGTATGGACCCACATCTCGGAAGGTGCATGATGGTTGAGGAGGAAGAGCATCCATATATGTGTCGGAAAGTATGTCACCCAAAATGAGGCACAACACTACTGCTTCTGCTCCTGCTTAGAGGGTAACGCTGCGTATTGGAACAAGTTTAGTGTTGGAATAGTAGTCGCAAATGCTGATGAGCACTGGGCATAGACCAGCTACTCCAATCGGGACGAAAACCCAAGCAAAGGGCATTTCAGATGAGCAGTCGTACCCACCTTATAGTGACGCTGAACAATCTGAGCCCTACACGGTAGTTCACACCAGAATAAGGATAGGCATCCCCGATGCCTTAGGTTCCTTCTTGATAGCACCGCCGAAGGGGCTCTCTGACTGCAGACATATAAACTGTTAATCAACTGCTTTGGTGGTCCCCTGAACTCCTCCAACACGACATAAGCCGAATAGCACAACAGCACATGTAAAGCGAACACATGAAGGACTTAGGACAATGACAGTTTAGGTGGGGGAGGGAGGGGAGTAGCATAAATCGGCGATGCCGAAAGCCCTGGTAGTAATGATGGTGGCAAACCGTAGGGCCTGAAAGGGGAGTACACCGCCCTGGGCTCTCTGACCAAACTAGACTGCTGCCCTAGATAGGAAGGGGTGAGCACAACTGGTACCTCACTGGTACCACTCTGAGGGGCCATAGGAACAGAAGGCGGGTTAACCTTGCACTGCACCACCGGATTCTTGACAGTAGGGACAGCCGTAGAGGGCTGGGCCATGGTCCCAGCCGACCCCTTACGACCACTGTCAACGCTTGGAGATGCACTCGCCCGACGCCTCGGATGGGGTCTTGGTGATCCAACACTCGAGCGACGACGCGGCAGCTTGCCCGCTACCGCCAAGGCAAGATCCTCAAGAGCAACGACCCCCACACGTTGAGTGTCCAGTATGCGGAATAACCGACGGCCCTCCTTCTGAGTCATACCAACTTGCTCTATAATGGCCGCGAAATCGAGGGCCTCGAACCTTGTAGAGGCATCAAAGTCAGCCTCCTCTGTGCATAGAGATTCGATGCAAGCCCCTAGGGAGCCATACCTGCACATCACCATGGTGACACGGAATAGTACTAGCATCCATACTTAGCATTAATTCTGGAGAAAGCTTCATCCACCAGATGGTCTGTGGTCACATGCGATGGCTTCTCGTCTGAGATGGATCCCGATCTAGGGGCTCCCGACGATCGACGTGATGAGATCTGCAGACAAACGACGAGGCTTAGGAGTAGTACTAAAATGGTATGAGTACAGTAGTTGAGGCCGACGATCTCCGAGAGGCTCCCACTGCTAGACTTCCCGCGCCGTTGGAGAGCTGAAGGGATGAACAAAAGGTTCGGCTGCTCCTCCTGGAGCAGGAGCCTACCTTCGAATCTTTCAGTAAGCTTAATGTGTAGGCGAGAGACCCTCGTCGTGCTGTAACCCTATGTGGAGATACCGTCCCAGGAGTACTAAGATGATAAAGAATACGACAGCCACCACCTGCAACTATCCTTCTACCTGAGCCGTCTGGAGCCCTCCTCAGTAGAGACCCTTCGTGATGGCGAGGTGGACCCGGACGGACGAGGCGTCGAACACTGAAGTAGGCACATGATGATCGTCGTTGTGAGATACTCCAGCAGCCGGCGTACCTCAGCAGCAGGTGGCAGAGCCTTGCCATCACCTGCATGCTGGTGTTGACTCTCAATTGAGAAAGGTGGAGACTCTGAAGACACTCAAGCTAGTATCCATACGCTAACTAGGACTCAGACTCTGTACGGTTCTCAAAGTGAGCCCAAGCCCATAATTTTACCATGCTCGGCAGCACTGTCAGATGTGTTTAGAACGGTCAGTTCGCTAGTCACCGACTGCTGTTGCTCATCACCAGAGGGAGCATTGAGGATTGTAGCGATGGAAGGAGTCGGGCTACCGTGGTCCAGCTGAACCAGTGATGAAACCCTCTTGAGCTCTCCATGGAGCTGGGCCACCTGTTCGCGATAATTGATGCTGGGCGGGTAGCATAAGCTGTGGTAGTACACTAGAGCGTAGTTGTTTGATCTCCGAAAGGATTGACTTATCCGGCGTGGTACCATCGGCAGGAGCTTTCAATAACTCATGCGCGATACTGAGAGTGTTTACCTGGAGTACGAGCCGCTACGTCGTCTACTGAGGATGTTCGAGATGGAAGCTTGAGCGGTGAGGTAGATAATGGTATAGGGAGCACTACCTCCAGTCGTAGGTGCCTCACTTGTTCCTCTACGGCTGCTAGTCGACCCTCGACAGTCAGCGACTGCTGATCTGGTGTAGGAGCAGAGGACGTGATAATGACACAGAAAGGCGGAGGAAAATACGACTGGAAACGGCTTAGGAATGACCAGCAATCTCATGTGTATCATATAAGAATGGACATCGGATATGCCGCTGGCGGCAGCTAGGGTCAATCGGGGACCTGGCTGTTCTCCCAGATCCGCGCTGCGCGATAACCGCCTAGTTCCCACGGTAGTATCATCGTGATGATTGCCCCTCTACCGGGGAATCGAATAACTACGGGTCGAATGGCTATGTTGGGATAGTCTCGCTGTGAACCACACATGATAGGCTAGCGAGAACTGACGTCAGCGGCACGACCAGCCAGGTGTCGTCTCAGTCCATGCCATGCTGAGTACCGCGGCAATAGCAAACGAGGGACTGATGATTTCAGGCGGAGCCGAGCCACCCGGGCCTAAAACGTGGTAATACATGTACAGAGTGATCGAAAAAACCCCATCGAAATTTTTCGGCGCATAGGAGAATCAGGCAGTCCTTCCGCAGTGTTCGTAAGCCAAATAATGGAGTATCGTTGTATATCACTTAGTTGGACCATCGATAGACGGAATCACCCTGCCAGCATGCATAGTAACGACAAGTTGGCGGCAATGATACTTCAACCATGAAGGCTGCATAGAAACTGCATCCCGCGAACACCAGCTATTGAAACGAAACAGGAATTTGAGAATGGTCGTGAACTGGAACAACGATCTGATTTTCGACCAATGACAGAAAATGACGATTCATGAAACGCGATCGCAAAAACACGAGCAGATTCAGATCCTCAAAATGAAAAAGGACCAAAGCAGAAATTATAGGCCTCCAGTGAGACTATAAATGACCGTTGATACCTTAGGATTCAATCGTGAACTTCAGCCCATATAGGGAGTATAGCCATAAGCGAGAAGCCAGCTATGAATGATACAACCTACGAGGGTCATCGAGGGAAGATATGGGCGAAGAGACAAGATAGCGATACTACCTTAAATATGAATCTGCCCCTATCGTGCCTAAATGTAACGGGGAAGAACTCCATGACACTGACGTATATGAACGTGCCAGCAGCCAGGGAGTTGGCGATACCACTGAACAAACCTGAGCTTGCGGGAATGAACAATCATTGGGCTGATCGACTTACCTGCACTCTCTTCACCACGACTACCGAGCCAACCAATGATGATGCCAACCGGAGTACCCATGGCAAAAATGAGTCCATACAAGAGGACTCTGTAACGACTAACCCGGGCCTCCACCATATTGGCACCGAGAGCGAAGGCAGCCAAGCCTTTATGCGCCAATATAGCCACTAAGGTACCGTAGAGGTCGTCAACCCCAGAGGCGACCCCAGTGGCCATACCTTCCAAGATAGAGTGGACAGAGAGAGCCAAGAATACGAATATTGCCGAAGTCTCCGAAAAGACGTTGGAATGCATATCCGGCTCCGAAATTCGCTTATCCGAATCTAAATTATCAGATGGAGATTTGACGGGGACTCCATCACATAGGTGTACAGATAACGAACGCTTCCGTTTGTACCACACATGAACACCTTCCTCCATAATTGCAAGGAATGCAACGGCCATAGCACATAGGAGGTAGGCAAATGGATACCCGTTGAGGTTATCGATCGACCACGACTCCATGCCTTCAACTCCTTCAGGGAGGCTATGAGTGAGGCCAACAGCAAGCAGAACACCACAGGCCAGAGCACAACCGAGAGGGAAGAGCTTGGACTTTCGGAAGTAGAACGATATCCACATTCCCAGAACTGCTACGGCGAATGTAGCCAATATGGATATCAACTTCCAAACCTCGAGAGAGGACATTAGATACGTGCAAGAGTAAACTGGAGCCGCGAAGAAGACGAGACAGCACTTTGAAAAAGCATGGTGAGGGCAGCTCGCAGTCGTACAGAAGCTCTCCACTAACGAGCCGGTGGGGATCGCAGCACTGGACTCCCCCGAGGTGCAGAGTCAAAGCCGACTTTTATTTGAAAAAAGGAAATATCAGGAGTTCTTCGGAAATTAAGGAATTTTGGTACCCGAAATGAGTTCGCACTGGCGCACCGATTGGTGCACCTTGAGACAACGGAAGCGACTGAGACACAATCCTAGATAGGCAGTACTTTCTAGGTAGTAGATAACGGGAGACTCCCGCCGGGTAGTTTACAGGCGTAAAACACTCGGAGAGGAATACAGAGGCGAGCAGTTTCGGCCGAAACCCGAAACTTTCGGGAGACGCGGAGAGATATTCAGGGCGTGCGCGTGAAATGAAGGGTGAAGTTCGACGAAGAGTAGAGAGAAGATCCAAGTTAGGGATAACGCAGCAGCCCGGAATAGAACGTGCAGCCGTCGTCTTTTGGGTTACACTGAATTACTGCAGAAATACGCGCTTCCTAACAATGACTCAATTACACAAGTTGCGCGAGCACACGATTACTAGCGTGCCCATAAGACGCCTTACGGGCAAAGCCGTGTACTGCCTTATCAAGGCAACCCCCGACACACCTAGTCATACTGTCTTTGAGAGTGCATCGCGAAGTGAGGAGAACTCACTTTTAAGATCCTACCTGCCATCCTGAGTTTGGATTACAAATGCCATACATACTCGGTACCCCACGGATCCGTTACCTCTCACCATGAGGTGAATTATTATCCTTCACTTCCTATTGGGCATTCCAACAGGTGGAGTCCAAGTGACGTTCGACAACCTAAGGTTCTATTGATGCTCGACCAGTTTGTGCGGTAGAGAGCGGCACCTTTTTGTAGCACGCTACCACCAAACATACAGCACAGTCCCACATAGCAACATATTACGTCGCGTTCAACTTCAGCCATCGCACATCTTCCCCCGAACGAAGATCACCTTACTAACATCGAAATGGATTGTCCTGAGGCATATCTTACGGTAGTGGAGCGAGTGGCATAGCCGCCCCGCATCGGTGGACAAGTGTGCATGCGTGCTGTGTAGTGAGGACAGATCATGCGTGAAAGCGTCCCTGCTTTGAAGATCATAGTAGCGTCGGGAATGCATTCAAGTAGGCGCCCCTCTTGAATGGGTCAATTGAAGGACTTCATAATCGGGGCTTCATGCTTGGGGAAGGACTGACTATAATATTGAGATATATGAAGATCTCAAGTGTACGCGATATCTTGTCGTTCATTTCTCTGAGTTAGTGTAGGAATTCATCTCTTTGAATTAGCGTGGTTTTGAGCCTACCCAATGTCTCCTCTCGAGGTTTGGAAGTTGATATCCATTTTCGCCACACTCGCCACAGCAGTCCTGGGAATGTGTATATCGTTCTACTCCCGAAAGTCCAAGCTCTTCCCTCTCGGTTGTGCTCTGGCCTGTGGTGTTCTGCTTGCTGTTGGCCTCACTCATAGCCTTCCTGAAGGAGTTGAAGGGATGCAGTCGTGGTCGTTGGATAACCTCAACGGGTATCCATTTGCCTACCTCCTATGTGCTATGGCCGTTGCGTTCCTCGCAATTGTGGAGGAAGGTGTTCATGTGTGGTACGAACGGAAAAGTTTGTTATCTGAACGCCTATGCGATGGAGTCCCCGTCAAACGTCCATCTGATAATTTAGATTCGGATGAGCGAATTTTAGAGCCGGATATGCATTCCAACGTCTTTTCGGAGACTTCGGCAATATTCGTATTCTTGGCTCTCTCTGTCCACTCTATCTTGGAAGGTATGGCCACTGGGGTTGCCTCTGGGGTTGACGACCTCTACGGTACCTTAGTGGCTATATTGGCGCATAAAGGCTTGGCTGCCTTCGCTCTCGGTGCCAATATGGTGGAGGCCCGGGTTAGTCGTTACAGAGTCCTCTTATATGGACTCATTTTTGCCATGGGTACTCCGGTTGGCATCATCATTGGTTGGCTCGGTAGTCGTGGTGAAGAGAGTGCAGGTAAGTCGATCAGCCCAATGATTGTTCATTCCCGCAAGCTCAGGTTTGTTCAGTGGTATCGCCAACTCCCTGGCTGCTGGCACGTTCATATACGTCAGTGTCATGGAGTTCTTCCCCGTTACATTTAGGCACGATAGGGGCAGATTCATATTTAAGGTAATACCGGCATATTTTCTTACTGACTAGGTCTCGCCTCGATAGTTCTCTTAGGTCCTATCATTCATAGCTGGTTTCTCGCTGATGGCTATACTTCCTATATGGGCTGAAGTTCATGGTTGAATCATCACAGTCATTGACTTCACGTTTCGAATCAGTAATGTGATTCCCAGGTCAAATTATCCAACTTCCATCGTTTTCTCTCATTTCTCGGGTTAACGACACCATGTGTCACGTGAGCCCTTCCAACAGGATAGTGTTTATCTACATAGACTTCTCAATAAATATAATTACTGTTGTGTTCGATTGGGGACTGTCTGTAGTCAACTCTCTCCCTTCCTGTTGTGGTATTCCACTCTCGAAGCTGAAAGCAGTGCTAGCTCTCAGTTGATGTTGTAACGTATTATCCGTTCATGTGCAGGAATACGCTATTGCGTGGTTATTATTACCGTCTAGCGACGTGTCCCTCATGCTTGGTTTGTATCATGGCGGTGCTGTCTGTATCTTGAGAGCTGGGCTCTGGCACGAATGTGTAGAAGGCAGCAAGTTTCTGTTAGCAACACAGTCATTATGGTAGTTAACTATCCGATGAAGATACGGCAAATGTTATCTTCATCGGTATCACTGTTTGTGTACACTCGTCCCATGTACGCGGTAGTGTCATCTGATCATTCTCTATCTGACATATGTCGTTGCGTTGTGGTATGGGCTAGTCGTAGGTCCTGCGGTATTGGCAACGTTAATCGTTCTCATCAGGAGGGATGGCTTTGTTGTAAGGGTTGTTTCTGTCTAAATGTCGTCCGACTTGGACCTGTGGAAAGGGCTTGCCATCGCAATCAACGTCGTCGTATGTTTCATCGGCATTCTCCTGTCACGGTGGATATCCCAAACAAAGCTGTATGAGATAAGCTGCGCGTTGGTAGCAGGAGTACTACTCGCCACTGGCCTTGTCCATCTATTGTCGGATTCTGTTGAGAGCTTGGCCAATTTAACAGAGTTAATGAACGGTTACCCTTTCCCTTACATGCTTTGTGGTATAATGTTCATAATACTATTGATGATCGAACAGTCTGTCGATGTCTACCAGGTCAAGCGGAAAGAAGAGTCCCCTAAGCTCTTCAAGGGTGATGCGAGTCATACACACCCTCATGATATCGAGTCTCAGTCATCGCAGATCTCCACATCATCTCAACTTACTTCTGCTGATGACGATGCCTCCAAAGATATGCATCACCACGATGTGAACATGTCCGAAGCCTCGGCAATATTCATATTCCTAGCTCTATCGGTACACTCTATATTCGAAGGTCTCTCATTGGGTGCAAGTAACAATGCATCACAGATAGCCTCGACCCTTATTGCTATAGCAATTCACAAGGGTCTGGCTGCCTATGCATTGGGCGCATCTTTCATTGAAGCCAAGGTCTCCAAGTGGCGAATGGTCATCTTTAGTGTTATCTTTGCATTTATGACCCCAGCCGGCATTGCCATAGGTTGGGGTCTTGAGGCTGCTGAAAGCGATACAGGTAGTAGTAGCATTCAGATGGTTCCCTTCTGCCGTGTTTAGTGTAATCGAATTCGGTCTGCTTTTTGTCAGAGGTATTGAGCGGTGTCTGTAGCGCCTTGGCAGCTGGCACGTTCCTTTACGTTGGTGCTCTTGAGTTCGTTCCTATGTCATTCAAACCGGGTTCCTCATATATCATCTGGAAGGTAGTAGTGGGTGTAGCCATGCGTATGTGATACCGAATGTAGTGGTAGTAGTCTAGTGTATCCCTGCCTTTAGCTAGCTCCTCACTAGTTGGTATTCTCTCTCAGTTCGTGGCGTTACTAGTCGGTTATGGTGCAATGAGTGCCTTGGCCATATGGACATGACCGTTGTCACCATTTGCAGTCGCCGTGACAACGCCACGATGACACTATCTGCTTCAGTTCCTGAGTTATCGAGATACTATGTTGATGACTATTCCTTGTGTCTTTGAAGGATGTGTTTGTTTGCTTCAATATCTAACCCATCGGTCTATTTTTCGTCTATATGTACCTTCTGATCATTTCCATAACCAATCTTCGCCTTGGGTTATCAGTTTTCATCTTGAGCTTATCGCAAAAATGGATGTGCTAATCACCCGTTAAAACGAAACAAGATGTTTATCAAAGATTCAATCTGGCCGAAATCCACATAAGTGAAGTTCCAATATCTTATTTGGTTGTACTCAGAATTGAGAGATAGAGGGTATACAGATGATTGATGCTTCAACATAGAACAACATGAGTGGTTACTGAAACCACGTGTGATTTTCCTAAGTGCAAATCACTGAATAAGAACTCGCATGACGTGGAGAAAAGTCGTCATTTGTGAGAAGTGAAACAAAATCGTGGGGGAAGTAATCAATTCTACAACAGCCATTTCCTGTAAAAGTCGATGAGCTCGGCGATAGCCTGAGGGGACGTAATGTTGTGACGAATCAGGTGATGGGAACTACTCTGTCACTGATTTTTTTCTGATCGGGTTGCGACCAGTCACCGCGACCAGCCAGGAAGCCATGAAAGGTATCTTTGTACTTAGTCACCGTGACATTCTTAACCCCCGCCTCGCGAACACCTAACCACAGACATCCCTAGTGACAACTTCCCCACATCCCTACCCTCTTCAAAAGCAGCGAGATCGTCATCCTTAGTCTCGAAATACAGTGCTGGTAGTTTGGCCTGACCCCGATATCATTTTCATCTAGACAAACAACTCTCGAGTTCACGTTAAGTCCATCCTCCTTAGTGAGGAAGCTCGGATGAGGGCCCGCATGGGCACGTAGTTCCGGGGGGTTGGTCCCCATGAGGACGCCGACCTTGGCCCCCCAGCAGTGACCGATAGTGCCTAACTTCTTAACTCCGCACTCTTCGATCATATACTTTGCCACAGCCCCTGAAAAAGGCTTGTCCTCCCCGCTGGTTGAAAGGTGATCCCTCACTGGCAGGCTCGACTTGAGCAGCCGGTGCAGCTGGACCGCCCAACCATTCGCCAATCTCCTTTTGGAGCTGAGACGGCATCATGATGCACAATAGACAAGTGACGCCAACTCACAGCTGGAGTGTTGGGAGGGAACTTATCAGCAGGCCAAGGCTTCCCATGGAAGAAGTCAGGAGCGACCACTAAGGCGTCCTCCAGGCCTAGCACTCGAGGTGGACCACCAAGCGGAGCCGCAGACTAACCTTCCGACAAGCGATCAGCTTCCTCGCAGGTATTACTGTGCATACCGAAAATGTCGTAGATAGCCAGAATCTGATAATAGCACCAGTGAGAGGGAAGAGGAAGGCTGGCTACTTACCCCCACCCCATTCCTACCACTGCCAACAGTATAACACTTCAGCCCAGCTATAGTGGTCTGGCAGAATTCAACCACATAACAAACAGTAGCCGACATGGTTTATTACAAAAGTGCCCTTGGGTTCATAGCCAGAGCCAGGGGCCTGGGTCTTATCAGTAGGGCAGCACGACATACTTGGTGTGTTTGACCAGATTATCAACAACAACAACCTCGGATGGATATATGATCATGCGATACCGAATCCTGTATCAAAGCTTCCATCTACTCTGTCTGCGATCTAACGATGAGTTACAACATTACATTGATACCATCGCGGCTGTATGGGCATGACCCTCACAGACCCAGGTTTACTGCAGCCCAAAGTCTATTGCTGCATCCAGGCTCCATAGTAGTATACGACCCTACACCCGTCAGTATCAGCTCCAGCACGCCATGCCTGACCTCACTGGTTCTACTAAACACAAGGTGAGATATGGGAAAGAAACCACAGTTCCGATAATGAGGAAGTGAACAAGTGATGGTATGAGTAACGCTCTTATACAGTAACGCCCGGGAAGCAATCGGCAAAGGCCTGCTTAGGATGCTTACTAAACATGAAAACAGTCATTCACAAGTACCTATTAAAGCGATGCCTACCTCTCAGCGTGAGAAGGAAGAAGCTTCTTCTGAGTGCACATGAATGTTTGCCTGCAGATACTACACATTAGAGTCTGGGACTGAAAGAGGGAAGGCACTGGAAAAGAAGGGAGATCGTCCAAGGCCTTACGGCAGCGTTGTTCTTCAGTTGAGAATCTCCACCCTTCCCAGAGTGCTTAGCCTGCCTTTTTGCATTATCAATACGCTTACGCTGAGCTTCACAAGCGTTAGTTCTTCCCATGGTGAATTCGGAGATCGATAGACAATGAACTGACAACAACAACAGTAACTTGACAATACCACCACCGACTGAACTTTCATGGCGATGATAGCTTTGACGATGCAAGTGGCACAAATTACACAGGATTCTCAGCGGAATAGAGAACCAGAAAGCTAAGAAATGTAGGGCTGGCGTTACAAGAGAGGATGCTTGAGAACAATGAGGAAGGCTAAATGACGTGAGCGATTGAGAGCGAGCGGGACACTCCGTGATTGAGGCGATTAGACTCGCGCGAAAACAGCATGGATTGGGTGATACGAGCTCAAGCTGAGAAACTCTCCATCAAGGCCTGTTTAATGTGACAGAGGCCTTAAACCACAACTCAACGGTAATGCTTTCGCGTGGAGAGCCGACCATACTCAACGAATTTGGCTCTACTATTTTCCATTCCTTGAAGAAAATGCGTCTCAACAACAGAGCAGAGGTAGACATCCAATTTAAGACTTTGAAACTCCTAACACAACCTTTAAGGCACGCTGACGGTCTCCCCTCCAATGTTCAGTACGAGGACAGCGACAGCTCTCCCCAAAGAAAAGCCTGATTCCAGACTTATTACGGTCTGATCGATGGAATCTCAGAATTTGGGAGGCACCATATAGCTCAAGTGCAAGCAGCACATACGGCACATCCCCCGTCGCGCAGTCTTGATGGAAAGCTGATGTTCACTTCTCACCGGGCACATGCAATTCCACACTATCGCAGATGATTAGGAATTCTCGACAGCCTCCAAAGACCCGCATGCTATGATGCCACTTGAAAACGAAAAACACTGTGGTGGTAATGTTCGGAAACACTCATGTCGTCAACGCATGTTTGTCGGGGGTAGTCGTACCAACACTGTTCGTTCTTCCGAGGCCGTAGCACTGCTTGGCACCCGCTTAGTACGGGACGGCCTCGGGCCACTTTAGAACTCAATGTAGGTCGGATAGGCTCCTTCACGAGAGATTCGGGAATCGGTAATTCCGGAGGGATGAAGGGACGACCTGAGACACTTCGAATGCGGATCGAAATGTGAATAATGTAAACTCTCACCCTGAGTGTAAACTCTACGCTGTAAAGAGACGTGAACGTATTGGATGTGGCGAAGGAACAACGCCCATTGTTGTGGAGTCAAGCCAGCCTTATACTGCAACAATGCTTCCACCAGCGTGGCACTGTATAAATCGTCATTGTACCTACCCCCACAACCTGGCAAGAACCCCCTAGCTCCTACAACCCCACTTGACGGGCCTAGACCATAGCCCAGATGATATCGCTAACAGCTGCTCAGCACTGAGGGATCTCAGTCGTGGGTAAGTCTCCCGTACTAGTAGCAAGACCAGCCGTACCACATATGCTGGCAGTGTCGTATGTGACTGAGCACGAGTACTTGAAATGAAAACTCCAAACGCTGTGCGCTTCAATATTCATACTAACTCTCTAGAACTCACAATACTGAACAATGCGCACAACGCGTTGTGTTCAACCTGTGATGGTATGAATAAACCAGTATCCTCATAAACCACTACAGCCGCACTCTTACTGCCGGACTGCCATTCCCTTGAGCAATGAAACCCAAATTTGGCACAAGTTGGATCCAATCGTCAACTTCAACGTATGCCGCGATAGAGGGAGATATCCGTTGTGATGCGAGATAGCGGAGGAAGGCTTGAGACTTGCTTGACGTGGTCCCACCCGGAGCCCTTGCGAAGAGGTTGAGGATTCGCACTGGGTTGGTATCGGTCGTGACCGTGCCAACTGTTGACAGCAACTGCAAAAGCATCACGCTCATACCTCCACAATGCTCAAGACGACCTCACCACTCGGGTCTGTGCTCGTAGATCCTCCACTATACCTTCGCAATGCTCATGACCATCACCATTCACAAAGGATAAAGCAGCAAGGGCATCCATACAGAGGGCCAGACTAGATGGGACCAACCCCTTCCCTCTAAGGAGGGATAGCAGCTCAGAAGCACAGCCGATCTTGCAAGTGGCGATCATGAACCGCACACTAACATCAGGCTCGTAGGAAGAGCACTGTCGCAGACGAGTCAGAAGGATCCTATCAAGAGCTCTTCTAGTCAGAGGCGAGAGGGCACCAAGAGCAGCCGGCTGAGCCAGAGCTTCTACCAAGTTCAGGAGCTGAGACCAGCAACAAGGAGACAACAGCCTCGCCAGAGACGGCACCCACTTGGTCGACATCCGAGTAGATTGCTTGGTACTCCACAGCACTGTGAGCTAAGGCCTGGGCTCGGGCTGGATACATACGGCATAAGGCAGCACTACTCTTGCTACTGCTACTTGGGACGAAGTACTCTAATTAAGCATTCCTCTGCTTGTGAGTGAAACAAGTAAAGCAAGCAACTACCACATAGTCGACTGAACTGAGCAGGTTCCAACTGATCCAACTGTCGTTGGTCATGATCGCCCCTTATGACTCCCCTCTGAGCTCTACTGAGCATACCCATCAGATCCCCTCTAGAGGCGTAGCATGTCGTAGAGGGGTCGAACCTGAGCCGTATGCATGGCACTCTGCTACAGTATAAGCGAAAACACCTCCGCTGAAGCCTTAAGATAGACTCACACCTCTTACGAGCCGCCGCTGCAGTCATTGGTATTCACAACTACCGCAAACAACGCTGTAGAACTAGGAAGGCCAACACATGCCATGTATGAGAAAAGCAGTCAGTGAAGTGCAGCAAGTGATAGGCGTATTACAAGGTCAGTATAGGATCAAGGAATCCATAGTAATATCTGCATACTACTCAACTCGACTGACCTCCTACACAATATATCGCGTCCTCCAGTCAGCAACCTTCCTACGAAGATTTAATACCGCAGGATGAGTCTCAGACTCTTGCCTAAGACACAAACGCAGTGACAGCCGCTAAAGTAGGAGCGCCTTACATAAACCTAGCGTAGTTTGCTTCATTGCCGATGTCTCGTAGAACTGCCTGGGACGTACCGATGCACTCATCGAACAGGGCAACTACAGTTCATGTCCTAGGAGAGCCCTAGCCGTAGTGCTTACTGAACTCCTTAAACTCGGGGCCATCAAAGTCAGCCTCAGGGCCGAACTGGATGGCCAGTCGTAGAGCATCGATTTGAAAACAGCTATCCCCCTTGGTGTATGGTGTGATACCATCCACACCGAAGTCCACAAGATCAACAACGCGCTTGACCATGTAATCTGATAAAGTCGTAATACTCTCAGCAGAAGTAGCAGAGGAGCACAAGAAGACGCTTACTCTGGACACCATACTTCGTCAACCACGTGATCATACGCATGGTACCCACATGGTAGCCTGCGTCGATTCCTCGAGCTTGCAGGTGGCTCGCCAAAGAACTAAAACGAATCTCGCATTATAGCGCCGCCT